AATCCCTGTTTTTTCCCGACCAAAGCAACCGGTGAACCACCCAACCCCTTTTTTTCGGCCCAACGCTATCGAGTCGAAGGCGAGCCGCGGAGTCGGCGCCTGGCAGCAGCGCAAGTAGCTCAGCGCCAAGGCGAAGGCCCAGCCCTTGGCCTCACGGCGCGGCGCCGCGGAAAATCGGGTCTCGGCCAACGGAAAGTGCGCCCTGAAATGGGTTAGAGCTTCAGAATTCCGGGTGATTCCCATTTTTTATGGGTAGGTCTCCCCCACAAAACCGAAAGGTACCTGGGAGGTTGCTGTGTTTTCTACAAAGGCTGCTTGTTTTCCTCAGTGTTCATTGCAGGTACCGCCTGGGAGCTTGGATTCTGAGGGGGCAAATGCTGTTTTTCTTTTTTTTTGTGTTTAAAATCAAAAACAGTTTCTCGGTGTTTGGCCCGCAAAAATGGCTGGTCTCCTTTTAGCTTCCTGCCGAAAACCAACTGAAGGGCTCAAACAAAATACATGTCGTGAGCCTGACTTCATTGGGGGTATATACCGATCTGCCCCATAGTTGTGCTAAGGTTGCCACATGCTCGAGGCGACAAATTCGTGCCCTGCTCCCCGCTGAGCCACCCACAAGGCCCACACTCAGTGCCGCTGTCGCCTGAGTTGGTGGTTTGGGAGCAAAGGGAATCACTAGTGTAAAAGCAAACAAGCCGTCCTGTCTTTAAGGGGGCAAACATGACCTTGCGGAGAAAACAACTCGACTTGCACAGTCTCTTGGGGCAAACATGTTGCAAGGTCCATTCTGCATTAGGGTCTTGTTCAAAAAACCGTGAAGGCAAACGTCTGGATTAGCCAACGGAAGCCGCACATCGCGAGGAGTTGGGGCCTGTAAATTACTGTCTGGAGGGCTTGAAGCACATGACTTAAGCTGCAGACAGTTGCTCGTTTCTCCAATTAACGTGCTTGTGTGTGTGTGTGTGTGTGGGTGTGGATGGGTGCGGAATTGCGTGCATGTCTTTGCAGGGGTGGGTGTTGGTGTGGGTTTGGGTCGGGGTGTGCTTCCTCGTGTGCGTGTGCGTCTGCGTGTGCCTGTGGGTGTGTGGGTGTAAAGATGTTTGGTTTTTGAGGGTACCTGTGTTGTGCTGGTGTAGAGAGATTTCATCAGGAATATTACTGTTGTTGGGCCCCGCTATATTCGCCCCAAACATCCTACATCCAACCCAGACCATCAGCCACGAACCATGTCCATAGGATTTCCCAAGTGTCCCAAGCACGCGACTCCCCTCCCAAACTTGCCCGGAAACCGGGGGACCGTGCCATCGCCGCAAGAAACTGACGACTTCTTGATTCGAGCTACCTACTGGGGGGGCATTCTACCTCCCATCCGCTCGGATTGATGTGTCTAGTCCGGCCAGCTGCACGGGGAGCAGACCAAAGGATTCTCCGACTGTAGCGAGCTGGCAATGGAGTACGTGTTCAGCCGATGATCGGCGAAAACAAAGAAGTCCCTATCAACCCCCTGGCCAGCACCGACGAGATTGGTAGGAGAAATTGCCAGTTTAGAAGTGCTCTTGATTTGTTCAACTTAGTATTGGGCCTGCTGGGATTTTGCCAAATTGAATCATCACTCGGGCGGCCTTTCTTTGGAGGACTGGATTAAATGGCGGTGTCAGGGACAACCCCTCCCAAAAGCCAGAGCTGAGAACCTCCAACACTCACTTTGTTTGGACCCAGTTGGAGGGTTCTCGGATTACGCAGGAGGCTCCGTGTGGGTCCGTCTTTTTCTTGATGGCACCCTGTTTGGGGTGGTTTAAAAGGGAAACTGCCCTGCGGTCCTCTAACACGGAACACAGCAGTGAGTTTCCATGTGGACAGGAGGCTAACAGGAAACCATCCATGTTCTTGCTGGTGCGATAGGTAGGGAATGAGGGAATGACCTGGGGATTCCCTTAAAAGAAACCACCAGTTGGACGGTTTTTTAAGGGTCATCTCATTTCTCATTCCCAAGAGCGGTTTGCAAAGAGTTGCCGGACCAGGGAATGAACCCAGGAGTTGGTCTTGAAGGAAACCACCAGTTGGATGGTTTATGGGGGGGGTCCTTCCATTTCTCATTCCCTGCATCTCTCGCCCCAGCCAATTCCCCCCCCCATTTTAACTCACTTGCTGAGTGGATGGCCCAAAAAAAGTCCATTTTTTGTATTTACCACAAAAACGGTCTTCCCAAAATATGAAAGTTCATGAACTCAGGAGCTGAGTTCAGAGCCCATGTGCGCCTCGCTTGCTTGCTTCCGAGCGGCTGCTTGGCACAAGGAGGGCACGATGCAGCACAGCAGCAGGGTCGGCCGCCGGCCCAGCTTGTCCTACGTGGGCGTCTCACCTTTTCTTAGGGAGGCGCCCTGTTTTTGAGGGGGTGAAAGGAACACCGAAATCCATGTTAGTTAGTTTTTTGCGGGTACTGTAACCGACTTCTTTGGAGTCTGCTCAGGTTGGTAACAAGGGGAATCCCAAAGGCAAACCGCGAAACCGCCTTTGGGGGTACCCCTCTTCCCCCACATGCTGGAAGGCCCCTGCATGTGTCACACGGGTTTGTTTGTCTATCTGTCTGCCTGCCTGTCAGTCACATCATCTGTATGCAAGCATGTGTGCGATGGATACATGCATGCACATGGCAGCAAGTACTCGGTTCCCCTCAGGCGCATGATCGTACTCATGGAGTTCTCTCAGGCCCAGAGTGCTATCTCAGAAGCTCTGAGGCAGCACGTTATCCTGAGAGAGAGGGATGGAATGAAAGTACCGCCACGCCCCTGAATGCATGCATGCACGTATGCATGTGCGCAATCTGATCATAAGTCGTTTCTCATCATTCACCAGGTGCCATACCATGTTTCCAAAAGCTAAGTGTTTTTGCAGGCTCGGCACCTGTTTCAGGTCAGTTTCAAAGGAAACCAACAGGAAACATGGGAAGAAAATAACAGACTTGGGCCCAAACTTTGGGGCCCTGCACCAAAGGTCCAATGCGTGGTTCCAAACGGGTCTCTCTTAGGGGAACCCCCTAGTATGGATTTCGGTGGTTTGCCTTTTGCTTTCCTTTTTCCACCAACACCAAGAAAGGTTGATTTGTCCTGCTGTGTTCCCTTTTTCACCACCACCCCCCCCCGCAAAAAACAAACAAACGGCCTTTCCCTAGAAATAGCGACACACCCAAACGGTTTTCTCGGGTCCAGCAGCACGCCCATGGTCACCGGGCCCAAGCAGTAGCCCATGGCGAAGCCTGAGACCACCAGACTCTCCTGGCGCCGACCTTTTAGATGTTCGTTTAAGGGGAACATATGGGAGTTGATCCATATTCCCTTCGGCCCCAAAATGACCATAGGCAACTGTTTCCATTTAGTGGGAAATATCATCTTTTTTGTGGTCTTCCCCAATGTCGTCGATCAACCCCAATATCTCTTTTTGTGCAATCCAAGTTTAAACCAAGGTAAATGAATATACTAGTCTTGATGAGCAAGCCTTAAACCAAGGCTAAACCCAGTTGATCTAATTCTGATCCTCGAAGGTCTTGTAGCTATTATTCTGGATACACCAAGGTGTTTGTGTGTAAAGGTTAAGCCAAGGTTAAACCCTTTGTTCTACGTTTGGTCCTTCCAACATATGTGTTGTGCGTACCCTTCCTGCCATTTACAGAAGGCAGCAAACGACCCTGCCATGTTGGTGGGTGGTAGGGTGACGGTTAAGAAACAAGTTAAACCCATTGGTTCTACTTCGCTATAAAGGTCGATGTACGCCTTAATCATAGAGCAGGTAGTGGACCCAACTGCAATGACCAATGAGAAGGTAGTCTACTAAGTTTGGGACATACTTACCCGAAGCCGAGGGGGAACAACGAGCTTCAACATGCCGCGCAGGCAACAAACCGTTAATGGACAAACCCACAAGGCGCATCAGTTAGGGTTTGTGGTTTCTCATCAGTTGGGATAGATGAAACTGGTTGATAAACCACTAATCCCGACTGGTGCGTTTTGAAACCTCATGTGTGCCATCACGGTTCCCTTAGGAATACTGTTTGGCACGTTGTCTAGAAGCCCAAGAGGTGACCATCCCCCCCACGGTGAAACTGCTGTCCACTAACATGAAATCTACCTGTCCCCTTTTCAGAATATGGTCCTGAACACCCGCCCACTCAGGCTCCATAGTGGATGGGCCTGTAGGCTCCAAAAAACATCGCACCCAGTACTGTTCATAGTGTCCCCAAAATGGTTAAAACACATCCAAACATCGGCACCATCCAAAGAACAACGCACATCCAAAACAAACACCTTTGAAGAAACCAAGGGGGGAGGGAAAAAAACAGCCGCCTGAGCCCTTGCAGAAAAACAACAAACAGCTCGACTCGACGGCACTCCTGGCGGAGGTCCAGCTCCTGAGACTCCGAGATGTCCTCGCGGCTGAAAAAGCGGAAGCGCTGGCCCGGGAGAAAACTGCGCCATGGGATACCCGACCAAATCTGCATTGCGCTCGCACATTGGGTCGTCCCCGCAACCACTACTTAAAGGGGCAGGGCAACTAGTCAGTGGGTAATAACCGTAGATATTCAACCCACTTACCATCTCCTCCATAAGAATCCCCTAAGCAAACCTAACCATAGAAACCTAACACATAAGGTCCCCTAAGGTGAACACACAGAAACCCAAGCATCGAAACCTGACGCAGAAGAAGGGTCACCCAAAGTGAACATGTTCAGGCTCCATAGAAACCTCACCGTGGCCAGGTGCCCAATGCTCTGTTGGGGTTGGTTTCCCTTTCAACCGAGGGAACTTTGAGGGTCTCGGCATAGTCCCAGAGATTCTCGTAAAGCAAAGCGCGCCCATAGCGTAGCCACCCAGTAGGGACAGAACCGCGGGGTCAACCCTGCTCGCGCAAGCCGGGGAAAACTGCTCGGTGACGCACATCAGTCGTGGACGATCACTTGTGAGCGCCACCAAAAGGTCCGATGTTTTTTTAATAAACTACATGGCCTTAATTGCTAGTTAGGTTTCATGCAGTCCTAACAAGCTATGTCAATGTTGCAAACTGGGCGGTTCAGACCCAGAAACTCAGGAGTGTATAACCTTCCCAATGCCCACCGGTTGATGACCATAGCCACCAAGAAAGGCGATCCATTTGGAGCATACCTCCCTGAAGCACGGTCGGAACCCGCTTTTGGCTAACCCAGGGCCTCTGGCGGGTATCCGCGTGATTTCAGACTTCGCCCGGTCCTTTAGGGTCCAAGCAACCGAGGCGTTGTTCATGCCCACCGTCAGCCACAGGCAGCACATGATGGTGAAGCTGGCATAGTTCTGATGCCTGAAACGACGAACACCCGGAGTTAACATAGGTTTGAGGCGCCGAAGTCTAGAAAAGCACCCACACGGCTTTTGCAGGCAGCTTCGGTCAAACCCCCGATTGACAATTACATGCTTTTCCACAACTATGCTGGATTTCTTTTAATTTCCGCTTGAACCGTTTGCACCCCAAGCACTGCACCTCAGTCCCGGATACTCACGACGAGAATTCGGGTGGACAGTTGCTCTACTGCCAGTCTGAGGGCATCCAGCAGCTGCTCCAAAAGGTGCAAGAAGGGCACTCACTGCAAGCGACTGCAAGTCGCTGAGAATCCTATTGGTCGTCTTACAGTTGGCTTGCGCAGGACACCGGGGGGGCCACCCGAATTTCGCACAAACACCGGGCCCAACCAATTTCCGCCTCTCAGATTTATCGTCCGAATGGTCTTAAACATCCGCTTTACTGGGATCCCATGTGGGAATTAGTTTGCCATGTTCAGGTTTGCCAAATATTGACCAGAAATCACCATGATATTCTGGTAGGGGGCAAGAGTTAAGTTCTGTTAAGTGGCTTTAAACAGCAGCTTTTGGGTCATTCTATGGAGAGGTTCCTTTTGCGGAGCACATTGGGAACAATGATGAATTGGCCTGTATTCGGGGCTCACGCATGGGTTCTGGTGCTCTTGTTCAAACTGGGGACCCCCAAAATGGCGAATTGCAACCCTTGAGTTTCCCTTTATAAAACCAGCCCGGAAAATGCGAGCCTCAAAAAAAGACACCACCAAGCAGGGGCATTCACCCCTCACACTTGGTAAATTCATGGCACAACTGCAGGTGGCCTTCTTGAGTGCAAAGGGCGCCTTTGGGCGGGTGAACTTATGGGGATGTTGTCCAGTTGCGATGGGGTTGTCTCAACGGAAAACCCCCAAACAAATGTGTCCTTGCGGTTTCCCTTCAACACCAACTAAATGGGGACCCCCCAAGAAACGACGAGCCCTATTTCGGGAGCCCTGATGAAAAGAGAGCTGCCGAGGTGCGACGCCTTCCCATCCTCCCCATGTGTCATGCAGGATTCGCAGCGCGCAAATTGCGCCTCCCCTTTTTGAGGGACATCAAGGGACCTCGGATCATCTTTATGGTTGTACAGAAAAGCCAAAAGGCTTCAGCCGCCGACCTGAAGAGATTCCTTTGAAGAAACACCAGAAGCAAAACGGAAGCACCCAACCTCGGGCTCCCTACTTTGGGAACACGATGCGCCACATGCCCTCGAGATTCTCAAACAAAAATTATCGCAAGGAGCGTTTTTCGAGGCGAGACTGCACAAAAAGAAAAAGGGCACTGGCGAGCACAGGTACCTCAGGTACACTATGCATCTGAAAGGTTTTCACGTTTCTGGCAGCAACAACCATCTGCCCCTGGCAACATGGGCACTGACTCCGAAAAATATCTTTTCTCGGGTCTGCATCCAGACTGGAGCCTGCAGTCTGGCCCTCGCGGGCTTTTCTTCGCGCGCGGTGCTTGAAAAGCCGAAGGAATGGGAAGGCGATGGATACGTTGCGAATCCAATATACTCAATCTGAGTGACAGAAGTAACCTGTGGACCACTTGTTACAACTCAGCCAACATGTCAACCATGCATGATTCAGCTGGGTGCCAAATGGGCGAGCACAACAATGAAAACAACTACCCCCTTTGCAGCTCCCTTTGAGAAAGCTGAAAAAAAAAGTATTGGCGGAATTAGCGCACCCACCCAAAAAGAGTGTACCAAAACCATGGTGATCTCAGGATCCAGGCTCTCACAAAAAACACTCCGGTCGACTCTCAGCCTGACAAAAAAGTCGCGGCAAAAGGTCGAAGCTTGCCTGCTGAAAGCCAAACAGGGCATGGGAATGAACCTTGCACCCGACGGAATCCAAGAGTGATTGGTACCAAGGCTGGCCTTTATCTTTCCTTTGAAGCACCTGCGGCCTTCAAAGTTGGGTTTGCTTGGCATTACAAGAAACGTCATCTCATGTTCCATCCAAGGCTGAAACTTGTTTCTTTCCCAACATGAAGCATATCCAGATAGGTACGTCTCAAAATAGGGGCACTCCAAAAATAGCAACTGTTCCTTTTGGCTTCCTTTGAAACAAACCCAAAAAGGGTACCCTCCAAAAAACTCACACCCAAGTGAACTTACCGGTCCTGCTTCAAGTATCACTGAACTTGCCGTAGAAGAAAGAAGTCAGGCCTAGAACAGCACGCCCTTCCAATTCTCCCATTTCCTTGCTTCAAAGCCCAGCCCGCGAAAAGACGCTCTCCGAAAATCCCCTCCCCCCCCGGAACGTAATTTGTTCCCTTGGCGCCCGGCTGATGGGGCCAGGCACGCGCACCTCGGGTCTGAGTCGGCGCCTTTTCTTGCCCTCGCTTGTTTTTTTCTTCGCAGGTGGACATGGCCCGTTGAAATGGCAAATATGGCTATGGGTCAAAACCCAAATCGGTTAGCCCCCAGTGAACATCAACCAATCCCCACTAAATAGGAAGCCTAAAATGGGTGGTGCACCTACCCCAAAATGGGATCCCATTGGGTTTGAACCATGGCCATATGAATCGAGGGTTCCGGCGTGGATCGGAGAAAAAACATGGGTGCCAAGAATGGGGGCCTCGTCCCTTCGCAGATTTCGGGGAAGTCCGGAGGAGAGCATCCTCATGGGTGAAACCAACTCCCGGATTGAACGATCCACCTTAGTTGCGCTTGGCACTCCAAGATTTGGGCGCATTCTACAAGGAGCCCGGTTGTGAAGGCGAGCAACACAAATATCGGGTCACTATGTCTGGCAACATAAACCTGAATAAACATTTGATTCTATGCGTTCGTACATAAGCCCGGCACCTCCGAAGTCCCCCTGAAAAAGTCATTGAACGCAGGTGTTTCCAAGAACAAGTGGTTTCCTCTGAACTTCCTTCAAAAAATCCTTCAAACGAGCCCCCCCAAGTTTATGGCTCCTCATTCGGACGCCTACCTGCAAAACGGCTTGGCGCCATCAGTCTTTCTGGTGCCCTTCTAATCATGCACAATTCAAAGAAGACCCCAGACTCCCTTTTACACTAACCTGCAGAGTACTCCCAAAAAAACATCCTCCAGAGTACCCAAGAATAATATTTATTTATTTATTTAAAAAAAAGGAGAAAAAAAAAAACGGCCACCTTTCCCCCAACCAAAAACAACATCTTCTCCTTCCACCCGGAGGCTTCTCCATTTGGCTCGCGTCTCGGTGGATCCCGCTCCATGCGCCTCGCGCTGCGCCTGCAGCCGCGCCGCGGCACGGCCCACGACCTGACCCATGGGGTCTGCCCGAAAAAGACTCCCATTCTTATCTTCCACTTGGCCGTGGGTCAAAACCGATGGGATCCCATTTTGGGGTAGGTGCTGACCCATGAGGTCTGCTTCCATTTGGTGGTTGTCAGAAATAGGGCAACCCCCAAATGGCTTGCCCTAGTAAGTGAAAAAACATGGACCAAAACCTGCGGTCCCGTGGTGGTTCAATTTTGACCCATACCCATTTGGTTAAGACCACTGGAGAAAAAAAATAAAACATGTTCAGTAGTGATAGATTCCCTTTAAAACCAACAGGGGAAAAGAAGAAAAAACACATTCTTAAGCAATTGGAAGTTATGCTCCTTCTTTTTTGGGCTTCCATGGTCTGGAATTTTTTGGGCCCTTGGACAGGACAGCAGAATTTGGGGATTAATGCACCACCTTTGAGGGGCGTGGGGTTCCCGATTTAAGTTCAGAGCCATATGTTCAGATTCTGACTGATCTTCAGACCTCGCAACGTGAAAATATGTTCGAGGGAGACCACTGGCTTCGTCGACCCGTTGTCTTGGAGCCCCATTCGTGGAGGCTTTCATGCAACATCTCGTAAAAAATTACGTAACCGAAGGACCCCCCAAAAAAGGATGATGGCTTTGATCCGAATCTGTTCTTAGGGAACCCTGTTGGATGAAGATAATGAAGAGAAACAACCCAAGAACACTAAGCACCAAATCCGCGTTGAGAGCCAGCGTGTCTGGAACTGGAGAATCATAGATGACCGGACTCTTCCTTTGGGGCGCCCTCTGTTTGAGTCACCTGCACGCGGCAAACGGGGACAGCGGCCCCCTCCCAGAGCTGCAGGAGAGCACTTTGAGGACCAACGAAAAGAAATTCGTTGGCTCAACTGGGTGGCAAAAGCAAACCGGGGTGAGGGGAAGTAGCCCGGAAAAAGAAAAAGAAAAGAAAACTGAGCAAAACAAAATCTACCCTCCCACCAACAAACGAAGTGCACAAACTTCGCTTGGAAGACTGGATTTCTCTTGCAAAGGGAAGCTGTGCACAGGCTCGAGGTCAAAGGATTCAGCCAGGCCCCGAGTCTGCCAACAGTAGGCACTCTTCTATCTGGTTTCCTTTTGGCTTCCCTTGAAATCGTCCGAAGGGCCCCTAAGTTTGATACATCCCCAATTGACACACAAACCGTGCGTTGCATTTATGCCCTCTCGTCTGCCCACAAGGCTATGCCACGACCCACGACCACCCCCCTCCTTTGCGCACCACCCCAAGCGCATGTTTCAACAATAGGCTTTGAAGGTGAGGCACAAAAAGACACTCAAAATCCTGGGGAAACAGCTGGTGATTGAACAGAAGGATGGTTGAAAAGAATGGTTGGAATCAACCCCTAGGCTAATGGTAAAACGTATGAATACCGCTCCAACCCAACTCTGGGGTAGAGAGAGTTATCTGATTCTGCTGTTTGTTATACAAAAAGTGGAGGGATCAAACCGCTGAGGAGACCCCGATGATAAGGATGTTGCGTAACCTCCCTTACATGTGTTGTTCAAACAAACACGTAAAAAAACAAACGCCGACCTCAGTTCCAAAGAGTCTTACACCTCCACAGCCTCTAAGCCACACCCCGCCGCGCACGGATTTTCCACTGAGCACTTTGGAGGTCGAAATCGGGGCCTCAGGCGCAGAGTCTTCCTCCATTTCAGCTTTCCTCTCACTGGCGGTTTGGAGCCGAATCGGCGGTTTGAGGGCGTGGAGGTTGGGTGGCTTCCCATCTGCCCTCTAGAACCCCTCAAACCAATCCCAAGCCACTAGACAAACCAAGCCACCAAATAGAGGGAAGCTGACCATTTGCTTTGAATAAGACCCCAGAAGGAAAGCAGGGAGATCAATATAGTCCCTTTAAAACCAACAAAAGAAAATAATGAACATTCTTGAGCAAATGGAAGTTTGCTGTCCGTTTTGGGACATGTTTGGCATAGAGCAGATGGACAAACTCCACAAAACGCACCAGTTGGGATGGATAATACCCAAGTACTGGTTGATAAACCACCTACTGTTGCGATTTGGACTTTGTCAATCCAAACTGCCTCCAACAGGAGTCCTACAGCATACCGTTTCCAATGAGCCCGCAAAGGACCAGCCTGCCCCACCAAGCAAGCAATAAGGCCATAAGCAAGCGAGACACATAGGAGCTTCTCAACAGAGCCTCTTGTGCGCTGGTCTCAATTTGTGCTGCTTGCTTGTTGACGGAGGACCCCAAAGGAAGTCAGCATTTTGTCAACCCTCCGCCCTCGACTGACTTGCGAGGAAGTGATTCTGCTTGCCAAACCGGCCCAAACATAACAGGTAAAACCAAAAAAAACAGAAAACGGGTTGGATGCGCGCTTTGTGGATTTCATCTGCTGTTCTTCCCCTCTTGGTTTCCCTTTTTTGTGTAATCTGTTAGTACTCTTTTCATATCCTACGGGGGATCCACAAATCCACATCCGAACTGCTTTGCAGAATCCAGGATGGAACCTCAACATAACCAAGAAATTGGACTTGGGCCCAGGCCGCATCCGTCGGAAAGTTCGCCGGTCGGATCACAGGTGAGCGCTCAAGTTCGCCTTCGGATTCCGAATCCGGGTCTTTTTTAGACACCCAACATATTGTGGTGTTTTCCCTTTACAAAAAGGGAACCCTCAAAAAGAGACTCTTCCGTGTCTAGTCTACGCTAGAATATATCACGTTTTTGGAAGAGACCCCGGTTAACCACGAGTGGCGCCTCCAAGCAAAGGCTCAAGCCGCTTTGAAGAAAATGGCATCGCAGAAAGTGATCCCCCAAGGAATCTCCAGTTTTGTGCAAACAAAACATCATTGTAAAATATGTTTAAACTCATATTAAAAAAAAAAAAACCAAAAAAAAAAAACAACTAAAATCGAATGCAAGATTGAGGTCTGCTCAAGACAAATAGCGCGAGGCTTCCCGGAAAACACCGGCGCACGGGCTGTCGTTGTTACCCCAGCACATTTCGAAGATGCCTGTCACACTCTCAGAAAGTGGAAGGGGTCAACAAAAGTAAACTCCCCATGTTCAGCAGAACCCATCAGGTGCCTTCCACTGAGTCTGCCTGCAACCAATGTAACCAACAGTGGCAGGTCCAAGGAACATCATCCAGGTTTCTGTTTGAGAATGTCATAGGTTTTCTGTCTACCAAAATGGGTCCCTCAAACTCCCTTTTGAACCTCAAAAAAGAGTGAGTGCCCCTCAAACCAAACACACACCGAGGGCAAACTTGCTTCATTCCCACATGGTCAACTGGAGTTGCGGTCTTTCCCTGGGTTCTTCACCATTTGTCTTACCTTTTTGCTCCAGTTGGTGTGGTGCCTTTTCTTGAGCATTCCATTTTCGCAAGTCTTTGAAGGGAAAACAAAGGACCCCCACCCCCATCTGAGTGGGTCTAACCACCCATTTTGGGGTCCCCTCCCAAAAAAAAAGGAGCCAGATCTGATCCATCTGCTTCGACCAACTGCGATCCGAATGGTTGCCTCGAAGTCCGCGAGGTCGGCGAAGTTGTGGTCAGTGACGGACCTGATGGTCCAGTTGTCCTTCATGGGCGAGATCCTGAGCGCTGGAACTTGGTGTAAACCGTTGACCCTGGGCACTTTGAGAGGGGAAACAACATGGGGAAGTTTAAACCATAGAGGTTGGAATATGGTTTTGAACATGTTGGAACAAGGGCTTTCCTTTTGGGGAAGCCCTCGGAAAGAGGGGAACCAAGAGGGGGAAGTTTAAACCATAGAGGGTTGAATATGGTTTTGAACATGTTGAAACAAGGGTCTGGCCCAATTCTGATCCTGAGACTAGAGAACAAAGGAAAACACAAATACGCGTGCGTCTGCATGCAAGCCCCGGACCCCATCTTGTTTGAAGGATCCCGCGGGCGAAGCGAGGGTCGCGGGTAACTAATACAGTGCGTTTCGGCCATATGTCACCCGCCTGGTGGTTTCTCACCGGGGGTGCCCTGCCCCTTTGATCCAAAACCCAAGAAGAAGTATGGGCAACGCCCAGTCTGGTCAGCCGTTTTGGATGTCGCCGACCTCGTTTTGGTTTTGCCCAGTTGGCTCATAGTTTGGCCTCCTAATCCACGAATTCCCCGACCCCCTCGAAAGACAGCTCGTAACATATACTCCCCATAAAGCCCTCCTGAAAACAGCCAAGTAGACTCCCAGTGGACTCCTGCAGACCCCCGCCCCGTTTTCACTTGCTGACTGAAACGAACAGCTTGCTCCCGAATCCAGCGCAAGCCGTCCGCGCCGCAAGCCGGCCGCGCCGAGCCACGTGAGCACGGTGAGCTGATGCTTCCTCGCCTCCCAGAGCTCCACGGCACTGCCCATGGAGGCCTCCGGCAGATGGCCTCGAATTTGGTCGGGGTGAAATGGGGACACGAGGCGAGGATTGGGGGGTTGTGCGTGAAAAAAAAGGGGAACCCCCGTGGTTTACCGGATCTTTGGAGTTGATCTCAAAACGGATTTGTGGCAATTTACCCTCAAAAAGAGGGAAATGCCGTGGCTAACAATACAGCTGGCCATCCAAAGAATATGCCTAGTGAAGGGGGTTTTCCTGGTCTCAAACAAGGCAACTGGTCTCAAACAAGGCGACTGGGACCTGGTCGGACAAAGGCTGACTTGATTCCTCTTGGTGACCCTCCATGAAAACAAAAGGAGTCCCTCCATGAAAACACCCAGTAAAGTACACGAGGTGATTTCTCCCGTGAAAGTGACGGAAGGAGCCCACTTTTGCGGGGCGCCATTTCCCAAAAAGAGATTCCGATCCTAGCAATGCGGGGTGTTCGTGTTCTATCCAGCAGCCCTTTCGTATAACTGACCAGGAAGCCAACGAACGGGGCAACACCCCACATTCTTTGAGATTTCGCACTTGGGCCATGCTACAATCAGATGGGAGTTCAATTTAATGTAGGGGGTTGAATGGGGTCCCAAATGCGTGGCCATGCAAAGCCGACCATCTTGGCTGAATGGGTGGCTCGTCTTGTTTTTAGGGGGAACCGTTTTTGGGTCGGTACAGGAAACCAAAAGCATAATCTGTTCACCATTTTGGGGGGTCCAAATCCTAAGAAAGGACATACCCCAAGTTTCCCAAGGGCCGACATTTTCCCCACGGCCACAAACGGCACAGAGTCCCCTGGTCTTTGTGATTGAAACTTGAGCAAATTTCCCCCATGTCCCTCCAAAGGGACCATGGACCACTAGATGTTTCACCAAACCTCATGTTTGTTGGTGGGGGAGTAGATGTACCCAACACGGGGCTCAAAAATGCCGAGCAAGCCGCTCACGATGACATCGCAGGTTTGGACCAGGCCGACCACCTCCTGAGTGTCGGAATCATTCAAGTCAATGGGGTGGTTGGGCGACTCATGCCGGAGATGCAACTAGAAGCACATGAATGGCTATGAATTTCAATAAGGGACCTTTGGTGGACATCATTTAGGGGATTCATGTCCACCACTGTTGAGGTGGCTCACCATTCCCAAGTTTTGAGAATGGGTTGGGTGGTGCCAAAAGCAACCTGCACAGTCTTAGGTGCACCATTGAGTTATGGAGCCGGGCAAGCACATAACTATTCTGTCCGTGCGCTCATGGGAGCAAGTGTAAGCAAAGGTCCGCAGGTGGGCTTCATTCCCGTGTAACTCTGACTCACGCAATGGGAGCGATTCTCATACAGCCAACACTCCGGCCATGGTCCATGTCAGTGAAACTCGTAAGGCGGTCTCATCTGACTGCCTGCTCGATTTGTGATTGCTCACAAAGGATGGTCTTGGATACAGAGTCAACACACGGCAGCGGGAATCCTCGTGAAGCTTGCCGAGGGGTCCATCACAGCCCTTGTAAAGAGTACGTTGAGGGCACACGTGTGCTAACCACACGCCGCGGGCCTCCCGGTCCGGGCTTCCTGAAGGGTTCAAGCGTTGGGTAAGATGAAGTCCAGGAAAAAGAACTCGGAGCAAAATCTCCTGGGGGGAAGTCCACAACCGGTTGGGGGTTCCCTCTTTGATTTGGGGAATACAAAGGCTTCCTTACATGCCGCCCGCCCCCTAAAAGCAGGACCTCATAAAGAAGGGCGCGAGCCTTCTGCATATGGACGGTCCCCCAACAGTCGCTCGGCCCCCGCAAAAAAAAAAAAACAGAAAGAAAGAACAAAAACACTTAGTAGGCATTTGTAGGGGGTCCATATGGCCAGGGGTCAAAAGCCCGTACCGCCAGTGAACATCCCAATCCCCACTAAAATAGGTTCTCAAATGGGTGGTACACCTACCCCAAAATGGTACCATTGGCTTTGACCCAGAGCCACATGCCAACCAAAAAAGTCCAAGGCGCCAGGAAGGCCTCCCGCACTGCGCCGGTGCTGCTGTTCAGGCCATCCATGTTGGAGTTTTCCCTGGCCGTCCGAGCGGACCACATGCAGGGACCCCCCCCCCCCCCCCGCTGCCCTCAAAAACAAAAGGTGGTGCTCCTGCTGTGCTTTAAAACCAACCCGAAAAGGGTGCTTTTCCCTTTTTGGTATTTTTTTAAAGGGAAACTGAGAAGGAAATCGACCATGTTGGGGGTACCCCGATTTAGAGATAGCCAAGCCCTGCCGACGGTCAGCACTTCACGCCGTCCCTTTGCCTCGCGGCCTTCTGCTGCACCACTTCCAGCGGATCCACGATGACGGCCTCCGGGTCCGCCTGACGGGCCGTTTGGTGGACATCATTCGAAGAAACCAGCTGCGGGAAATTCTACAGGACATCCATGTTTGTGGCCGGGTCTTTGGCCAATTTCGTGTAGAATTTCCGTAGCTGGTTGCTATGAATCATTGACAAGGGGGTTGTCCACCGCCATCATTTTTAACTGACTGACACATACACAAGGGCGTCACACGGTCTCGCTGCTTTTACTTAACAAATTGAGGAGATTGGGTACTTTAGCTTTTCCGAATCCCCCCCCGGCAGAAATGATCTATAGGCTGCACTCGACTTCCAGCATGTTTGCCCGTGTTCACACTAGAACCAAAGGGATTTAGCCGTATAATGAAAGACCGACTCACCCAACTCACCCATGCGCCACGGGTTGCACCCGGTTTGCTAGATAAGCAACGGATGATATTGAGCGATGGATCATGAGGTACCCCCCCCCCTTCACTTCTAGGCAACATGGAAGGCCGGATAATCCACATCTCCTGAATAGTTCCTCTTAAGTCCCGACGGCTTTCCTGAGAGGCTCATTTTGAGGATGTTCATGAATGTCACTGTAGCGGATCCACAAATGAGCGATACAATTCAAATCACATTCGTTCTCAGTTGTAGGAAAAATGGTTCTCCCCGTGTAAAGTACAGACAGCCGTAAAGTAGACTGGATGGCGCCGACCACATGTCTAAACAACGCCCAAAAAATGCGCGACATGAATCCAAACTCTAGTTACAAGTCATTCAGCACCAATGAAATGAACGTTGCAACAAGCATTGTAGTAAGAAAGGTGAACATGTAGAACACGTATCTAAACTCTACCTACACAGGTGAAGCACCAATCAAATACGCCTTAGCGACGAAGCATTTTCGTGAAGGTATAAGCCCTAACAGCCCGGAATTCCTGGAAGCCTCTGGAATGCTCCCAAATGCTCCGAGCCACTCCGGAGCCTTTCAAAGACACCACAGCTTTCAGCTGGGGAAAAATGCAACGAATATATATATATATATATATATATACATATATATATATATATCCGAGCCCAAAACCCAAAAACTCAGCTGTGCACGCCATATGCTCAGTCCCTACTTCGTCCGTTTCCATCATCTCGGAGGCCCCAGCGCCTCGTCAAAAGCTTAGGATTCGTGTCCTTTCGACCGTGGAAACCTGCGCCTTGCGGATGACGTCGCTGATCTGCTGGCGGTAGTTCTGGGGTGCCAGGCCTGCCTCCGTGAGAGTCCTGGACGCCAGGTTCCGATCATAGGCGTCCTTTTAGGGGAAATAGATGGCCCTGGTGGATGATTAAACCACCAGGTAAACCAGGAAGCGCCATTTTTTTTTCCAGCAAAACAACCAAAAAGGACACCTATGCTTCCAATCTTGCTGCTCTTCTCAGCGGGAAATATTTCCTATGTTTTTCTTCTGTGGTCTATACTATTTTAGTAGGGGAACCCTCCCAACCAAAAAGGGGGCGAGAAAGGGCACGATCCTGGGGGAGCTAGCCAAGCCATTGCCGTTGCCTTAAGGATCAAGCCGAAACCTCCCAACACCCCGAATTGATTCCCTACCGAGAAGCAAGACATGCAAGCTGACTGGAGGATCTGGGAGTGGGGCGCCTCCTTGAAGGGAGCAACGATTGTTGAACAGAGGGTACTGGCCAGGGGCCACAGGTTGAAAGATCTCCCAAAAAACATGGCTCAACAAAAACTCTTGGCCTAGGGACAACTCAGGGAGTTGTCTCCCTTCTTGTCAAATCCGGTGAACATGACTCGTGAATTCAGCCAGAATCATGGATGAAAGAGAAGGGAGCCAGAACTATAGTCTTCACTATGCCGATCCCAGAAAAACAGAGCTTATTTATGGGCAAGACAAGTCAAGCGGATATGATTCCGCGTCAGTTCCAGGCACCCAGCTAAACCAATCAGTTCCCTGACTTCTATCCGGGGTTCCAGTCGCGCAAAAATCGAAAATGTCACCAACACTGAAAACAACAGATGGAACCTACAACGTCCCACTAGCACCCCTGAGGCCTGGGAAATTCAAGTCCCATTCCCAACCTGACCATAGACTGGGCATGAGGACCCCTCAAAATGGCCTGCGTCAGGTTGGGAATTTCTAAAATCCCAATGCTTAAAAAAAACACAATGCAGTTGTTGTTGTTTTAATGTATCCAGAGTGTCATGTAACTCAGAGTCCTTCTGATGTCTGTTTCAGGGTGGCTCCATAGACCCGAGCGGCACAAGTGCGGCACAAGTGTGTCCTTTTTGAGGGTTCCCTTTTTGGGATGTTTTGAAAGCAATAAGGGAAACCAAACCGGTTCCCCCATTTTGAGACACACCCATTTGGTGCTTGGCAAAAGGAAACTAAAGGAAGCTGAAAACCAATGACCCTCCTGAACATGCAACCATGTCGGGGTCCTTACGATGTTTCTTTAAAAGGAAGCGTGTAGGGCAACGTGGACGGGCTCACCCTTCAATTTGGTTAAGACCCCCGGGAAAAAAGGGGAGAACAAAACAGTAGTGGTACATTCCTTTTAAAACCAACAAGGGAAATATGTATATATATAAATAATATATAAAATTATATATATATATATATTTAAATAAAAAAAAAAGCTCGGGAGCCGTGTCTCTACTGATCGAGGGAACCACCACACCCGCGGCTTCGCCGAGCTGCTTCTGACTGCCCAGCATCACTCCCGAGATGAAGTACCGCCTGCCACTGGGCGACCAAGGGACCAGCCCGTGGCACCTCGTGGCACCTCTCGGCCCGTGGGTGTGTGTTTTATTGAAAGGAAACCTAGAGGGAAATCCGTGCTTTTTGAGGTACACATGCGCCTAGAAGTGGGAAATGGCAGGGTCAATGAACCTAAGGGCCCCTCGAAAAAGGACCTGAACAACGGAAGTGCCGTTTGATGAATTGAGTTACAGCCCCCGCTTTGGTAAGGAAATCCCCAACCCCTGAGAAAAATGTTGCCCTCAAAAAGCACACGCCACCGCAGCACAGTCCTCAATTGTGCATCCACTTGGTGAATCCATCGACCGGACACCGCAGAACTCAAAACCCCTGAGCTCATGTTGGCCGAATCAGCCTTCTGCATTTGTGGCACCATCAGGGCTCCCTTGAAATCTGCAAACTAACATCTATCCCTTTGCCCAAAGGGCGGCAACGCAGGTGAGCTTGCAGTATGCAAATGGGCACTGGACGCCTGCAGGCCTCTTTTGCCCGTCCCCCGCCAAGATTTCTCAAGCCGACTGTGAACCCAGACTTGACAACTGGCAGCTTGACAAGCTTGCTGGTGCTCAGTAGGGAATGAGAAATGGGGTGAACCCATAAAAAGTCATCCAACTGGTGGTTTCCTTTCAGGGAATCCCCAAGTTCATTCCCACATTCCCCACCTATCGCCCCAGGCAAGTAAAGCTGCGTTTCGCGTCTCGCGTCTCGCGCCTGGCTTGCCGCCTGGCGGAGTCCGGCGTCGTTGGAAGCCCTGAAAAGGGGACCAAGGCACCAGCAAATGAGCAAAATGGGGAATCCTAGCGGTGGTCTGGGGGGTAAAGGGGACCTTTTCCCCCAAACCAAATGAGCAAAATGAGAAAAAATACGAGTGCATAAATCATAGACATGTATACCTACGTCTATTTATACAAATATGTGTATATCTACATATAGGTATTTTGACCATCAAGTCCGCTGGCATCATGTTGCGCTGCAGGGCGAAACCAAACCAATTGGCGGCTTCTGCAGAGCTGGGGGCAGGTAGATAAGAAACAACTGTCTCAGGGAAAGTGCCCATGAATCACAAACTATGTTTTTCCACCTGGCACTGGGCAGAAGCCGTCTCTGGTCCACGTATTTGTAGCGCTACCAGCACCAGCCACAATTCAAACACTGGATATCAGGAATCCTTCGAGTGAGGGACCTTCATGCTTTGTTGGCGTAAGACGCGCAGGGTTCGTTGGCTTCAATGATCGTTGGTCTGGTGGCTTTTGAGCATGTGCATGTTGCATGCTGCAATCTGTTAGGAAAGATTCCGTGCCAGTGCTGACGGAGGGTTAAGCGAGTCTAGATGTCAGTTGACTGGCGCTATGGTCAACTGGCAACCTACTGTGGATGGACAACACTGCACCAGTTGGTAAGTAGTTTATCCACTACTCATAGGGTTTCATCCATCCCAACTGGTGCAGGACTCCGTATCCTGTGGAGCGCCCCCTGCTTGATTTTGATTTGGCGCGGGGAAGATCCGGGTACGCAGATCCGAGGTTATGGAATCGTGTGTGCCATCGAGAACTCAGCCCGCCATGGGAGAGGGGCCTTCCCCCGCTCTCCCTCCGGTTCGGCCCGTACCCTCTTTGGGGTTGCTTTAAGGGGAAACAAAGAAACAAAAATCCAAACATCTTGGAGCGAGATCCCCCGAACCCATTTTCGGGGGGGGGGGGGAAGCTGCTGACTTTGATTGAACTCCTTTGGACTTTTGCGAAATGATTCGCCATTTGAGGCCCGGACCTCCAGTGGCCATGGGAAACGAAGGGAATAGTCCAAACTTTGTACTCGCTTAGAAAGGGTTTACCCCTTCCAACCAAAAAGCCGCTGAACCAGCTCAAAAGGTGAGCCTTCTTCGTTGAAACCCACCCTCCCTCCATCCACCCTCCAGCCTCCATCCACCCTGAGCTTTTTTCCGGGGGTCACATAAACCCACGGGTGGCTGGATGGGTGGGTCTTCACTCCCCTCGCCTGCTGGCACGGAAGGCGCCAAAGCCGCTGGCCCACGCAGGCCGGTCCTGTCAGGGGGCCCATTGGGGTGGGGGGGGCCGTGGGGTCGAACCAAGGGTCTATTTGGCTGTGGCTCAAAAAACCGGTGCCAAAATGGAACCCTGGTAAGTGGACACATGGACCAAAACCTGCGTAACCCCTCCTGTTTAATTTCGAGCCACACCCATTTGTTCTTTTCCCCCAACAGCTGAAAGCTTTGGGGTCTCAGCCCAGACACTCCGGGGTGGTCCGGGGCGGCCCTGAGGTGAGGTTCCACGAGGGTTCCACCAGGGTTCCACCAGGGTCCCACGAGGGTTCCACGAGGGTTCCACCAGGGTTCCACCAGGGTTCCACGAGGTTCGGCGAGGGCTGCGGGGTGGTGCTGTTGGGGATATCACCTGAGCTTCTTATTTTTGGGGCGGGACGGGGGGGGGGGGGGGGTGAGGGGGCGTAATTAATCGGTGTTTTGGAGGTGTTCAAGGGCAACCTCTCTTTGTTTGGGGGGTAGTTAATCGGCTTTTTGGAGGTGTTCAAGGGCAACCTCTCTCCTCTTTTTTTTTGGTGGGTGGGTGGGGAGGGCGGGGGTAATTAATCGGTTTTTTGGAGGTGTTCAAGCTCCTTCTTTTTTTTTGTGGGGGGGGGGGGGGGGGTAATTAATTTGTTTTGGAGGTGTTCAAGGGAAACCATCAGAAAAGGCCATCACTGTTTTGCGAGGGTGCAAGTGTTTTTTCTTGTTTGGGGGAACCCATCATTTTGGCGGGGTCTCCCAAAAATAGAAACACCCGAATGGGAGGGTTAGATCCGAAGTCACTTACACCTGAATTGGACCCGAAGGGAAGCGCCGAAAAACGCAGGGCTCCGAAGTCGGATTCGCTGGAATCTGTCTCCAAATCGAAACGAACAGAGACTTCCCGTGACGGGAATCCAGTTGAATCAGCGCTTCGAGGCACTTGGCACCGGTCGGCCTCTGCAACAGGCGGTGTTCGTCGGAAACCTCGGGTTCCCTACACACAAACTTCAGGTAGGCTGGAGTTTCGGGGCGCACGGAGCTTGATTGGCTGATGAAAGCTCCGGGGGTTTTTCCCGACAAACATGACGAAATGTGGGATTCCCCCCCAAAAATGCCAAAGCCCCCAAGAAGAACAAGAGGGGGTTGATATGGGTGTGCTCCTTTTTTTCAGGGGACCCCGCCCAAAAAAAAAATAAATGTTGGTGTTCCTTTTGGTTTCCTTTTTAAAGCCACCCAAAAGAGGGGGGGGGTGCCCCGAACAAAACGAGCCACACCCGCCCCCAACTCCAAAATTTCGCCTTGTAAGGCACGCCGGTCTGGAAGTAGCTCTCAGGGCTCCCCGGCGCCGTGAGGTTCCTGCCGGTTGGATTCCGCACTGGTGGCGAAATCCGCTTAGGCGCCACTTTGGAGCCATGCTTGAAACCATTGTTCTTTTTTGGGGGGGTATTGATAGGGAAGCATCATTCCAGGGTTTTCTCGGTGGTGCAGGATCCCCAGGGGCATCACTTCAGTTCATTTGTAGGGTGGTGATGGCTGCCATGCAAAGCCTTTTACCATTCGAAGAGGAGGCCGAGATGGGGTGTGTCTTTTTGTTGATACCACCCTTCATGTTCAAAGGGAAACCACAAGGAAAACCACTCCGAATCCAAAAAACAGCACCATTTCAGGCGGGGAAATGCAGACACTATCCGTTCTGCCGCCGTAAAATCAAACAAATGGGCGTAAAGGAGGACAGGTGAACCTGGGAATGCGCATCCGAGGGCCCCACGAGGAACTTCCTGGAACCATGGGTTGTAAGTCGGGGTTCCCGGTTGACCTGCAAATGACTGAGGCACCCTACAAAGGGAAGTTCAACTTGTTCCTTGCCTCCAGTATTCTCCAAAAGTTGCGCAGTTGGTGTTCGGCTAAGACCCTTGGTACCTGAGCATTATTTCCATTGGTGTGAATTTGCATAGGGCAATTGTTGGGGGACATCAAACCTCGGCGGGTCCCGATTCATGTCCACCAACCACTGTGGGGGTGGTTTCCCCATGAAAGCTCATCACCAAATGGGCGGTTCTCAAACAATCAGGGACCCCCTCAAGTGGTTCGCTTGGTGGTGTCCTCTTCCAACTCCAAAAAGATGACCCCTGCTTAGCAAGGGACGCCCTCAAGTGGTTGGTTTCTTCTTGGTTTCCTCTTCAACCTCCAAAGGGGACCCAAACAATTTTTGGAGCAAGACCCATCACCTAAAAGGGCTCCTGCCGGTGTCCTCCAGGCCAAGCGACAGCAGGAAGGGCCCGCACTCCTGAGGCGAGGGTCGGCGAAGGCCAGGCTCGGATGGGCTGAGTCACCGGGCACCGACGGATGCTGCGTATGACCCCCCCACATGGTGGCTACGCCGGGTGGCTTCCTTGGGAAGTCTTCTCCTTTCCCTCATACTTGAAATTCTGGGAGAAACATGGGGGATTTGAAATCAGAAAAGGGGACCAGAAGGAACGGGAGCAGGGCGGTTTACTCTTGCTTCACCCAGCCCAGCCAAGGAACCTCAATTGATGATTCCTTCAGGGGATGCTCCAACCGCCAAACCGTCACGTCCAAAATCCAAAACATGCCATTACCTGTATCGAGGAATATGAGAGGGCCCTTCTTTAAAAAAAACAGAAGAAAAAGCCCTGCCTATCCCTTCCAAAATGACGATACTCTTTGAGGGATCACACACGTCGCAGGGGTAGATGCCACTGATGTATCAATATAAATGGCCAACGGCAATGGGTACATAATTACTGTGTATAAGGGGCACCTACTCGAGGCCGAATGGCAGGTGGTTGAGACCCTATATAGATACTGGACATGTTGACCAAACTTTATACAGGGTTCCTTATAATATATGCCCAGTTACAGTCACTTGAACCTGGCAACTGATCAGCTCGTTAGGTTGCTGCCTCACGCCCATCGTGGTGTTTGCTTTGGTGCCCGAGAGCGATTGCTGCTCCCTGGGTCCCTTTCTCAGTCCACAGTCCAAAAGGTGGATGAACCTGAGGCCATTCATTTAGGGGTACGAGCCGCAAACCGCAGGCCACAGGCCACAAGCCGCAGGCCGCAGGCCAGGCCACAGGCCACAGGCCGCAAGCCGCAAGCCGCAAGCCACAAACCGCAAACCGCAAACCGCACACCACCAACCGCCAACCTTCTGTCCAGGGATCCTTCTTTCCAGAAAACCCCAGAAACTCAGGCAAAAGGCAAGTTTTTGAAAAGAACGATGGTTGAAAAGAATGGGGAGTTAACCCCTAGAATTCAACGTGCTCGCTGAAGCAGTCCTTTGCCAAGGACAATGTGGTGCGCTGGCATTCACGCTTTGCGCAGCACATTCCACCCCCCCCCCCAACCAATGGAAAATGTGGCTTCATCTCCAAAGATGGAACCGCCCCAAAATGGGTTGTTTGATGTCCTTTATCCCAAAGGGGGTCGACAAAACGACACACCCACAGCCATAGGTGTCCTTTTCAGGCAAATAGATGGGTTTCCCTGAGTAGACGATTAAACCACCAGGTAAACCAGGAATCGCCCTCTATGTTTCGACCAAAACGACCAAAAAGACGGACCCCCCCCAAAAGAAAAAGAAGAGGGTTGTTTGATGTCCCTTATCCCAAAAGGGGTCGACAAAATGACCCACCCGCAGCACCCCTCCGTCGAACTGCAACGAGTCGGACGTCCTGGGCGAACTCTTCGGGGCTCCGCTGCTGGGCGCACCACTTCAGCTCCTGGACGGACGGCTGCCAGGTGAGCCCCAAAACATCGGGAGCAAACCTGGCTGGAATTAGCACCCCAGCAAAACAAACATGTGTTTGCCTGGTTAGTGGAAAACAAAGGGAACCCCAAAACAGAAAAACAAAAAAGGAACTAATTCTGGGGAAGCAAAGAGGTCTCGTGGGCGTGGGTCAAACATAAGCGAACCCCGGAATGGCTTGCTGTTGGAAGCGTTTGACCATGGACCGAGAACGGCATTCCAATCCCTGGCCAAAGGCGCTCAGGGCTACCCAAATGCCAGGCAGCCCATAAGCGGAACTGGGACCAAAATCCCAAAGCCGCAAAACCGCCGGCGCCACGAAAACCACCTGGGCTCAGCCTGGGACCTGGGTCACTGGAAACAAAGCCGTCACCGGGTCGCCTGCCAGGGAGGCCTCCGTAGGTCCCCAGCTCAAAATCCATGCCACGAATCCGGAACCGCTACACCCCAAATCATTTTAAAGGACCAAAGGGATATGGCTGTGGCTCAGTGCGTTCATGCACCGTGATGTATCATGTGCTTTATCGTACTTATGAAACCTATGTCATGCTGGGTAGGGTGGTTTTGGGATAGTGGACATTGTCTTAAAATCAGGGTTCCTTACACATCCCCTTTACTCATCACCCCACTAAAAAATAGATGTCACCGGACCACTCTAGAGCAAGACACAGGACTGCCGGACTGCCGGTCCTCCTCTGTCTGGCAGTTTTGCCGCAGCATCTCTGTATTCACCTCATGCGAGATGAGCGAAGAATGCGTCCTACTGTGGATGGTGACGAAATCCGCTTAGGCACCACGAAATGAAACCATGGTGGGAACCGATGTTTGTTGGTAATTTCAGGAGGGGAATCATCATTCCAGGTTTTTCTAGGTGGTGTAGGATTTCGTCCATCCAGGGTACCTTTTGAGCAGCCAACCCCATGAAAGGAAACGTCACGGGAGGGTTGGGGTATGTGCGTTTGAAGAGACGACGCGCAGTTTCACAAGGAAGGTAGTGCGTAGGCCAACATGATGGCCAAAGAGGCGAAGCCTTCGTCTGTAGGTTACAAGGACATGCCACGGAACTTCTCAATGACAGCCCCGCCCGACGAATGAACAGAAACAAAGCAAGACCTATCGGACAATTGCTAGGTCCTCCAGTAGAGGGGTTAGAATAAGGGTACCCTTTTTCTTTCTGTAGTCTATTTTAGTAGGGGAACTCGGAACCCTCCCCCAAAAAAGGTGTAAAAGGGCACCTAGCTGGGGGACCCACTGGTTGAATCCTCACTGGTTGAGCTTTAGGCCAAGGACTCCCGTGATTGGTGGATGTGTTGGGTGTGTCATGACTTTGTGTTGCCAGGTGATGCCTGTTTTCACAGGGAAGGCCAGCCCCAAAACAACAAAACACTACAAAGAGCCGGCCGCTGCTGCGAAAATGAAGTGTCAAATATTCTGACCCCTAGTCCTCCCAAGGCAACCAAAACTCTTTTGAAAGACAACGCATTTGGGTGTTTCCACAAGTGAATTGTGTTTCAAGGCTTGCAAGGTGTGACTTGGGTGCACAAAGGAGGATTTCTGGGAAAGCTGAAGGAACCCGTAAAGCCAATTTTTGGACACAGCCAATTTGGTCATGAAAACTTGACGAATCGGGTTTATTGCACCTATGGCCAAAGCACATCAAAGGCCTGCGTGACCCTATCTACCCGTTCCGAAATGGCTCATGGCTCCGATTTGTTTTGAACCAAACGAAGTCATTGGTTGGACGAGCATTCCCAGTTGAAGGGGCCTTTTTTGTGGTTGGTTCAGAGGGAAAGACAAGACCCATTTTTTGGCTTTAATCTAAAGACACCCGTGTTTACCTCGGCTTTTGCCCCTTTAGATTCTGGTCCCCCACAACAACAAAAAAGTGACCTTTCTGCTTTCCACCTCTGGCCCTATGCCATAAAAGTGACCCTGCAGGGTTTTCCTTTCAGCTTAACCGTCTCAAACGCCAAAACCCCTCAGCCCGAAGCAAGTGTGGAGGGCCCGGGGGTCTTCATCTTGTGGCTTTTTGGGGGATCCCATGTGTGGGTTCTCGGCGAAATTAAGGGGAACCGCCTGCTTCTGCTTTTTTGGGGGGTCTTGAGACAAACCCAATCTCCTAAGCCCAAAACACATAGGCGAACCCCCCGAAAGAAACCAAAAACAACAACTACAACTACAACAAAACAACCCCCCAAGCCCCAACACCCCCAACGCCCCCAACCACCCCCCCCCCCCAAAAAAAAATAAATAAATAAAAATAACAATGGGAAAAAGCAGCAACGACCCACAACCCACAACCCACTCGCCACCTCGCCAACTCGCCGCCCCGCCGCCTCGCCGGGGCGCCACCCCCGGGTCCAGAGACACCACGGCGACTTCGCGCGCCAAGAGCTCCAGGGCCAAGGTCTTGGCCATGGCCTGTCGCGGCAGCAGCTCGTGGGGCCGGGGAGTTGGGGGAGTTGGGCTTGGTGGGAGGGGGGTTGTTGGGGGGGGTTGGTGGGGGGGGGTTGGGGGGTTGGGGCTTGGGGGGGGGGGTGTTGGGGGGTTGGGGTTTGGGTTGGCTGGGGTCAACTGATGGGTGCCAACTCAAGAAAGACGAGCCACCCAAATGCCAGAATCTGAAAGCATCGTGGGATAGATGGGTTGACTTTCAGCCTTCCGGGGTTCCAAAGAATGGGCCGAAGCTTTGGGGGTTTCGACCAAAACCCAAAAATGGCCCCCCTCCGAAAAAATAGTCCTGACCATGTTCCCCTTTCGAGCCACAAATCTCCTTTTGCAAAAGTGGATGTTCGGAACCACCCTTACAAGCCATTCTTTCCACTCGCACTTTGCAGCTGGCCAAAGCTAAACAGCAAAACAGCAAAACAGCAAAACAGCAAAACAGCAAAACAGCAAAACACCAAAACTAAAACTCGCTTGGCTTTGTCTACTTTTTTTGACCACTCGTTTGGTTGGCTTTCAAAGGAAACTAACAGGAAACCGTTGCGACGTTGGGCTCCCAAGTCTTCTTATTTTGAGACAAACCCAAACTCGCAGCTGCCTTGCCAGAGGAATGGCGTGAGGCTTCCTTTGGGAACAACTGTATATCGGAAGGACACAGTTTTGGCCCAATGAATATCACCACCAACTGGGGTTTTGGGAGTATCGGCTTATGGTCCTCTATCGGTGGTTTATGGAAAAGGTTGTTGTCAGACATGCATATGCGTTCATGAAGCAGGCAGGCAGCGCCAGCGCACGGGACCTTCAAGATGCGGGCCCCAGTACCCATGTGGGTATGCACCTAAAAAAAAGCAGGCTTTAGTCCATGTGTCCATGTACCAATCCGACAAAAAGTTATCCCAAATGTGGATTGGCCGCCTTTTAGCCATGTGTCCATTTTGGGGGTACCAACGATTTTTGACGGCCGTGGTGTCCTCTACAAAACCGCCGCTCACCCCACCCCGCCGACCAACCAACCAACCAACCAGCCCCGTAGCCGGGGTTAAGCCCGGAGCCGGGGCTAGCAAAAAAAAACGGTTCTCCCCACCGCAAGGCCCCAAAACCACGCGCGCCTCGGTGGCCCACTTGGTGGCGCTGTAGCAGCCCATACCAGGGGCCACCTGAATCGACCGGTGATAAATCGACGGGAAAAAATCGATGGGTTTTCTTGGTATAAATGGCTGTGGGTCAAAAATATGTACCCAAAATGGAATCCTGGTAAATGGAAACTTTGACTAAAACCTGCGGTCCCCTCAAACTAACCTAAAAAGGACACCCAAGATGAGGTCCCCTGGTAAATGGAATACCAAACCAAAGGGATCCATCTATTTCTATCCAAATGGCCCTGGGAAATGGGGCAGATCACCAAACCCACCGATCAAAACGGACACCAGGGGCCACCTGAATCAAAACCTGATTCCATTGAACCCCAACCCACCTGAATCACGCTGAAAGTAGATGGCATGATCCCCTTTATGCGAACCAAGATGGGTGTGGGTTTTCCTGTGGAGGGCACCCTGCTTAGGTTTGATTCAAAAGAAAGCAGAAAGGAACACCACAAATTTGGGGGAGTTCCCTATATTGCAACACGCCTGCATTGACTTTTTGGTGCCATTTACCTTCACCCAACTGTACGGTGGCCTTCTCGAACCTTCCATCAAATCGCCCGATCGGAGTTCGTTGAACAAACGGAAATACAGCCTGACGAGCAAAACATCCCTGCCCCTATAAACAAGGGAAGGGATTCGATTCCAACTCCTTTCCCTGGCTAAGTCAGAGAAATGCAATGCCCCCTTCCCTGACTCCAATTATTTTGGGTTCCAGCCACCACTCAGCAAGGATCAGAAAAAACAAGTTCAAAAGCCGGTTTTGGACACGTCAATATAGACCAGCTGGCATCATCCCAAAGATGCCGCTCAAAGATGTAGAAAGGACCTTGCACCAAGCGGAAACTATAGGTTGAATTTGTTGCAATCTCAGTCTTGTGTACACCCACCCAAACCACATCAAGGCTGCTTTGGCCCAACTGTCGAGCTTTCCCTACGAATGGTCAAGATGCTGGACCACTTACCACTGGTGGTTTATCCCAATGTTCCTCCATCCCAACTCCTGACTTCTGTCCATCCACAGTCTGGCCGTAGGCTTGGGGGGCTCCCTATACTTCCCCTTTAAACATCACTCCACCAAAAGGTCGGTCATTTTAAATTGGCCCAAGAAACCAATATCCAAAACCACCAAAATGGGAAATACAGGGAGCCCTGGCACAACAACCCGCGCGCTTTCCGCTCACCGCCCAGCCCGAGCCGCCCGCCCAACCCCCCGACTTTTTCCGCCGGAGGCGCCGCGCGGCCGTAGCGGGAGGAGAGCACCACGATGGCGCCTTTGGGCGCCATGAGCGGCGCGAAGCTGCGCAGAAGCTGGGCCAGGGCTAGCACATTCACCTCCTCACCAAGCCGAACTTGGCGGAGGGGGGGGCCCAAAATGGCCAACCATAGGGCTGGAAAGGTGAGAAACAAGAAGAAGGCGAAAATGGCAAAGGACCAAACATGAATGAAGCTGGAAAACTGACATGATCTTTCTAAGAGAGCAAGCCAAGGTGAGAAACCAGCAACAGTTGTTTCGAGAAACAAGGAAAAACAGAGAGTCAAACACTGGGCTGTCCTCAGATCCCTGCAAGTTCAACTTTTAGTGGGTTGAATTGGGATTCCCAACCACTAAACCCACTAAAAAAAGCTCCAACACCTATACTTCCATTTGCTTAAGCCCCCTGGAAGAATAAACATATTTCCAGTAGTGATAGATTCCCTTTGAAACCAACGAGGGAAAATCTGAAATATTACTAAGCAAATGGAAGCACAAGGCACCGGACGATCCGCGGGGCCCCGGCCACGGCCCGGCGCCAGGCGCCGGCCGCGTCCGGCGCGGAGTCCCCGAGGGGCGCGTTTGGGGGCATGAACCCGGCAGCGGCGACCAGGAGGTCCAGCTGCCTGCCATAGGCTCTGGTCCCAAAGGGACCTCCCAAACTCACTCCCAAAATCACCCCCCTCCCAAAAAAAGAAACGACACCCCAGAAATTCGTCTTTTTTGTTCGTCCGAAACAAATATGTGTTTGGAGGGTGGAAAGGTTTGGGGGGTCCTCTTCAGGGGGACATACTGCGGATGGTTGCAAAATCCCATTCGCACCACCTAAGAAAAACCGTGGTGGAAACCATGATGTTTGTTGGTATTTACAGGGGAATCATCTGATTCCAGGGCTTCTTAGCTGCAGGATTTCATCCGTGCACAGTAGGTCCTCTTAATGGGTCTCTCGTTCTTTGAGTTGGTACTGTGGTTTTTGTGTTTTTAAAGGGAAACCAAAAGGGAAACCAAAAGGGCAACCAAAAGGGCAACCACATGCTGGGGGCTCCACAAAGAGAACAATGGAGACTTAAAAGCTTGGACTCCAGGCAGGTGGCTTCCTTTTATCCAAAAAGAGGTCTCCTATTTTGAGAAGGAAACAACAAATGGTAGGTGGGTTCAAGGGAAAGTGACCTGGGTCCAGTTCCACACATCCTCAAATTGACCAAAGGCTTCAAGGCAAACAAAAGGGTCCCAACAGTTGTCTTGAGAACCCATCACATGTTCACTTTGGGAGACTCCAGGTTTCAAGCCGTGTAATTTACATACCCCTTTTGAGCTGAAATACGTGCTTCTAAAGTTCTGCAAAGTGTGTGAATGATCAAATACCCCAGACACCCGGTGGATCTCCATGGCAAGACACGGCGAACCTTTTGTTCACTTGACTCTGAAAGGAAACCCGCCTGCCAAAAAAAGTTGAACAACATTGGCATCAGTGGAGGCCTGCGTTCCTGCTTAGGTCAGGAAAAGCTGAACACAGTGTCCCTTTGCTTTCCCTTAAAAACACCAAACAACTATGAGCACTAGGTGGTGCGCGGCGAACTTGCGGAAATGTGTTGGAACGGCCCCAAACTGATCCATCCCTTTCTCTTGCCTTCACAAAATACACACACATCAAGAAACCAAACAAACACCCCTCCCCCGCCCGCCCAAACACACACACCCACCCACCCCCAAGCGGCCGAGTGGCCCGAAGTGCTCTTGAAGCTCCAGCGCCATCTGCTCCACCTATGGTCAAAGTTATTCGCTTAAAAGCCTGGATGTTTGCTTGGACATTCCCCATATAGTGTGCCAAGAAGAACACACAGCTTTTGTCGAGCCCCTTTTTCCTGAAGAATCTCAAGTCAAGCTGGGTACCAGCAGATATCACAAAAAGGGGGCTCAACCAAAAACTGTGCTTTCCTTTTGGTTCCCGTTACACCAACCCAAACCCACCCACAAAAAGCAATCCCCATGCCAGAACTGGCAATCATGAGCTCACTCCCACCTTGCCATACATGGGGTTCCGCTTGCTGTTTGCCAGGCAAACTATATGGGGAATGTCCAAACAACCATCTGAATGGATTCTGTGTACAACGATATACCTGTTGCAGTGCATCTCTAAACTCCAAAGGGCAAAACGTCTAAGGCTACAGCTGGCAACCGCCCCAAATAGAGGGATCCAACCAAATGCATCTGGCCCCTTTGCTTCCACTCAACTCGCTGCAAACCTTGGGGAGGGGCTTTCCCCAGCGAAAATAAATAAATATATATATATATATGATAATAATAGTAATATTAACAATAATAAGACTAAGAAAAAGAAGAAGAAAAAGAAGAAGAACGAAGACCCCGGCCACAGCGTCCCGGACGCTCCGGTGCGTCCTTGCGCCCCACCCCCGGCCCCGGCCTCTGCGGCCTCACAAAGATCCACCCGCCACAGGCGCGCCTCGGGCAGCCGGGACCTGGCGGCGGAGGGGGACAAGGACTTTGCGGGCGCCGCCCGAAGAGAAACATCATCGGTTCCCAAGCAAAAAAGAAAGCTGACTAAATGTGTATGTATATATATACATATCTATATATATATATATGTGTAATACGTGTGTATATATATATACACATATCTATATGCATGCTAACAAGTATCTAGACACATAAATATATGGTCCCCCCCCCCCAAACCCAGGTTTTGTGAGAAAACACTGTAAATACCAGTGTCTTCTCACAAAAACCTGCATCTGCCAGAGCACACACTTTTCAGGCCCACTTTCTCCATCTGTCTCATTTGGCAGCCAATGCTGCGCCAGGAACATGGGGGCTGCCCCCCCCCCCCCTTGCCAGGCATGTCCCCCTGAATCCTTTGTTTTTCTGCTTTTTCAGTTTTTTTCATTTTTTCAGTTTTCTCCTAGCATTCACCTTTATTATTGCCTTAGTATTGTCTGAGCAACCAAGCACTATGATTGCGTAAGGGCATCTCTTCAAGGAAGCTCTCTGGAAACTGAAAAACTGAAAAAACCGAAAAAATTGAAAAAACTGAAAAACCAAGGATTCAGGGGGACATGGGGGCTGCCCCCCCCCCCAAACATGTCCCCCTGAATCCTTGGTTTTTCAGTTTTTTTCAGTTTTTTTCAGTGTTTTTTAGTTTTCTCCTAGCATTCACCTTTATTATTCCCTTAGTATTGTCTGAGCAACCAAGCACTATGATTGCGTAAGGGCATCTCTTCAAGGAAGCTCTCTGGAAACTGAAAAAACTGAAAAAACTGAAAAAATTGAAAAAACTGAAAAACCAAGGATTCAGGGGGACATGGGGGCTGCCCCCCCCCCCCCAGGCATGTCCCCCTGAATCCTTGGTTTTTCAGTTTTTTTCAATTTTTTTCAGTGTTTTTTAGTTTTCTCCTAGTAATCACCTTTATTATTCCCCTAGTATTGTCTGAGCAACCAAGCACTACGATTGCGTAAGGGCATCTCTTCAAAGAAGCTCTCTGGAAGCTGAAAAAATGAAAAACAAATATAATAACAACAAAAACAGAAAAACCAAGGATTCAGGTGGACATGGGGGCTGCCCCCCCCAGGCATGTCCCCCTGAATCCTTGGTTTTCATGTTTTTCAGTTTTTTCAGTGTTCTCCTAGTATTCACCTTATTACTCACCTAGTATTTTCTGAGTATTCCCCTAGTATTGCCTTAGTATTCCCTATTCTCTTGGTATGCACCTAGTAATTCCTAGTAAGGGAAGGGGAATACTAGGGGAATACCTTCACTATTGCCCTCGTATTCCTTAAATATTCTCTTGGTACCCCTAGTATTCTCCTAGAATTCTTCCAGTATTCACCTTTAGTATTCCCCTAGTACTTCCCTAGTAGTGCCCTAGTAGTGCCCTAGTATTGCCCTAGTCAGGAAGCCTGAGAAAAGTCACACATATTGAGCTTGAGAGTATACCCCTACTATTCCGTCAGTATTCACTAGTATTCTCCTTTAGTATTCCCCTAGTATTCCCTACTTAGTATTGCCCAGTATTGCCCCAGTATTCCCCTAGTATTGCCCTAGTATTCCTTTAGTATTCTCTTGGTATACCCCCAGTGTTTCCTCACCACCCCCTTAGTGTTCCCCAAATAGTTCACTAGCAAAGGAAGGGAATGCTAGGGGAATATCTTCAGTATTATCTAACTAACTAGGCAGCTAAATAGATAACTAACTGATTAGCCAATTAACTAGCTAACTTGGTTTAGAGCTAATTCATTACAACTAGTTACTAGTTAACTGACTAATTAGTTGACTTGTTGACTGTTTATTTTCTAACTAATTGAACTTGCCAATTTTTACAGCTTGAACTTGAAAAATATGCGTTTCGCAGAGGCGAAAATACACATGTTTCTCAAAAGTAGCATTTTTCCAGTGATTTTGGCAATTGTCCAGGTTCAAAACCTGGGTTTTGGGGGGGGGGGGGGGTAGCAAATATATATATATATATATATACACACAAATGTTGATATGCGTGGTGCAGATGATTTATGGTGATGAGGGCTCCGGCACTTTGCCTTTGAGTTCACATTGGTTGTTGTTGACATTGGAGTCATGGAAAAGTCGAAAACAAAAACAAAAACCGCTCCCAAGCAACGGAGGAAACCTGTTGAAATGGAGCCACAGAAAGCGGTTGGCTACGTGCGCATGTGGAATTGAATGCATCGTTGGATGTGCTTGATCAGCCTGGGTGCTCGCCAAGTATCTACCAAGCTTGACCCCAGTTTAATAAATGCCAGTTCACTCTTCTAGGGGTGTTCCCGTCCAAAAGGAGTGACCCCCCGCTAAACCCTGAGACACCCCTACTAGTAGACTAGAGTTGTTTAGTTCCGGGTCAACATTCACTGGCCTGTCCTCAGATCCCCTGCTACAAGTTTAGCTTCTAGTGGGTTAAATGGACACCTTCAAACTCACAACCTAACACCATAGCAAACCGGACGATTCGCCGGGACGGGCCAAGTTAAGTTTGAAGCCCCAAGTGGGTATCCATCAAACCTGGTATCAAAATAGTGTGCACAGAGCCGTGCTTCAAGAATTACGGATTCGGCTGACGGCTGCACCCATTGGCTGAAACAAATCCTGCCCCATCAAATCCTGCCCCGTTGCTCCTTCCCTCCCCCCCCCCCCCTCCCCCCTGCGGACGTTTGTTGTTTCGCCCCCTTCTCCCGGAGATTTGCCCTGAGTTTTGGCTGGACAAGGAGCCCCAAAATGCTAAGGTGATATACATAGATATTCTACAAGAAGCTTCCCCATGCCTTCCAAGGATCCTTCTTTTCAGAAGCCATCCAAAAACCACAGGAAACAGCTGATTTCAGAAAAGATCAATGCTTGACAAAAAATGGGGGATCAACCCCTAGATGTATAATATATAAATATAGGTATATACACAACAATTTGGAATCTTTGGGATCAACCCCTAGAGACGTGGACTCGACTCACCGCTCCCCGCCTCATCGCCTGGAGCTCCAACTCCCCGCGGCCGCACCCGGCCACGCGCGCAGTTTCCGCGAAGACCTCCAGCAGTTCCCGGCCCAGGCCTGCGCGGGGCGGCGGGGCGCGGGGCGCCTTTGGCCGCGGGGCGGTGTTTGCTCTTTTTTTGGGCAAACATCACCTAGATGCGATCTTGCGAATGTGGCCTTCCACAATGCAGTCTCTGAACTCTTCAATGGGAGGTTCTGGGTTTGTCTCCAAATGGACCTCTCAACCAGCAATCAACACACGTTTCCCACTCCCCCCCCAACCCCCCCCAAACCCTACGTAATTGACGTGTCCCGGGGGGGGTTAGGGGGGGGTTATCCTCTATCCTCTCTTAGGTATCCGACACGCCGAACAATGTCGGCGGACATGTTGTCATTTGTTTAGTTAATACCTAACAAAACTTTATTGAAAGAAAAGGTTTAAAAGGGGGTACCAACTCCACATAGGCTTCCTTGAACTGGTTTAGATTCGCGTTTTATGCCCCAACCCATCTATGTTTGCCAAAAACGGCCCTCTGCTCCGAAACCCCATCGGGTCCCACAGAAAATGCTTAAAAATAGGGGAACCAACCCTAAAAGGGGTACCAATCAAAAAGCCCTCCCACTGTCAATATGTTATCATTTGTTTAGTTGCTATCTAGCCTGTTGTTGAATGAGCAGGCACAAAACACCTCCAACACATAGGCGTCCTTAAACATAGGTGGCCCGCGCTTCCTGTTGCTGAAAACCTTGAAAAACTCAGTGTTGTTTTGACATCCTTTTTGCGAAAACGTTGACACCTACCGTGTTGTTCGAGACTTTCGAGGGAAATGCATGGAAATAACGGGGAATGAAGGGGAAATGCGAGGGAAGGGAACATGCAGGGGACATGAAGGGAAATCCAGGAACATGCCATGACATGCAGGGGACAAGAAGCGGAAATGACAGGAAATCAGGGGAAATGAAATGGAGACGAAGGGGCAGTGACGAGGAAATCACGGACATGAAGGGGAATGGGATGAATGAAGGTGGGCCAATGGGATGAAGGTTTGCCGGCTTGCCGTTTGCCTGGTGTTTGACGTCATGTTTGGACGGCACTGAAAACCAAAACCGGTAACAAACCTGAAGCCAGTGAGATTCGTCTTAACTAAACTGAAATCGGAAAGGTATTCAGATCTATACAAATGTAGCTCATAGCCCGGGAACCTAGAGGAATGAACAAGGGGTATGTGCAGCCAGTCCAAGATATCATGAAATATCACGCAAGTTCCAGAACATCAGCCGGACGTCCCTCACATTTGACTGGTGGATTCCAAGCAATGTCAAGCAAACCGACGACATCTGGCAGGGCCAACCCATTTCCAAACACGTGCTCATTCTACGGCAAAGGGCCGGAGCTCCGGCGGCTGCATACTCCGCCGCTAAGATGGCTGGAAGCTTTGATGTGTGCTGAACGTTGCTGTTTCCTCGTTTCTGTTGCTGGTTCCTTGTTGCTTACAAGGAGCAGCAACACTGGATTTCGATTGGTTCTGGCCAGCTGCTAATCAAAGCTGGCGTCTCGACTCTATCATACATACAAGTGGTTCAAGCTACAACCGGTGCAACGAACAAGCTTTCAAACAGATCATGAACTCCGAAGGCACATATGAGCTATTCTAGTGTCTTGTAGCGAAACGGCGAAACGCGTTTCTTGTTGGCTCCTCCCTCCTCCTCCGACCCCAAAAGAAGATACGTACGAAATATAAATTATACAACGCAAGCCACTGAGGCAAACAAGGGCAACCAGGGGAGCCTTTTTGGGCAAACAAGGGCAACTGGGGTTTCCAGTCGATCTCCAAGAAAGAATTTGTTTATTCTTTTTCGGGGGGCCTGTTGTCAAGCTCTCAACGCTTTCACAGCTGACCGATGGTTTTACCACCAAAAAGCAGGCGGAACATCTCAAGAAAAATCTGGTCTTGCGCTGGAACGGCCTTCCCCGGCTCCAGAAATGCTCCCTTTGAAGGTCCGCAATGAGGGGCCCGTTCTCAACTCGCCCGGATCTGTTGAAATCGGATTTGTTGGCCTAAAAGGGGCCGGTTTAGATACAAGTGGCTGACTGATGCACATGCGTTTTTTCTCGCAGCGCTCAATTTGGGGATTGGAATAATTTGTCTGCCTCCTCCGGTGACCTCGGTCCAGCGCCATGTTTGACAAGGTGAGCAAATCATGCAGCCAAGGTAGGGCCAAGGAAGGGGCTTTTCAGGGCAAACATGGGGGCTGTCATGGCAAGCAAAAAATGGGGGCCCGAGGTGGGGACCGTTCGTGCTGCCGAGGTGGGCCAAGAACGGCAGGTGGGCCACACATAGGGATCGTTCATGCAAGTGAGGTGCGCGCAAAATAGGGACCCTTGCGCAACCGTTCATGCAACGGAGGCAGCTCAACCGCAAGCCGCAAGCGGGGTGGGCCAAAAAATGGGGACCGTTCATGCAACCGAGGCGAGCAAAATGGGCAGTGGAGGTGTGGGGGCCACTGCGCAAAAAGGGGACCGTTCATGCAACCGAGGCGAGCAAAATGGGCAGTGGAGGTGTGGGGGCCACTGCGCAAAAAGGGGACCGTTCATGTAACCGGACGTGGCTAAGAATGATGCAACCGAGGTGGGCGAAAAGCGGAGACCGTTCATGCAAGCGAGGCGCGCCAAGAATTGGGACCGTTCATGTAACTGTGGTGGGACCGGTATGCAACCGAGAAAAAAGAGGACCGTTCATGCAACCGAGGTGGGCCAAGATTGCGTGCCGTCCGCAGCGCAAGAACCAAGGCTGCTGCATAGAAGCCAAGGCTCGAAGCACGAGCCGGCCTGGCTGCGAGCCCGAGAGACAGAAAGACAAAGATACAAAGATACAAAGAGAGAGAGAGAGAGAGAGAGAGAGAGAGAGAGAGAGAGAGAGAGGAGACAGAGAGAGGAGACAGAGAGAGAGACAGAGACAGAGAGAGAGAGAGAGAGAGAGAGAGAGAGAGAGAGACAGAGAGAGAGAGACACAGAGAGCGAGAAAGAGGGAAAACGAGAGAGACAGAGACAGAGCCAGAGTCACAGAAAGAGACAGAAAGAGACAGACAGACAGAGAGAGAGAGAGGGAGAGAGACAGAGAAAGAGACAGAGAAAGAGACAGAGAAAGAGACAGACAGACAGAGAGAGAGAGAGCGGGAGAGAGACAGAGAGAGAGAGAGAGAGACAGAGAGACAGAGAGACACAGGGAGAGAGAGAGAGAGGGAGAGAGACAGAGAAAGAGACAGAGAAAGAGACAGACAGACAGAGAGAGAGAGAGGGAGAGAGAGACTAGGTCCTCCAGTAGAGAGGTTAGAACGAGGGTACCATTTTTCTGTAGAGGGGTGTGGACAGGAAGGAGACAGGGAGACAGAAAGAGACAGAGAAACATAGAGAGAGAGAGAGACAGATAGAGAGAGACAGAGAGAGGGAGATTCAGGAGAGAGCTTGGGGGGATGGGGAGGATCGGGAGCGGAGGGAGGGAGAGAGGACAACAGAACACACAAGGGAGACAAGGGAGAGATGAAGAAGGAGAAAAGGGAGAGGACAATGTCGGCGGAGTGAGCCGGAGGCTCTAAAGTTAAACAAGGGAGGGCTTTTTGATTGGTACCTCTTATGGCGTTGGTTACCCTGGTTTGGCGCATGTTTGTGTTTTTGTTCTTCGTGTTTTTTGAGTTGGTCCCCTTTCTTGGTGTTGTCTTACAGGCAAACCAAATGAACACCACAAAAAATGTAATTGCCAAATCCCTATTTTGACACATACCCAGTTGCAGCGCTGGCTCTTTAAGATTGCGGGGAGAAGGAAGCCTGGTTGAATTTCCGTTGGTTGTCTTGTTACCTTGTGCTACAACCCTTTTCTGCAAACTTTTGTTACCATCCTTACCCTTACTGCTACCACCTGTTATCTTCGTTGCTCTTGTTACCAGTGGGAACCTTCTTCACAAGGGACTCCTCAAGCAAACGTCTTTGAACAGCCCAAATGACTCAGCGACTGGAAACCAAATCCGTGCCCAAGATACGTCTGCTTTCAATTTCACTCGCAGTCCACCCACAGGAAAACCCGCCATTGAACTTGAAGCCAGAAAGAGAAGTCTAAAATCACCACGGTTTCCCAGTCAAGTGAGAGGGAACCAAGGCATGGAGCATAGGGGTGGTCGTTTTGAAGTTGGTACCTTTCCATGTCTTTGTGTGTGTGTGCGCATGTGGTTGTTTGGAAGGGAAAGGAGGCATTTCGGGGCTTCCACGCACGCATTTGCCCATCTCTATATTCGGACTCTCCCCCCCCCCAAAAAAAAGGAAAGAAAGAAACAACTGACATTCTTGCCCATTTGAGCGAACTCGAATAGGTTCTACTAACATGGTTAAGTTTCAAAGACCCCCTACTACCCAAATGGCTGTGGATCAAAAATAGGTACCCGAAACGGAACACTGGCAAATGGGACCAAGGACTAAACCTGCGGTCCAATCCTGGTGGTTTGCCCACATACCCACTTGAAACTGGGCAGTAGAAGCTATGGCCCGGCCCTCGGGTGCAACGGGCACCCATTCACCGTGCCTCGGGTGCAGCCAGTGACCAGCACCCGCTTAGCCATCGGAACGAACGAATTCTGCGGATGGGGTGCGAAAGTAGGGTCTGTGGGTATGTGACTTCTTAAAAAAAGGAGGACCCCCAAAAAATACGATGTTCTTTTGGCTCAACCTAAGGGTACCCTAAAACAAAAGGCCTTGAACCCTGAAATGGAAGGTACCGTTTGCTTTCTTCAAGCTGGTTGAGATACAGCTTGGCTCCGGGTAAGACTTGCCCACTGGAATCCGGGCTCATTCCCGGCCCACCTTGGCTGCGCTGCGTCCCTTCAAACCCTGCAAAGGGCCCCAGAAAGTCCATCACAGGAACAAATGGGTTGGACTCGCCAGATTCAAAGCTCCAAGTTGGCAAAGCATGGTGTTTTGGGCGCCGGAGTCTTATGGCGGAGCTTCAACATACGGACTGCAACACGTCTCTGACGCCATTGCCAGGTTGCCCTGGCACGACAAGGCGGAGTCCTGAATGGCTCCACCCGAATTGCCAGGGTGGCGGAAAACTTGAAGGAACATCGTCCACCAAAACGAGGCTACCCTTCCTTGCCCGGTGCTGAGTAGGGAATGAACCCAGGGGTCACAAGGGATGGTGTGCAGGGGTCATTCCCTCATCCCCTGCTGAGCACCAGCAAGCTTCTTTGACAAGCAGTTCCTGGGCGGTGAGTGGTGAGGTGTGCTTTGATTTTGGCCGGGCTCGGCCAGTTTGGGCCGAAAACGACGCCTTTCCGAAGAGCTCCAATTTGAAGAGAGCCGACTGAAACGTTGAATTCCAAACGCTCGAAACGGGCAAAACGAAACGCTCAACACGCCCTAAACATGCGAAAACGTTCGAAGCGTTCAGAAACGATCGACATGCTCGAAGGTCCAAGACGTTCGAAGCTTTCTAAACCATGCTGGGACCAAGGGAGAAATCTGACTCAATCTGACACTTGAAGGTGGAGGCCAACCTTGGTTGACGTTGGAAGGGGAGCAAAAGAAATTACTTTTGCAGTTAAGTGGGGATTTCCACACTACACCACAATAAGCAAACATGTAAAATGTTTCCCAACAACAACCATCCTGCGTTTGAAAAACATCTCCCGGACATTGCAGAAAAGACTTGCAAACCGTTGAAGGTGTTCTCCTCAGAAAATGTCTTACCTTGTTGTGGTCGGGGTGTCAGCCAGAGTTCGAAAAAGAACCTTTTTAGGGGGTTCCGGGTGTAATGTCTTTCCGCCCCTGCAAAACATACCCGACATTTCCCTGAAAGGAGCCTGTTCCCTTGTTCACAATCAGAACCTGGTCTTAAAATGGCCCACCCAAAACCCATAAAGAATTAAGAGGGCCGGCGCTATCCTTTACTAACCTTCACATACAAATATCCCAGAGGGGTTGCTAACCGTTATTACATTTACTAACATGTGCTAACTTTCTTCTATTTCAGCTTTAAAGGGCTTGGATTGTAGCTCCCTTTGGTTTCCCTTGAAAGACACCCCGCTTTTCGGGCACCCCAACTCTCACTCTCACTCCGTTTCCATGGCGCCTCTTCGAGTAACGCGAAGCCAAGGTCCAGGTAGGGGTAATAGTAAAAGGAGCCCATGCCTGGCCAAAAGGGAAGCCAAAGACGACCAAACAGCAGCCGAAGGGAACCCAGGGGAAACCAAAGGGAAACCCAGGGGAAACCCACGCGAAACCCAGGGGACACTCAGGGGAAACCCAGGGGAAACCAAAGGAAGACCAAGGGGAAGCCAAAGGGAAAACCAAGGGCCTCTTCGTCTGTCGAGCGAAATGATAGATGCTTGTCCCAGGTGAATCCGAAGGTACACAGGGCTTAGTGCCGTTACTGGAATAATGAAGAAACTTGACAAAAAAAGAGAGACGCCAAAACAAGACAACACCCTTGGCCAATCCTTTGAAAAAGAAAGCTGAGAGGGAATCAACGAGGTGATCCCAGGTTCAACACATGCACAGGTCTCAGTCTACCTTTCAGCTGTCTAGAAAACAACTCCTTGGCACATGGTGGTCTGAACTCCCCCCGACTAAGGGTGTTCCCTATGCCCCAGTGAACTTTGACCACACGCTCGTCAGCAAAGCTGAGCATTTGCTTGCAATATACCGGTGTCCCGCTTCTTGAGCTTTTGGGCGGTGATCAGATCTGGGCAAACGGAGAACGAATCCGAGCCATCTGCCTTGTTGGGTTACCTCCAAAGGTGGCACGTTTTTCTTTTTTGTCATGGGCTTACCACCAGTCAATCCATCAACTTTTTTCGGAGGAATCCAGGCACCTCTGTAGGAAGCAATCCGCGCCACCACTCCCAACTCCACCCAGGCCCACCGCACCCCCACATCTCCTCCACCCCACCCACCCCCAACTGCAGACTCCACTGGTCCACTGTTGCTCCTGGGCTTGATGGCAAGAGACGGCTCGCGCAAGCCGCACTCTGGGCTTCCCAGCCCCAAAAGCTGGTGCGCCTGGCGGAGGTGGAAGAGGAGAAGAAATCGAAGAACTTGTCTTTTGGTTGAAAATCCATGCCCTAAGATGAAACAACCAGGTCAAGGGGCCATCCTGATTTTTCAACCACAAACAAAAACGGGAACACCCTGTGACCCCCACATTTCGACCTGTTAGCAGCAATCCGGGGCCCATGGGCGCTGATTTGTGGACGGTTGCGATCCCTTCGCACCACTTGGAAGCCATGGTTGAAACCAGTTGTTTCTTGGCCTCAGCGGAATCGTCAGGCTAGGACTGCTTAGGTGGTGCGAATTGGATTTCGTCCACCCGCAATATCATGTGGGTGATTCCTGCTTGAGAAACGATCGGAGGGGCTCGGTGGGGACAGGCTTCTGCAACAGCCTCCCGCCCCAAGTTCGGTCCAAGCGGGGAAACCCAGGGCGGTGGAAGAGGTGCATTCCAAGCTTTCCTGGTGCTGTTGATTGCTGGTTGGGAGGTCCATTTGGAGACATGCCCAGAACCTCCCATTGAAGAGTTAGGACTGCATTGTGGAAGGCCACATTCAAAAGATCGCATCTAGGTGATGTTGAATAGGGAGCGCTTGCAAGGTGAAACACCGGGCGAACGGCCGTGCGCATGTGCCTGGAGCCCTGAAATGCTTATTCGACCCTTGTCTTTAGGGTTCAAACACGCAAGGGCTCCATGTTCTTTGAACCCCCTCCCTTTGATTCGAAGCTCTTGACGCGACCGGCGAAAAAGCAGGCAACCCTCGGTTGAATGAGTGGTAAATGGGCACAAGGGCAAAACATTGGCCAAGCGCGAGCCACAGGAAACCAGATCAGATCTCTACCCTTTTGGCTTCAACTTTGAGGATCGGCTCGGAGCAACGGGCTTGTCATCACCCAAAAGCGGAGGAGATCAGCCGGCCACCTGCTTCCCGGAACCTGCCTAATGACTCGCGCAGTGGACGGCAGCAACTGCGCATGAGCCTGAGGCAAGCAGAGTGGCATCTTTATACGCAGCAGCGGCGGTTTGAAGCTGCAGCGAACAAAACCCACACCCTCCGCGGGAGCCCGTTCCATGCGGAACATACTCCCCATCACATGGAACCCGAAAGAAGGGGTCCCGCAAAAGAAGACTCCTCTACAAAACAGGCTTTCTGGGATTGCATTTGAGTCTGCAAAGAAGTCTTGCAAGGCAAGTCTGTGCACTTGCGTGTTTGGTGGAAGGGTACATGGCCATCTGGGTGAGTCATAAATCATTTGTCCGCCTTTTTTCAAGAAAAGAAACTCAAGATTGGAACCTTCATGCTTGATGTCGGGTAGCGGACGTTGCCAGCTGTGAAGACATTCTGCTTCTCCATACAAAACAAAGAATGATAAACAACGGGCAGCACCACCGATGTCACTCAAACAACGCCTGTGTTCGCTCTGCGAAGACAAGTGTCACGCCTGTTGCTGACTGGTGCGGATATAGCATTCTTGGGTTTGCCAGGCGCCAACAGTGGCATCCTTAATTTGAATCTGAGCAGTCCCATCATGGTGGCCAAGGGAAGCTTGCTTAGAAAACTTCGCAATACGAAAAGCGGAAGCAGAGGGTGCGAATGGCAGTAGGAGCATCTTGCGCAGGGTCGCAAGATGGGAGTAAGATCAAACAGACGAGATCGCGGAAGCGATGCTGTGCAGCGCTCGAGCTCGCCATGGTCTCGTCATGGGTGCCCAAGTTTCTCACTGGCACGGCTCCTCCACCCCACCCACCCCCCGGCGGCGCACTGCATCGGCGTGCTTCGCCCGATAAACGCTTTGCTAGATCGCGCGTGTGGGAGCGCTCTCGCTGTGGCGCCGTGCGAATTTCTGAAGCGCTCGAGGCGTCGATCGAAAGTAATTCGCTACAAAAAAAATTGCAGCTCCGCTGCAAGTCTCGCAAGTGGTTCGCTCGGCGAGCTGGAAGATTGATGTGTCTCTTGAAGATTGTCTAGGCTTGCGGTTGTTGCCTTCAAGCAGATCGGAGCAGGTTAAGGCATGGCAACGTGTAAACTTTGTGTGAGCTGCGTGCAGCATCTGCTGTGACTGCCGCCATTTCAGGCTGCCTTCCGCTGCGGCAGAGTTTTTGCTGGCAAGCTTGGAAAAAGAAGACGCTGGGGTGCTTTGCCATCGGGCAAACACTGCGCACCATGCTCCTGTAAGCATTTCATTTTGATAGAAACTTTGTTCATCCGGAAACGCAGGAGCATGCCCGGCACAACAGACCCTTGCATCAGGCTAGTGCAACTGTCTTGGCGACGTTGGTTCTCTCGAAAAAGGTGATGATATACACACAGCTGTCAGAACGCCATCTGCCACTGGTCCAAGCGACTACCACCCAACTAGTAAAGCAACCGTAACTTTGAATGAGTACCTGTTTCCACTGAGTTCGGTCTGTCTTAAAAATTGGGTACCCTAGTTTGCCTTCCTGCTGGTTTTCCTCTCAAAGCACCTCCCCAACAGTGTACCAACTGATCCCTAAAACTCGCGGGTTTTCCCGCTGCACTCCCTCAAGGACCCCCCAAACAAATTGACCAACTGAAGGCTCGCGGCCCGGATGGAGAAGTCCACATTCATGTCTGCGGGGAAGTTGCCTGAGCCATCGCTCAGGTTGGGTTTGAAAACTCCCGAAGAAGCGTATGGAAACCATGGTACCATTTCTTAGTAGAAGCTCCTGGAAAAAATGGAACCCCTGCTTTCTGGAAGGGTCCATGCTAGTCTGCCATCCAACCGACATGAAGAACCTCACTGAAAGCCCCAAAAGACCTCCTGGTGGGTTCCAGTTTAGCGGGAGAAGTACCACTACAGTCCCCTCGAATATTGTACAGTCTAGGACCTAGGAACTCAGGGAGTGTGTAGATAGGCAATTATGTGTCAATGTGAGGGCTTTTGACCGGGTGAAAAGCCCCAAGATGATATGTGTCCTTTTGGTCTCTCACTCTTTAACCCAATCAAATTTCTTTTACAAAGAAGGCACCGAGCCTCAAAACGCACGCGGCCAAAGGAAAACCAACCTCTGAAAAAGGAAAGACGAGCCACCCAGAGGGGACCCCCAATGTTCGGCCTAGGAGGGCAAGGATTCCCTCCTTCGGGATTCGGGACTGCGCGCATCGCTCACTTCACCAGAAATCCAAATGGGCATGGTGCTGATACTCACATCAACCGAAAACTCACAAGACATGTGGTTATGTGAGGCGACGCCCACTTCATTTGGAGGAATTAAGGACAAGCAAAGCTTGGCACCGCTCGGCCTTGGCCTCCGTCAATGCAACTCCAATCAGCGTGGCGGAAGTGGACGTTGTTGCTGTTCCAAGCACTTCAACTTCATGCGGCCTCTTAAGCAAGAAAAACCAATCGCATGAGACATGGGACTGCCCTGAAAGAAACGGTCTGGGTGTGTGCTTCTCTTGATGGTGCGTACCCTTTTTGGTGTTGCTTGCTTCAAAGGGAAACCGATGAACGCCACCATTCTGCGGGTTTCCCCACTCCAAAACAAACCCGTCTGACTTTATGCGAAGTTCCCTCGCGCCTTGTGCGTCTGCGGAGTTGAAGACCAACGCCTCGATAGAAATGCTGACGCATCAGCGCATTGGCGCTCAAAAGTCTGATTCTTTGCCACTATAGTCTTCCCAAATGCAGCAAGTTCAGCTGGACAAACTTTTTAAGCTAGTCCTTTTAGTTGCCCTGTTAGCCAACCAATCGCGCAAACTGCTGGGCTCTTTCTTTTAGTTGCCCTATCCAACCTGAAGACTCGCGCAACTCCAAAAGAAACGAACCCAGGTTGCATCTGGTCCCTGAGGGCTGCTCCAGCAGCACCTCGTCCGGCTGCCGCCGCGCAAAGTCCTGGCGAGCGAGCGGAGGTGCGCGGCTGCCGTGCGCCTGGGGCCTGGAGATGTTGTTTTGGGCCTAGGGATGGGTTCTGGGTATGTAGCCATGGCAGCTTGCGGAAACACAGATGAGTAGGTGTGCTTGCGGAAACACCAATGAGCTCTGGGTATGTAGCCATAGGTGTTTTTGCCAGTTCTGGGTATGTAGCCCAGGTGGGATGGGTTCGGGGTATGTTGCCATAGGTGTTTTTTGCCCACCCTCCCAACAAACATGGAAGTGCGCAGGGACCTGTCCAATGAGCACGATCCAACAGAGGTCTGTGCACCAATCCATGTTTTTGCGTTGAGTAGGCCGCTTAGAAAATAGACGGATTCCGCCGGCACATCCATACAACCAAACACCAACCAGGGCCAGCTGACCGAACGGACCTACAAACGGGAATCCACTTTGATGGACTTCCACTTCCACACTTGACTTTTGCTGACACATTTGAGCACGCGGGCCAACACTGGGTGCTTATCTCCTTTCTATCGGCCAAACTCGGCACGCAACTGGGTGGTGACTGGCAAGGATGGTCATCACATACACTCTTCACTCGCATACAGGTACAGCTACATATGTAGCCGGCAACAAGTACATACATTAACGCATGTAAATGAATCTATTCATACATGTATGAGTGCCAAATGTTGTACATGTACTGTGCCAGCACCTCTTCTCAGCAGGTCTTCGCTCTCTTGCATAGGGAAGTCCATCACACCCTCTCGGCAACATGTGCCGAAAAAAAATAATGCCTCCTTTGCGCTGGAGTTCGCTCTGCAGCTTAGAACCTCCAGCTGCTTCACCACCAAATCATAGCGTTTGTGGACCAAATCCGCTTCGAGCCAGTTGGCAGGTGATCTATCCCAGGACTTCGTCCACTGGTTCCCCGGATTTATGGCTGAACCAGGGGCCATGGAACAACCCGCCGCCCGGATCCTATCTGACCTCAAAGCCCAGGTCGCAAAAATTTGTTTGCCTTCGGTGTGCTTTCCGGAGGTTGGCCTCAGGCCTAGATCTGAGGCGGTTCCCGAGTGCCCTACACTTTTGCGGCTCTAGGGTTACCTCCGCCGGGTTACCTTTTTGTTTGGCGGGGTGATTTGAAAGCCAAGTGGGGGTACTCCGCCGGGTTACTTTTTATTGGGTGATTTAAAAGCCAATTGGGGGGGGGGGGGCGGGGGGCCGGGGGGGCGGTAAAGGGCATCTCCGCAAGCACACCCCTGGTCAGATGCATAACAAGTGGCACCCCGCAATCACATGCCATCTCCTCCTCAAAGAGCCATAAATCTTGGATTCCATGGGCCATCTGTCAGCTTCCTGGATTCAAACGAACCTGAGCGAGCCCAGTTCTGACACAAAACCCGCCGGGCTATGACTTTTAATGGGAAAAACCAAAACATAGTTGGCGGGCATACATCCCCCATGTGAATGATGTCCACCAAACGGTGCAACCCATTGAAACTCATCTCCTGCCCGGCTTCATCTGCCCACCGACGAATTGTGCCAGCTACTTACAGCGTGGTGTGTCCCCCCCCCCCAATTGCATGTTCTGGGCCGTACCCCTCATATGAAGCGCCCCCTCTTGGGCTGCTCATCAAAATCAATGGGCCTGTGAAGCAACTAAGTTCCTAAGCTTCTCAGGTGTGCTGCTGGATTTCCATGCCGCCTTCCACCCCCCCCCCCGGCCCTTTCTCAGGTTTGGATAGGGGTCACATTTCCAGTCAGTTGCAATTGTCTGGTGGCGTCCATTGCCACTTTTGGAGGCTCCAAAAAGGAATATGGATCTAGGGGTTGATTCCAACCATTCTTTTCTACCATCGTTCTTTTCAAACACCAGCTGTTTCCCTGGGTTTTGATGGTTTCCTGAAAAGAAGGAGCCCTGGAAAGAATGGAAATGGAAGGTAGCCCTAGAATGGAGGATGTTGGATCAGATCGGAGCCAAACTCGCCCTCTCTTTCTCTCTCTTCGCCGTCCTGCACCTCCTCCGCAGAGTCCAAGAACATGATGCTGTCCTGATACGCATGAGGATGGAGCACAACCCCAAGTGACACAAAAACTTTCTTTGCCATTTGCTTAAGCCCCCTGGAAAAAAATAAACGTATTTCCAGTAGTGATAGATTCCCTTTCAACCAACAAGGGGGAAAAAAGAAGAAAAACAACTATTCTTAGGCAAATGGAAGCTTGGAAGACAAGAGTTCAGTGTGGTTTGTCCAAAACCCTGAACTGTTGGCCGCATGGGTGATATTTGTTCATAAGAAAAACTCTTTGGTGGACATCAGAACTCGGCGGGTCCCCGTTGATGTCCAGCAACCTGTGAGGTGGTCCCCACTCTTCAGTTTCAAACTGCCATATTCAAATGGAAACACCTTCTCCCCCATTCCCCCTCCCCTTCTCCCCCCAAAAACAAAAAAAGACACCAAACAACAACCACCCCGCCCAAGCAATCAACCTCCCCCAAACCACAACCCCCCCCCTACCCCCTCCCTCCCCCCCTGCCCCCTCCCTCCCCCCCTTCCCCCAAACTCCGGCAGCGTGCGGCTCGCTCGCACCGCTTGCGGAAGCTCGAGCCTCCATGAGCTCCAGGGAGTTCTGCGCCAGAAGCCCACGCACCAGCCTCGCGCCACGCGCTTCGCTTTCGTCAAAGCGAAAACCGGGCTGTTGGGCAGGAGTACAAACATGTATAAACGTATACACATCGTGTAACATATATATATATATATATATATATGTGTATGAATATATATATATATATTAAGGAACATACACACATGCATTGAACAATGTTTCTGTTCATTATCATATACACCGTGCACACACGTATAAGACATGAGTGAGTGCATAGATCTTAAGACATGAAGTATATCATAGCATGAGTTAAAGCGTGCGTGCGCAGAAAGTAAAGGGCATTGGCTCATCTTCCAGCAATGCGCGGCTCCAGTCATCTAAATCAAGAACCGCGCAATCCCCAAGTCTTGTTGGGTTTACAACGGACCAAGCATAACAACCTGCCATGAAAGCGATGGCACCAACCTATGGAAGTCCACTGGAGAAAACATATATATATATATATATATACATTATACATTATTTGTTTTTATTTGTTTTTATTTGTTTTATTGTTTATTCTTTCTTTTCTTTTTAAGGAAAGAAACGTGTCCAGTGATAGTGTCCTTTTAAAACCAACGGGGGAAGATGATAACAATAAGAACAATAATAAACGTCTTACGCAAATAGAAGTTTTGTTGTTGATTTAGGCTAAATCAAACAATCTCAAGCCGTTTTCACGCACTCGGTTTGAAGCTTTTGGTCGATTCTTGCAGCTTTCTGTCTGAGGGTTCGATGCATTTGAAAAACCTCGCGTGTTCCTCGCCGAGTTCTCGGCATCTCGCGCGTTTCGTGTCCAGGTAGGGTGTTAGGAACCCGGGGGACCCTCCGACACGGAAGTGCACGAGGCTGAATTGCGAGAGGACAGGGGTTTGCCACATCTCAGACTCTCCAACACCAACTCAGTTTCCCAAACAGAATCATTCAAAAAAGGGCGGATGCCCTTTGTTTCAATTTCCCGAAATCGGTTGCCATCTCCAACGAAACCCAAAAGGGGATGGATGATGCATTGCTCCCTCCTGACGAGACTCTGCAAGTCATTCGTTGAGTCGCGGCGCAAAAGGAAACATCGCACCTGAAAGGGGATCCCTGGAATTCGCCGATTTTCCTTTTGGGACCCCGTTTCAGGTTGCATGGGTTGTTTTTGCCGGCGTTTACCCTGTTGGTTGGGTGGCATCCTTGCTCTTCCCGAAGGTAGTAGGAGCATTGCTTTGCTGGATTGACATGTTTCACCTCGGACTTTCCCCACTCAGCACAAGAGTTGTTCACTTTTGCTGTGACAAAGACCAGGTTGGCTGATACTGTGTTTGGGAGTCAAGGTGTGCCTTTCGTGCGATTCCACGTTTTGCGGGAGTCTGCCCATTGGAACGGGAAGTTCAAGCTGTTTCCAATTGATTGACTGATGGACGCAGGTACTACTGTGGATGGACAAAAACCTGCACCACCTAAAAAACCCTGGAATGATGATTCATTCCCCTGCAAATACCAACCAACAAAGGTTTCAACCATGGTTTCCAAGTGGTGCGAAATGGATTTCGCAACCATCCACAGTATCAATGATGTCCATGCCCAAAAACTGTGGCATTGACATCCCCGGGGTGGTATGACTCTCAGCATCCGGTCGCTGCCCGTTGGCTTAGGAACTAACCTCAACATGGCCCAGAGGCTGATGTTTCAATCCTTCAACATCCCGCCAAAAGCAACCTTTCAAGATTCGCAAACAACAAGCTGATGGATCAGGGGTTGTCTCTCAAAATATAGGGGAACCCCCCCCCCAAACAACACATCTTCATATTACATAATATGAAACTCCTCTAAATCAGCAAAAAGGGGGCCCGGATAGCCGCCCTTTCTGCCCCCAAACCAGCGCCGCTCAAGCCAAGGGTTTCCTGAAAACGCCAACCCCAAAGAGGTGGTTTCCCTTTAAATTTCAACCCAAGGCTTCCCTTCTCAAAGCGGAAGCCACAGATCTGAGTCCAAGGTCGCGACGGGCACCGGGACAGCAGGCCCAGGAAACCTCACTTGGGCAAGAAGGGACCGGCGCCGCTTCGGCTTAGTTGGGTTTTCGTCGACTCGCTTTGGCTTCCCTTCAGGAAAAAAACAAAATGTTGGATGGACTTGGATTCCTTGAAGATTTGGATAATCGTTGAAATTGGGGGAGAAACATCGCGAATGCATCTGCCACCTGTAATTGGTGATTGGGAGCGTATCTTGGTTCCCATTGAACCCCTGGCTGTCTTGGATTTGACCCCCCCCCCTCCCCGTTTTCCTTTTGAGACCAGGATGGGAAGGTGCATAACCTCCACAAAAACTCGGGATAAGCTGATTTACGGCACCAAGGGAAACACAACCCGGCCGCCATAACTGGTTCTCATGGCCGGCATGTCTTTCAAATACTGTTGACGGACGAAATCCGTTCGCGCCACTTTGAAGCCATGGGAATCATTCATTCCAGGGTTTCTTAGTTGGTGCAAATTGGATTTCGTCCATTCACAGTATCATGTACGTGAGGTGCATAACAAAGGATTCTTGGCGCGCAAAATGCATAGTTCACGAATTGGCCTCATGTCTCGAGGTACTCTCGCCGAGTCCAACAAATCTGGACGAACAAAACAAACACTGGCTGTCGGCCGTCATGAATCCCAGAGAAAAGTAAGCTGTCAGACAATCTGGCTGATTCTAAAGGGAAGCCAGCCCAAAAACATGGAAATGCAGGATTCACATCTCTGGAGGGAGGTGTCTGGCTGGCGATCAGGAGATATCAAGGCAACAAGGTATCCCCTTTGTGCCTCAGGTAAAACAGATTGCAGAACGAACCCATCGATTTGAAAATACGACTTGCTCAAATCCTCCATTAAACAACTGCCAGAATCCTTTGCCACTGCCCTGATGTCAACCCCGAAAAAATATATTCGGGATTCAGACCACTTTTGGAGGGAACACCCCCCCAATAATGCTTCTCCTGACAAATTTGGCCAACCCTTGGTGTAGCCGTGAGAGTCTGAAACTCCTGCCATGGCCAGTTTTTAGTCGCCCAGTCGCCTGCCATCGGAAGGCTCAAAGGGGAACTGATGAAACGAAACGCGGCATACTGATCCCCCAGAGGCGGGTTGAGCACATGGTTTGGACATCTCCAACAACCAAAGCTTGAGGTCAAGCGCATGTCCCCGCACATGATTTCTCGTGCTGTGCAGTACCTGCCGCAACCAGGAAAGCAGGAAAATCCCCAAACGGCCTTCATGAAGCTCGTTTTGACCGGTCACCATAAATAGGCAACCCCATTAAAAAAAGCAACCCCGGCAAACCCAGCGAAAATGCGCAACCAACGGGGTGACAAAATCGGTCTCCCGCTTAAGCCAGAAGACTTTTGGGGGCCTCACAGGCTTCACAGGCAGTCCGCCTTCGGTTCTTTTAAACGCCGGGCCCGCCTTCCAATGTGCTCTTCAACGTGCCAGAGGTTGCGTCCTGGCACCCGCTCCAAACCCCCACCCCCCCGCCCACACCCCCACCCCCCACCCACACCCCCACCCACCCACCCCACACCCCCACCCACACCGCCACCCACGGCACGGCTTCCGGCGTCCGCTTGCGCCGCTCGATCCCTCTTGGCTTCCCTTGCGACTGATCGCCGGACTCTCCGATCGCTCCTCCACGCCACTCAGCAAGGCCTCCACGACCATCATGTCCAACCTGGGCCGACCAAAATACCCACAGAGGAAACCGGGAGGGAGGTCGTGGGTTGACATCTTAACCATGTTGGCAAAAGGTGGCTGATGAGTTGGAATCACCCTGAACTGAACCATCCTTTGGTGTTTCCGTTGAGGGAATCCCGACTTGTTCGGTCCCAAAAGCCCTCTTGGTTTTTCTATTGAGAACCAGCAAAAAAAACAAACGCGCACGCGCACACACACCCACACAAACAAACAAACACATGAATTAGAGGAAACCAAAGGAGCAAGCGAGCATAAAGACATAAACATGTGTAGCTGATGATCATGAATTTAATTGGATTTTTTAGCATCCAGCACCTCATGCAGCATAGTTCGGCCCTTACTTGTAGTATCACCCACAAGAAATATATTTTTGGGGGAAGCAGTTCCACTGTTCGAATCCCCACAGAGAAATCTAAAGAAGCTTGCCCTCCAATTCAACGTTTCAGTCGTGACTCCTCCTTGGTGGCATAGTTTGGCCGCGCCGTCTATCTTCGACGCCGTGCTTCAATGGGGGGGGTCTATCTTGGAGAGCACCCTTTCTGAAGCTGTTTTAATGTGAAAGGCAAAAGGGAACAAAGAACAAGAGCCACAATCAACACCTGGGCAGTTCAGTGGACCCGACAGGAAAAAAAAGGAAGGAAAAGCCACAAGGCGCTTTGACACCGCCAATCATTTTGGGGGGGTCCCTCAAAACAAAACACAACCACAACAAAAAACACCATATCCCATGGGAATTTGAGAAACCCTCTCGGGCGCCCCCACCTGTTGGCTGATGCTTCTCGACTTTTGATGGCTCGCCCGCGTCCATCCAAGCGGAACTCGTTTTTCCCCCATGGAGCGCCATAGGCAGATGGTGTCTTCACTCTGGGCCGTAGACCAGTCTGTTGCTAGCAAGGGGAAATGATGGAAAAAGCAAATAATTGCAAATAATTTGAAGGGCCAGCTAAGTGGGTTTGTCTTTTTTCCAAGGGTACCTGTTTATTGTGAAGCTTTAAAATGGAAACCAAAGGAACACCACCATTTGGGGGATCTAAAAAATTCTCAAGCCAAGTCTGGCAATGCATGTTGGGTAAGCTTGACGCCAAGGCACAGCTGCTTCACCTCGCCCTTGTAGGGCGCCACCAGGATCTTCCGACCTCAAGCCGCCTTTTTGACCAAACCGCCCCCCGAGTTTGGTAATTTGCCCTCAGAAAGGGATCTGGCTGTGGCTCAAAAAAGCGTACCAAACTCAACCCTGGCAAGTGGAAACACGGACCAAAACCTGCGTAACCCCTCCTGTTTAATTTTGAGCCACACCCATCTGGAGACCAAGCCTCTACAAATGGGCCGCTCTCCCCTCAATTAGGCAACCAGAATTAGTGATCTCGGGTTCCATTGCTGAAATTCAGAAACATGAGCCTTCCTGGAACATGCATGAAAAACTTGCTCTGAGCCGTAAGGGGCTCCGATGAAAATGAGTTCGAGAAGTCAATCAAGTTGCGCGGAACGACGTCTGCTGATTTCGGCCTACCAGCCAGTGGCACCAGGCTTTGGCACTCCTGTCCACTAGAAGACTGAAAGGGTTCAAACCTGGGTGTAAAACCCGTCAGCTGCTGCAAATATGCTCAGGCACATCTCGGTCCGCCATGAGGAGCCGCTTGGCTCGGTGGGGCTTGGACTGCCGAAAAAAAGACCGCATGCCCCTTAAAACTTGAGGGACCCCCAAAAACATTGATGGACCGTCTCCTCCGTCCCTCTGAAAGGCTACCCTCCCAAAGACAAGCCCACCCGTACAGTCGTACAGCCCCCCAGGCGCGTGGCGGGCCAGGTTGTCTCGGACCCAGTTCGTCGTCTGGCGTGCGTGTCACTGTTGGGTTCCGTGAGAACCACGCCCCAGCATGGAGTGTGTGTGCGTGCGGAAGACATCCGTTGGGCTTCTGAGGGAACCGCAAACATGGGAGTGCTTTTCTCTTGATGTCAACCCCAAAAGGAATCCGAGCCGAGGCACAAAGAAAATCACACCCCATCCTCGAAAGCACCCCAAAAAAAGCACCAGTGGCACCAAACATAACACAAACGCTCATTCTTCGATGGAAGAACTAACCCGACATCGAGACACACCTTCAACTTCTTGCCTTTGGGGCTGTGGTAACTTCTGCCGGAAGCTCCGTGCACAAGGCCCGGGGTAGACTGTCGCCCAAGGAGATTCAAGAGGCTCAGTTCCTCCAGTTCCCCTGCAGTCCAAAAAAACGAACTCAGGCTTCACGGGTGCCTGTCTACATGGCATCCTCTTCCTGGAGGGCTTGCAAGTTCAGATCGAGTCCACTAGAGTGACATCCTCAACACCCGCTACATGCTTGGTTTAAAGGCAAACTTCATGACACATCGGAAAGCTTCTCTTGGAGAATCCCTGCCCAAAAACGATAAGGGGGTGGTCTTTTCAGTAGTCGATTTGTTTCAGGGGTTTTCACCAAACACAAATTGGAGCAAACTATGTTGATGGTGGTAAACGGTTCAGATCAGGTTCTGAGATTCCCCGTGGCCATGGGGAAAAAAAGGGCCTCCTTTTTTTGGCTGATTGACTTTAAAGGGAAACACCCTTCCTCAAAAACAAGTTTAAAAAAAAGGCGGAATCCACCGGGCCACTGAGGGTTCCTGGTCCTTTACAACAAGTCAGCTCTGGAGGTCGGGGGCCCTACTGTGGATGGACGAAATCCATTTCGCACCACCTAAGAAACCCGGGTTTCTGATGATTCCCTATAAATACCGACAGAAATCCATTTCGCACCAACTAACAAAAAACCTGGTTTCTGATAGATTCCCTACAAATACCAACAAACAATGATTTCAACCATGGCTCCAAAGTGGTGCCTAAGCGGATTTCGCGTCCATCCGCAGAACCCGAAAAACCAAAGCCGGCGCCGGGGCCGCCGAGCTCTGCAGGCGCCGGTCGTCCCTCCGGCGCCGCCCGCCGCGGCTGTGGGGCCGCCAGCGGAAGCGTTCGAAGGGCCTCGGGAAACTTCGCCGAGTCGTGGATTCGAACGGGAGGACCCCAGCAGAGTGAGGGGCAACCAGGTCCTCCAGATTTGAGAGGTTATAAGGGTACCCTTGGGGCCTGTTGCCTAGGTCCTCCAGATTTGAGAGGTTGTAAAGGCACCCGATTTTTTTCTGTAGTCTAATTTGGGAGGGGAACCCTCCCCCAAAAAAGGGTAAAAGGGCACTACTGGGAAACCTAGTTTGCTGTTAAGCGGAAAAACATGGGCCTCAGAAATACCTTTGAAGAGTTGAACAACCTTGGAGTTGTCCGTGGAGAAAAAGCTGTTTGTTGAAATCTATGCGGCTTCCTTCAAGATCCGCACGTCAAAAAGTGGGGCTTCCATCGGACATATCTGAATCGCTTCACCTAATGATAAATACGGCCCCGGCTGCTAACAAATATTGGCTCGGGGGCAAACAATATTTATTAATAGCCAGGGGTCGACCGGATGTCCTCTTCGATCCTCATCCAAATAACATCCAATCGCAAATTCCGAACAACAAGATCAAATAAAGTTGCTTTCTGTTTGGGTGGTTCAAAAGTACAAGGCGCAGTTCAAATTTGAAGTTACCCTTAGCACATAGAAAAACATAAAACTGAACTTGGAGTTTTAAGACATGTGCTGGAATACCCCCCCTAATATGACTTGTGGCGGAGGCCACCCAAGCTCCAGGCCAAGCCAAAGCACCAAGAACGGGTTTTATGGCGATTTGGTGACGGATATGGGTGTGGGTCAAAACTAGACCACTAGGGGACCGCAGGTTTTAGCCCATAGTTCCATTTACCAGGGTTCATTTGGGTACCCATTTTTGACCCACAGCCATATTTGGACTTTAACTTTTGTTGAACAGGCCGGATTTTCCATACCCACAAACAACTTACAAACTTTTTGCAGAGGGGTCAGCAGCAACCAAGAAGGGGATTCCCCCAAAAGCCGATGCATCTGTTGTAACATGCGGCTTTAGCCGGAGTACGAGTCAGAATCCAGCATATGTGTTTTGGTTGGGCGGACACCAAGAGTCCCATTTGAGGCCTATGAGGGCAGTTGCAACTGAATGCTTGGCCCAGCTCAAGCGGAAACTCTTTTGGAGTTTTGGACGCCTTGCCTTGGAGTATCAGAGTGTGAAGATGTTGCCAATCCCTTCGCCCTACGAAGAAATTCGGCCTATTAATGAAAACCGTTTGCCCCCAAATCAGGTTCTCAGAGGGAATGACACCAACTTTCACGGTTTCCTTCATTCGGGCATCCCCAAAGCTCAGTTCATTCCCAAAACCCTTCATGGAATGACCCCTATAAACCACCCTCCCCGACACTTTTTGGGATGAACCATCCCCTATAAACCACCCCTATAAACCATCCCCTATAAACCACCCCTATAAACCATCCCCTATAAACCATCCCCTATAAACCACCCCTATCAACCATCCCCTATAAACCACCCCTATAAACCATCCCCTATAAACCATCCCCTATAAACCACCCGTATCAACCATCCCCTATAAACCACCCCTATAAACCATCCCCTATAAACCATCCCCTATAAACCACCCCTATCAACCATCCCCTATAAACCACCCCTATAAACCATCCCCTGTAAACCATCCCCTATAAACCACCCCTATCAACCATCCCCTATAAACCACCCCTATCAACCATCCCCTATAAACCACCCCGATAAACCATCCCCTACAAACCATCCCCTATAAACCACCCCTATCAACCATCCCCTATAAACCACCCCTATCAACCATCCCCTATAAACCATCCGCGGTGGGCTTTGAGTACGAGTCAGACTCCAAAACCCAAAACCCGAAACCCGCGCCCGCGGCTTTTCTTCCAGAAGTTCGAACTGGGCTTCCCGGCGGCTCGCTGCAGGGCCGCAGCTCCGCGGCCCTCAGCATCTCCTGCAGCGGTGAGGCGAGCGCCAGGCGATCGGAGAGTTGGGCCCAGGGACATCAAAGGAAACCAAAGACGAAAGGGAAATCAAGGAAAAAGCTGAAGGAGACCAAAGGAAACCCAAAAATAAGACGAAAGGAAAGCCCAAATCAAGGGACAAAGATCAAGGAGACCAAAGGAGACCCCGAGATTTTACCTGGCCTTGAAGGTTTTTAGGTCAGAACGGGACCCAAACCGGACAATTGTCGACAACGAGGAAAGCTCTGTGTCGGATGGGGTTTCCCATGTCAAGGCTGTGGCTTTTTCGGGGGAAACCAAAGGTGTTTTTTTTTCTTTTTTTCTCGGTTCCCTCTAAAAGGACAAAGCGCGTGTAACCACGGATGTATGTTGAGGTGATTTGTAGAGCACTACTTGCTAAGGTACAGGATAGGAATCCTTGGGCGTAAATTTTCCACCGCCCCATTTTCGGAGTCGCTGCAAAACATGGTGGGTCCCGAGCAAGCGATACCCCGAAGAAAGCAAAGGCGTTTGAAGGGTGAAGGGTTCTGCAAGGCTTCCTCGGGGTACATGAATTGTCGTTGGTTCGGGTTTGGCCTGGAAGTACAGCACAGCCCCATAGTTTGTTTTCATGCCGGGTTTCCTCAACACACGCAAGCCAACCGCGAGAAATTGGCACGTGGCCAGGTGCGTCCATTGCAGGGACTGTTGACATCACAAGGGGTCGGGATATCAGGGTGAGCAGACAATAGTACCACCGGAAATCGATAGGGGACTATCCTAAACCGATACCCACCAACCGGTAATATTGCTCGTTGCCTTTTTGAGACTCGTATGTTTTCAGTCGCTGCTTGGTATGCAAAATCGGAGCTATTTCTGCCACTCAGTCTTTTGCTCCACCAGCAAAGCGAACCCTCTGGCACCGTGACAGCTGGCATGCAAGCTAACATGAAAAAGGATTCCCACCAATGTCCTATCGGAAACCTAGATGTCACTGGCACATGACGAGAACCACGCTGGAATTCTTGAAACCATCTAGACCACTCATCTGAAAATAGGAGAAAAACAAAAAAAGGACCTTCATCATAGCCAAGCTCGGCTTGGCCCCTGGATTGTCCTTATTTTGGCCCGCGGATCGGAAAGTTTGTTAGACTGTTGACAAGATTTGCTGGTGCTGCTCAGCACGGAATGAGAAAATGACCTGAGCCATCCAACTGGTGGCTTCCTTGAAGGGGACCCCCGGGTTCATTCCATCATTCCCTACCTATCGCACCAGCAAGGAGAGTGACCGAGCCCCTCCTTCATCATCAGCCAGGTGATGTGCTCGGACACCTTCGGAGCGTGCGAAATTTTGGGCCTGAGAAGTACCGGGCATCCAACATTGTTAAACAAGTGGGCAAATATGTCCAGTAGTGATATAGATTCCCTTTGAAACCCACAGGGGAAAATAACAATAGGCAGGGTTCTAACATGGCCAGTTTCCCTGGGAGGTGTCCATGTCCGTTGCAGTTCCGAGAATTTCCGAGATGGCTGCGTTGGTTCGGGTTCGTTCGGACCATCCAATCAGATTCTTGTTCTGCCTCATTGAAAACAGAAACGCCCCCAAGCCACCAAGTGGGCCTTTGGGAGCCCCTGAGACTCGGGGGCCCCGGCCCGAAAAAAGGCCCCGGCCCGACCTGCGGGGAGCTTCGAAGCCTGCCCGGCTGGAAAGACCCTGCAGGCTTGGAGCGAACACCTTTCCTGGCGGGTCACAAAAGCCACGTCCCAGCCTTGCGGGGCGGCTGGTCATTCGGTCAAAGTTCATCAGTCGTCGGCTTGTTGGTTTATCAGCGGTCATGGCTTTTATTCTGAAGTCTCAAGCCGCCGGTCGCACTGCATCCTTCGCGAGCGGTGTGGGTGTTCACTCTTCCGTTCCGCTCAAAAGCCGACATGCTTTCCCTGTTCCTTTGGCAATCCTCTGAAAAGAAGGATCCCCCAAAAGAAATGCTGCAAAGCTAGAATGACACCAGGAGGCGTCCTTAGTTTGGGCATTTACTCACGAAAAAAAAGAGTTTAGAGTTGGAAGCTGATGAGGAACATGTAGATATCCCCAGGCCTGTGTGCATGCGTGTGTGCGTGCCTGCGTGGGTGCATCAGTGTGTGCGTGCGTATGTGTATGTGTATGTGTCTGTGTCTGTGTCTGTGTCTGTGTCTGTGTCTGTGTCTGTGTCTGTGTCTGTGTCTGTGTCTGTGTCTGTGTCTGTGTCTGTGTCTGTGTCTGTGTCTGTGTCTGTGTCTGTGTGTCTGTGTCTGTGTCTGTGTCTGTGTCTGTGTCTGTGTCTGTGTCTGTGTCTGTGTCTGTGTCTGTGTCTGTGTCTGTGTCTGTGTCTGTGTCTGTGTCTGTGTCTGTGTCTGTGTCTGTGTCTGTGTCTGTGTCTGTGTCTGTGTCTGTGTCTGTGTCTGTGTCTGTGTCTGTGTCTGTGTCTGTGTCTGTGTCTGTGTCTGTGTCTGTGTCTGTGTCTGTGTCTGTGTCTGTGTCTGTGTCTGTGTCTGTGTCTGTGTCTGTGTCTGTGTCTGTGTCTGTGTCTGTGTCTGTGTCTGTGTCTGTGTCTGTGTCTGTGTCTGTGTCTGTGTCTGTGTCTGTGTCTGTGTCTGTGTCTGTGTCTGTGTCTGTGTCTGTGTCTGTGTCTGTGTCTGTGTCTGTGTCTGTGTCTGTGTGTCTGTGTCTGTGTCTGTGTCTGTGTCTGTGTCTGTGTCTGTGTCTGTGTCTGTGTCTGTGTCTGTGTCTGTGTCTGTGTCTGTGTCTGTGTCTGTGTCTGTGTCTGTGTCTGTGTCTGTGTCTGTGTCTGTGTCTGTGTCTGTGTCTGTGTCTGTGTCTGTGTCTGTGTCTGTGTCTGTGTCTGTGTCTGTGTCTGTGTCTGTGTCTGTGTCTGTGTCTGTGTCTGTGTCTGTGTCTGTGTCTGTGTCTGTGTCTGTGTCTGTGTCTGTGTCTGTGTCTGTGTCTGTGTCTGTGTCTGTGTCTGTGTCTGTGTCTGTGTCTGTGTCTGTGTCTGTGTCTGTGTCTGTGTCTGTGTCTGTGTCTGTGTCTGTGTCTGTGTCTGTGTCTGTGTGTGTCTGTGTCTGTGTCTGTGTCTGTGTCTGTGTCTGTGTCTGTGTCTGTGTCTGTGTCTGTGTCTGTGTCTGTGTCTGTGTCTGTGTCTGTGTCTGTGTCTGTGTCTGTGTCTGTGTCTGTGTCTGTGTCTGTGTCTGTGTCTGTGTCTGTGTCTGTGTCTGTGTCTGTGTCTGTGTCTGTGTCTGTGTCTGTGTCTGTGTCTGTGTCTGTGTCTGTGTCTGTGTCTGTGTCTGTGTCTGTGTCTGTGTCTGTGTCTGTGTCTGTGTCTGTGTCTGTGTCTGTGTCTGTGTCTGTGTCTGTGTCTGTGTCTGTGTCTGTGTCTGTGTCTGTGTCTGTGTCTGTGTCTGTGTCTGTGTCTGTGTCTGTGTCTGTGTCTGTGTCTGTGTCTGTGTCTGTGTCTGTGTCTGTCTGTGTCTGTGTCTGTGTCTGTGTCTGTGTCTGTGTCTGTGTCTGTGTCTGTGTCTGTGTCTGTGTCTGTGTGTGTGTGTCTGTGTCTGTGTGTCTGTGTCTGTGTCTGTGTCTGTGTCTGTGTCTGTGTCTGTGTCTGTGTCTGTGTCTGTGTCTGTGTCTGTGTCTGTGTCTGTGTCTGTGTCTGTGTCTGTGTCTGTGTGTGTGTCTGTGTGTGTGTGTGTGTGTGTGTGTGTGTGTGTGTGTGTGTGTGTGTGTGTGTGTGTGTGTGTGTGTGTGTGTGTGTGTGTGTGTGTGTGTGTGTGTGTGTGTGTGTGTGTGTGTGTGTGTGTGTGTGTGTGTGTGTGTGTGTGTGTGTGTGTGTGTGTGTGTGTGTGTGTGTGTGTGTGTGTGTGTGTGTGTGTGTGTGTGTGTGTGTGTGTGTGTGTGTGTGTGTGTGTGTGTGTGTGTGTGTGTGTGTGTGTGTGTGTGTGTGTGTGTGTGTGTGTGTGTGTGTGTGTGTGTGTGTGTGTGTGTGTGTGTGTGTGTGTGTGTGTGTGTGTGTGTGTGTGTGTGTGTGTGTGTGTGTGTGTGTGTGTGTGTGTGTGTGTGTGTGTGTGTGTGTGTGTGTGTGTGTGTGTGTGTGTGTGTGTGTGTGTGTGTGTGTGTGTGTGTGTGTGTGTGTGTGTGTGTGTGTGTGTGTGTGTGTGTGTGTGTGTGTGTGTGTGTGTGTGTGTGTTGTGTGTGTGTGTGTGTGTGTGTGTGTGTGTGTGTGTGTGTGTGTGTGTGTGTGTGTGTGTGTGTGTGTGTGTGTGTGTGTGTGTGTGTGTGTGTGTGTGTGTGTGTGTGTGTGTGTGTGTGTGTGTGTGTGTGTGTGTGTGTGTGTGTGTGTGTGTGTGTGTGTGTGTGTGTGTGTGTGTGTGTGTGTGTGTGTGTGTGTGTGTGTGTGTGTGTGTGTGTGTGTGTGTGTGTGTGTGTGTGTGTGTGTGTGTGTGTGTGTGTGTGTGTGTGTGTGTGTGTGTGTGTGTGTGTGTGTGTGTGTGTGTGTGTGTGTGTGTGTGTGTGTGTGTGTGTGTGTGTGTGTGTGTGTGTGTGTGTGTGTGTGTGTGTGTGTGTGTGTGTGTGTGTGTGTGTGTGTGTGTGTGTGTGTGTGTGTGTGTGTGTGTGTGTGTGTGTGTGTGTGTGTGTGTGTGTGTGTGTGTGTGTGTGTGTGTGTGTGTGTGTGTGTGTGTGTGTGTGTGTGTGTGTGTGTGTGTGTGTGTGTGTGTGTGTGTGTGTGTGTGTGTGTTTGCTTGTTTGCTTGCTCGCCTGCTTGCCTGCTTGCCTGCTTGCCTGCTGGCTGGCTGGCTGGCGTGCTTGTTTGTTTGCCTCCTTGCTTGCTTGCTTTCAGTTTGTGTGTGCCTTTGGAGGGTACATCTTGTTGGGCGGTCTGTTTGAGGGAAAGCAAGGGGAAACCGCGCACTTTGTGGTTCCTCATTTTGGATACAAACCCATAAACAGTGCTTGATTCCCATCCACTGTTGGTCCACCAAGCTTTCTACCAAGGGTCTGTTTCGAGGTATCTGCTTTTGCGGCTGTCAAAAGGGAAACCAAAAGGATAACCCACCGATAGTTGGGCCAACCTGAAAAAATCACAAGACGAGCCACCCAGAACGCTGACCCCATATTCATCAACCCCCGTTTGTTCATAGGGGGGTGTCCCGGTGTCCGATTCTGGGGTTGACAGTACAACTTGGGAGCTGGGGGGCCAGGCCGCGCGCGGCGAGGGCACCTGAAGCGCGGGACGGTGAAACCGGTTTCACCATATGAGGCTTAACCAAGATGGCCTGCGGGTGCTCATTGGCGTGGGATGTACACAACTGTCTGTAGATATATATATATATATGCTCACCCCCCCCTGCATGACCTACCTTTTTAGCTAAAAAAAGCAGGATCTCATCTATCATTTGCCCCTCCCTTCATCGCTATTGGTGGGGCACAGCACTTGGTTTTCATTGCACACGCGAGCAAAACACAAAACTAGTTATCTTCAATGCTTATTGATTGAAGCAATGGAAAACCTGTTCCATTATGTTATTCACCGCCACTCATAACATAATGATGTTCCATTTAATATTAATGACAAGTTAATTTTTAAATATAATTGTCTATATTTCTTTAATATCAACTATGACAGATGTCCCAATAATAAAACCAATAAACATAACTGAATATGAATTCAAACAATCCAAATATGAGCACGTGCTAAAATTACCATTTAGAAGTATTATAGTTGCTTCATCGACGGGAGGCAAAACAGTTTTAGTCCAAAACCTTATCTTGAATGTTTATAGAAATTAATTTGCAAGAATATTTATATTTTCCCCCAGCGTTCATAATGACCCAACTTTTACAGAAGTTAAAAAATACATCAGGGATGAATTGCACGTGGATGATGAAAAAGAACAAATTTATTTTGATAATTATAATCCAAGTGATTTAGAAAATGTAATTGAAAGACAGAAGAAAATGATTAATTATATGAAGTCTAAAAAGATAAAGAAACTACATTCAATATTAATCGTTATAGATGACCACGCATTCAAGATTCATCGTTGTAGATGACCACGCAGACGATCCTAAATTTGTTAGATATAGTAAATTATTACACAGACTTTTTACAAGAGGCAGGCACGATGCAGTAAGTGTAATTTGTTCAACACAAAAATATAATGTTTTAGTGCCTATCTTTCGTTTAAATGCCAGTTCATTAGGTTGAAAAATGCAAGTGAGTTAATGAGTTTTATTGAAGAAAATAGCGCCATTGTTGATAAACAGCAATTATTAGATATGTATCATCAAGCCGTTAATGACGCACCTTATAGTTTCTTCTACGTGAATATGAATGCTAAAGACATTAACAAAATGTTTCATATCAGATTTGAACAGGCATTTTAAATTACGAATGATGAATAAAGATATTCTAATTTAATATAATATAGTAATATGCCAATGAAACTATGTAGATGTGGTGGATTTTATCGTAGAGGTAATTGTAATTTTCATACGAATTCTTGGATACATAAACTTTATAAAGTATTGAAAAGAAGGGCAACAGACGAGGAATTATTAAGATTTCAAAATAATTTTGTTGATGAAGAAGATTTAATAGATGATATAAGTAGTACTACTTCAACAACAATACCAGAGGATAAAATGACAGATTATGATAGCAATCAATAATATTATTATATGTTAATATTATTGATTTAAATTAACGAAGCATTGCAAAATTGTAAGGCAGGAAGTTTATATATTAATTTGTCAGATTTTTCTTTCTCTAGTTTCTCAATTCGTGTCACACATTCTTGAAGAGATTTAAATAATTAAAGTGTTTGCTCGTGTTTTTTCATGTATACTTAAATTCTTAATGTCTTCCAAACTATTATTTTCATTATTTTTTACTTTTACCAATACCCATTATATATGATATTATTAAGAATTTAATTTTTCAAAATTATCTGTTTGTGGTTCTTCTTCTTCGTCTTCAGTTGGTGCTGGTATTTCTGTTGTTTTAGATGTCTGGCCCACGACAAAATCTTGGATTCTTGGTTCTCGAGGTTTTCTTGGTTTTCCTTGTTTTACTTGGGAATTCTTGGTTTTTTGCTGAAAAACCAAAAAAAACTAGTAAATCTTGGTTTTTTGCTGGAAATCCAAAAAAAACCTAGTAATTCTTGGTTTTTGGCTGGAAATCCAAGAATTCCCAAGTAAAATCAAGAAAACCAAGAAAACCTCGAGAAAACCAAGAATCCAAGAATCCAAGATTTTCATGTAGATGTCTGGCCCACGACAAAATCTTGGATTCTTGGTTTTCTCGAGGTTTTTTTGGTTTTCCTTGTTTTACTTGGGAATTCTTGGTTTTTTGCTGGAAATCCAAAAAAAACCTAGTAAATCTTGGTTTTTTTGCTGGAAATCCAAAAAAACCCTAGTAATTCTTGGTTTTTTGCTGGAAATCCAAACAAACCCTAGTAAATCTTGGTTTTTTGCTGGAAATCCAAAAAACTCCTAGTAATTCTTGGTTTTTTGCTGGAAATCCAAGAATTCCCAAGTAAAACCAAGAAAACCAAGAACACCTCGAGAAAACCAAGAATCCAAGATTGTGTAGTGGACCAAACATCTACCTGAAAATCTTGGATTGGTTTTCTCGAGGTTTTCTTGGTTTTATGTGAAAAATGCTAAAAACCCGAGGAATTCTGAAGGTTTTACTGCAAAACCATCAAAAACCCAGGGAATTCTTAGTTTTTGACTTAGGGATCTATCTGAAAAACATATCAGTTTTTACACTTGTTTTTTTGAATGCTTTCCTGTTTTTTTTCTAAAAAAAACATGGGTTTTTGCACATGTTTTGCTAAAACCATCAAACCACACTGGTTTTTCTTAATTTTTCAATGGTTGACGGTGTTGTTTTTTAATCGAAAACCATAAAAAACTGATGTTTGTTTCACTTTTTTATTGTCTGCTAATGGTCCCCAACGACTTTTTGAAAGACAACGGTAGGTCATGCAGGGGGGGGTGACCATATATATATATATATATCATATATATATATATATATTATGCAAGAGTATATATACATATAGATATACACATACGTATGCGTATACATGGTCGGGTGTAGTATGTAGAGGTGACTCCATGCCGAACTACCTTCGACTGGCTGTCCTGGTGTTGCATCGTTCATGCGGAAACTTGTTTGCGTTGCTAATCTGCCGAAATCTATGCCTCAGGTTCTTGACTCCTTTATATATATATATATATGCATAGCGCTTCCGGTGCACTTATTGTTGGGTTCCGGCTGGTTTTGTCTATTCCACTGTGCCTTCATCCTCTCTCGTAGTACAAGCTGGGCAAATCCTTCCCTTGGACATCAGCGGCTTCTCTGGGAGTTGTAAACAAAAACAAAAACATGCATTACCCATACGCAAAGCCAGGTTTTCATATGCACCCCCCGGTAAAAATCACATCAGGGGCAGGAAGCTGATCTTCAAATGGCAACCAACATCCAACAAGGTCTATAGAAGGACCGCTCCTTCGGTGGGGCGGCGCCCAGTGTTCCCGTGCGCCCCGAGCACACGGTGCAAAGAAGGAAGGTTGTTTCGAAACGAGATCGGCGTAGCTTCGGTTCGGTTTGTTTCTTTTGGTTGGGCTTGGTTTTGATTTGCTAGATTCTTTGATTGCGTTCACATGCTCTGCACGAAAGCTCGAGGTGATATCCAGGAAAAGGTCAAGCAACCATGACGGCCGAGCATAGACCTCAGCTAGAATGTCGGGAGCCGTACGCGCCCGCCGGGTGTCAAGTCTTTGACGCCAGGAGGTCTTCCATTCAAGAGGATGGATTCTGCAGGGGCTTCAGTCTGTTAACAGGAATCCGGGGCCGAGATGAAGAACACACAGACCACTAAAATATCATCTGGAACTTCTATACAGGAATTCCAAACATTGGTGTCGTTTTAGTAAAATAGACCGCCCTGGTAAATGGAGAAAAACAACATCTGAACCCGTCCAATTCTAATCAAACTAACCCAAACATGACACCTATGGTTCCAAACCTGACAAAGGGAAAATCCCCCTTTGTATCGGACCTGTTGTGAGCTCGTTATACTCCTGAAGTGAGCTTGCCATGGCAGATCTCATCACCAGCCCTTGCCTTCCTCTGTCTGGTTCAAAGGAAACCAACACCACGATTGTCAGGGACCTTTTGTGACAGGTGGGGAATGTCCTGAGGGAACCAGCTTCTTGGTTGGGTCCCAGCCCCAAGCTTTGGGAAGTTTGCTGGTTCCAAGGGACCAGCTTTCTGGTTGGGTCAAACAAGGCCCCCGGCCCCAAGCTTTGGGACTTTCTCACGCCTCAGCTTCGGTCTGTGGCACAAAGAGCCAGGTGGTGTTGGTGCCGCAGTAGAAGTCCTAAACAGTGAGAACTTGGGCGAGAAAATCGAAAGGAAGCCCAAGGTCTTGGCCGCGTAAACTGGCCTGTTCCAAATGGCTTGACCAATCCGATTTTCCATGATCCTTGTAGGGAAGCCACTACAAAAGGGACCGGTTCCTTGCGTAAACCAAGATAAGGATTGAGGAATACCTTTGAACAGCCCAGTTTTTCCAGGAAAACTTCAAGCAAAAAAGCGATCTAAGTCTGGCCATGAGTCGTGCTCCACCTTCCGGACCAGGCACAAGGCCTGGCACACGCGCGAAGTTTACACCCAGCTGGGGTTGGGAATCCAGGAAACCTCATGCGCCCAGAACCTTTCTTAAGCAAACCCAAAGGACCCACACTCTGTTCAACGCCCTTCAATTTTGTCTGGAAGCGAGTGATGTTGGCTATCACTACAGATCGGGTTGGGCAAAAACGTGGCCTCACAAGCGCCCACTTGCAAGCAGCCAAGCCGAAAGGGGGGGGGGGCGACCCCTTTTGTTTTAACGTGCGTAAAACCCTACGGTTGAAACACCCTCCCGTTGGCTTCCCTGCAGTTGGAACCAGGGTATGGGTGTTTCGGTCATCTTTGCCCTGAGTCCCAGGAACTACAAGCGACACCTGGGTTGCCGCGCATGCATTCGAGGACCAAGCAAAGCGGAAGCCGTGCTTCTTGAAGAAGGAAGCCCTTCCGTTGGGTGGCATTTCCCTTTGGAAGCGACCCCCAAGAAACGGGGACCGAGACTCCAAAAGAGGCACGACGCCCCAAGCGAAAAACCCTGTTCGGTGCATAGCCGGACGCGGAAGGACCGGGACATGTGTTGTTCAATCCCTTTTTCTGGAGACCATCTGTCTGACTCAAAATCGAAACCCCCAAGGGCCCCAAAATGTGGGAGGCAAGGCCAGCCACGTGGGCCCCCGAAGCAAAGCCGAGGCCGAGTTCGAAAGGCTAAGCCAAGTCGGGCAATCGGAAGTCCAGGTCCTTTGGACTATCAACTTCAACCTGCAAGGAGCACCCTCAAACCCCCCCCCCCAAAAAAAAAAAGAAGAAGAAACACCCGCACACTTAAAAAGGAGCATCCTCAAAAAAATCAACACGCAAGCTTAAGCACCCACTTGGAGGGCATCTTTGATCTCACTTTCATGGGCCCACGGCAAGCACTCGGGTCGATCGCCTCGTTCTCCCCGGCCCACTCGAAGTGGTGCCCGTGCTGGTCCAGCGTCCAGGTCCTGACCCCAAGAGGGGCAGTGGTCGTGGCGCGAAATGGGCAGGGAATGCACCCAGCGGATGATTCACGTTGACCCCCGCCCCCCGGATTAATAAACCCCAGTATATTCATATGGGGGTTGGGGCCCCTCCAAAAGTGGTCTGAATCCCCACTAAAACCAAGGAGAAGCACCCCCATATTAATAAACCGGGGTTTATTGATCCGGGGTCAACATCATTCTGGAACGAACCCAGTTGAATTGGAATGAATCCAGTTGCTTTGGTCCCCGTTTTAAAGGAAAAACAGCGGCCAGCAAGGGATGGTTAAAAAGAGGTAGGGCATGCACCCAGTGGATCATTCTGGAATGAGCCCAGTTGACTGGGCTGCCCGTTTTCGGATCCCCGGCTACAAGTGACTAACTTTTAGTGGGTCAAATGGAAACTACCACTAAAAGGCTAAAAGGCTAAAAGGCGAAAAGGCTAAGGGGATGGCTGGGAGCCACCAAGTTGAATTGGAATGAACTGGTTGAGTTGGAAGGAACCCAGTTGCAGGCGTTGAAAACCCTCGGGCAGGCCGGTTGGAGACATGGCGCTTTCGTGGGGCCCGCAAAGAAGTCTTGCAAAGTGGGTATGCGTTTCTAGGACCAAATGCCTTCTTCACCTTGGCTCTGTTCTTGCATTGAAACCCATGAGGAACGTGTCGCCAGTTTGGGTGTACCTATCTTGACACTCCGAAGACATACCTCTATGCTCGTTTGACATGCCGAGTTCAAAGGCAAAGTTCCGGATGGACAAGAATCAATGTGGCAACTCAATGGGATTCAATAAATTCCCCGGTTTCTTGGCTCGGAAACAAATGCCCGCCAAAAAATGAGATTCGAGCTTGGGGCACATTTTTGGTGGTTGCCCTTAAAGGGAAGCACCGTCCAAAAACGGCGGGCAAAAACGAGGCACCCTTTCTTGGCCCTTCGCATTCAAGGGAAACCTTCAAAGAAACTAGGTCCTCCAGTAGTTTGAGCTTAGAACAAGGGTACCCTTTCTTCTTCTTTTTGTCTATTCGGTAGGGAAACCCTCCCAACCAAAAAGGGCAACTTCCATGTGGTTCAGACCCCTGGAAGAAATAGGAATCTGTTCAGTGATAGATTCCAGCATTAAAACCAACAGGGGGAACTGATTAAAATATTCTTTGCAGCATTTGGAGGACTACAAAAACAGAAGTCTATTCTAGCAGGGCATTTTAGTCGTCGATTCTGGTAGGGGAACCCTCACAAAAAAAAGAAACGGTCAAAGGGCACCAATTGCTGGAAGGAAAAGTCCAAACTGGACCCCCAGGGAGGAGGCCACCGGGTCACCAGGTCACCAGGTCAGTCTCCTGTGGGGCCCGCCGCAATTCCCGTTGCCACGGGTGGGCTGCTGGAGGAAGCATGCGCCTCAAGGCATGAGAACTACCGCCGGGGGCTGGGGGGGGGGAGAGCGATTTGAAGGGATTTGGTTGGACCAGAGAAGGCATCTCCATGACCTAAACATAAAACTACAAGTGGAGATGAAATCTGACCAAAGTCATGAAGAAATCTTGAGACTCGGTACCCTTTCGGGGGGTCCCGGACACCACACTTTTTCTTCGGGTTTGGTTGTTATTTGTGAAACCAAAAGGAAACCATATTTGAAGACAAAGACGTAAACCTATATCAACAGAGCTTGCTTTCTGAGAAAATGGCAGCAACCCGTGACTTACGACGAGAGAAGTGAGGGAAAGGTCGGCCTTCGACTCGCTGAGTGGTTGGCTTTGATTGGGTGTGTCCCACGACCACGGAGAAAACCTCCAATTCAAGAAAATTGGTGGCGCGACATGGAGGAACTGTGCCTCTTTTCAAGGAAATGAGCTACCGACATGGGAATTTGTGGAGTCACCCCCCCACCCCACTTTCGAACGTTTTGTTTGAGGCTTCTGTGATTTCCACCCATATCATCCCACTTTATAGATGAAACCAACTTTGGGGCTTCTGTGATTTCCACCCATCTCATCCCACCTTTATAGATAAAACCAACCATCCCCGAAGCTTCACATCCCCCATTCTCATTATTTTCATGCCATCCCATCCGAGGGCCGGACCTCCACCAGGCCAGCCTCCGGAGTGGGCCCAGTCTCTTCCCCTTTGCAGGAGGTTCAACATTTGAAAAAGGTCTCATTTTGGGGTTCCCCTAAAATGTACATAGGGGAGCCCCAAAAAGCACCGTTTGCAGCCTGTTCTGACTGGATGCCATGGCGACCTCATAAGCCCCTTTTGGCCTTTTGGCTTCCTGTGAAATGCATGAGAGAACCCCCCCCCCAAAACAACACATGACCCCCAAAAAACCGAAAACCATGGGGCTGGTTCCTTTGGTCTCCCTTCAAAAAGCACACCCTCAAATACGTCACCCCCAAAGATCTACTTTGCGATCAGGTCAACCTTGGTCTCATGGAATAACCAGACCGTTTCTTGCCACATCCGGAGGGCGGCCACGGACGAATGAACCTTGAACGAGGCTCCCAAAATGTCCTCTTGCATCAGCCGCGCCCTCTTGATAGAGACTCATGTTTGAGGGGCCTCAAAGGTGATGCTCAAGCCCACCAAAGTGGGAAACATGGAAAACTCTGCTCCACCTGCTTTCTCCATTGCGACGATCCAATGGGGAACAAGAGGGAGTTGACTCAGCGAGTCCAGCAACTCAGGAAGCGAGAGCAACAGCTTCCTCGCCACTAAAAACCCAGAAGGTCAAACTCATAAAATATCCTTAAATATATATATATATATATATATATATATTTCGTTGACCAATCATTTTGCACTGGGGCAAACTTATTGGAGCCCTTCACAACAGGGCTCCCTTTGCTTCCCTTTGCTGGTTTCGAGCGTCACTTGTTGGGCAAGTTGAAACTGAGCTTCCTAAAAGCGGGGGTGGGGGGCACCGCTCCCGCTTTGGAAGGGAAGAGTTAGGTCATAAGTCGCATGGGGATCCGGTATGGGCATTTCACAAGTTCCTCCAAAAAGGATTGCTTTCCGTTAGAATCCCGTAAAAACATACGGCCAAAGGCGGCCCTAATCTTACGAAACACATTGTTTTGAGAAAAAAGGGGGGAGAAAACCAAAAAAAAAACGAGGAAGAGGGTTGCACACCAAAGCAATGTCTAGGGAGGGGAATTCATCAAAACAGGCATGTACCCATTGGGTTCCTTGGCATCCATGGTCGACCCAACATAAAACAACCAATCCAGGGTAGGACACCAAAAAGACCCCCCCCCCCAACTCTTCTCCAACTGCCTTGGGCGGTCTACATGCTTGTGAAAATTTGGGGCCGTTTTCCGTGACAAAACCAAATTCCCATCCCTACGACTTGTTTTTCACTCCGCAAAGAAAAGCGGACAATTCCCTGGGCGCTGAAAGATTCGTCCAAACCCACCCTTTGTCCGTATCCGTGAGCAAGCCGGTGGACCTGAACTTCTAAACCTGGAAACATCCCCCCGTTCTGGAGTCCTTCGGATTGATGGCGCTTCCCTCACTTTTCATTCACAATAGGCTGTGACACAAATTTTATGCGGTCTTTTAAAGGTGGCTTGGTGCCGGATGTCCTTCGTTTCCCGAATTCCTTTTGCGCTTTGCTGTTCTGGGGCTGTTGTCGGCGCAGCCCTCAGGCACGCCTCTTTGCACTTGTACAGGAGCCTGGGCCACTGCAACCAGCCGAACAGGCACCGTTTCAGATTTTGATTTGACACTGATCTTTTGGACAAATAGATGGATTCCACCCAGGAACTACTACAACCAAAACTGATCCCTGGGCCTCTATGTTCAGCCAAACTGAAAAGTAGGTCGCTCCCGAGACCTTGTCACAAGGGTAGTCGTTTGGCCCGAAGGGAAACCAAGGGAAACCACACCCATTTTCTACCCTTGTTGTTTGGTCACCCTGGTCAAGAGCTGAAAACTCTTTTTCGAAAATGAGGCCTCTCAAGAAAAGTGTGCGGTTTTCCTTGTGGTTTCCCTTCAAACATAGAAGGGACTCCAGCCCCCCTTTAAAAAAAGGAACCGCATCCAAATTGAGAAGGACAGGTGCCAGACTGAGAAAGCAAGCAAAGCAAAAGAATGCTTGCCAGGAGTCCATGCACTCAGTGCAAGAATCAAAGGCCCGCGAAGTGCTACCGTCAGGAGCACGCTGCAACAATTCAACCGTTCGGGGGCTTTTCTACCCGTTCGCTACCAAGTATGAGCGAGCAGAAAGAAGCGGACCCGGTGATGAATGTCCTGAGCTGGAATCCTGGAAGATAACCGCTGGAAGACAAATGACTTGTGCCGGCCAACCGTCCCGACCCCTGGCCTTTTGGAAGGACACCAGAACCCTGTTGGTTACCAAACAATGCTTGACTCCTTTGGCCGTTTCCCAATGCATCCATGCCATTCTGACTCAGTCAACAACTCGGACCCTGAGGAACCGGAAGATTGTTCAGCAAACGTCTCAGTCAAAACCAACACCCTTGAAACGGATACTCCCACCTGCCGCCACCCCCCCCTCCACCTGGTCGGCCGAAACAAGGCACGCTCACGGCACCGGTTTCCAGCGTGCAATGGGATGCCAGATCCGAATCCGCTAGCCGCAGTATCAAGGGAAGCAGCCACCATCTAAGGATTAAGCATCTGGGCAATCTACTCTGAACAGCTGGAACTCGGGAATCCCTTCATAAGTGCGCTCGCTTTTCCCCTAGCTCTTTAGAACTTGCACAAAAGGATTGATTTTGACCAACCCAAGGACATGACAAAAGGATTTCTGGTTGGAGCAAATCTTACAGGCACCCACTCGAAAGGAACCCATTTGTTGGAGAACGGGTCACCCAACAAAAGGAAACCCATGGGGATAAAAATGGGCGTCTCTTTCAATAGGCAACCCTCAAAATGGTCTGGTTGTTGGTTTTCCAGAATGCATGTTTGTGTTTCCCGAAAACAGACACCCCCAGTTGTCAATCACAGCACAGAGCCCGATCAAATCTCCAACGAATGTCCTCCCCCTTGCCTCTCGATAGCACGCAGCCGTACTCGAGCCGTCGGCATCGCCGATGCCTCAGAGCGGGGGGGGGGGGGGGTGAATGGGGCGAATCCGGCGGGGCTGGCTCGGGACCTGCCTGTGTGAATCACCCAACAGAGGGCCGGCCCAACCATGGATGCGCCACGCAAAAGATGCCATGCTTTGACTAGGCACACATGGTTCGATGCCTTAAAGAAAGTAAGCCAATCCAAGCGGTGGAACCAATCCCCAAAAATGGCACAAAAAGCATTTGGGTCAACTAGGGAGCCCCCAAAGAAATGACGATGTCATTCTGGTTTCATATATGACCACACAAAAAGGTGTCCTATGGTCGACATCTTCCCACTTTTAGCCGGATGTCCCTGCAAACGACCTTCATGGAAATGTCTCAGCATCCCGCCGGCAAGCTGGTTTGTAACACGGGCCGCACGTGTCGAGACCTCCCATGCTTTCATTCGCAACCCCTTGTCGGGTTCCTCATGGGGGCCGGAGGGAGGAGAGGGGGAGGGAGCCTAAATTAGCCCTAAATAAGGCCTTACTAAGAACTTAAGGGCTCATTTTGGGCTCCCTCCCCCCCTCCCTCCCCCCCCAGCCCCCCTGAGTTCCGGGTCAAAGGAACCCGATCAGTTCGGGCTCTCCAACTTGGGATCCGAAGAAAGTGGGGCCTAGAAATGTTGGACCCCGCGAGCTGGGCCTCCAAACTCGTACCCCAAATGAACAGAGCTCAACCCCAGACATATGCCCAGGACTCTCTTTTGGGGCTTTTCCATCCCCCTTGAAATATTTTCTGGAGCCCACAAAAAAAAAGCGGACCTCTTCCTTCCAGGGTTCTGCTTTTGGCCCCCTTCGGACTGGAGGCCCCCGAAAAAATGGTTTCCACCCCTGTGCACCCGCTCCCGATCCCCAAACCCCGGGCGTCCGGGCTGCTGAAAGGCCCTGCTGCCGGCACCCAATCCGCCGGCACCGGGCCGGTGCTGTGGACTTCGCACCGCGCCTGGGTCCAAAAACACGGAGAAACCGCCAACCAAAAAGAAAGTTGCTTCTTCGCCCAGTTTCTTACCCCCCCCCCGCCCCCCGGAAGTTTCTCCCCCAACCCCCCCAAAAAAGTTTAGCTTCTCCCTCCCCCCCCCCCCGAGTTTGTTCGTTTCTCCCCCCCCCCCCCGGATATTCTGCGTTTCTTCCCGCAGGCCGGCATTTTGCGTTTCTGCCGCCAGGCCGGTGTTTTGCATTTCTTCCCCCCCCCCCACCGGCGTTTTCCGGCTTTTGGATGTGGCCAAAGATTCGCCGAGCTTTCTGCCACTTCCCCGCTGAGCTCCAAGGAAAGCCAGGTCCGAAAGCCCGCGAGGGTTCGCTCCCTCGCGGGTTTGAAGGTTCCAATTCCGGAACCCAAAGCACGGTGACGTAGGGTTTTTGTGGGGGTCCGGATGTTTCTTGAAGAGGTGCGGTGGCTGCGTAGCAGCTCAACATATGTGGTTGCCAGCGGTCGCCATCAGGATTCCATTCTGTCTACCTTGCAGAAGTCGAAAAATGGAACCCTGGTTGCTGTACTGTGGGATGGACAACATGTTCATCGCGCCAGTTCGGATTGGTAAGTTGTTCCAGCAGAGGATTGGACCCCGTTGATATTGGCCATCCGCAGTACCGTGTACTAGAATACAGTAAAGGCCCTGGTGAGGGAAACCCGTTGTCTGTTGGTCCTTTGGAGGAGCCCCGGTTCCATGTTGATTTGCAGAACCGATGGTATGGGGAAAAGACCCTGCAAGTCCAGTGAACAATCGGCTTTCAGAAGACCAGATCCTCTTGGACATGCCCTGTCCACACCGAGGTGCCTTTTGTTCTCTTTCATGCTGCCCTTTGTGTCTGGATGTGTGTCCCACATTTCTGGGCTCTTTGTTTTGCTTCCGTCCGGTCGTCCGGTCCAACTTTCGGGGTGGCCTCTCCTTGTTTTGTTGGTTTTCCAAGGACACCCATGGAAGACGAGGCGCTCCGGGCAAATGGGAGTAGCCGACGCAGCCGGCGTCCGCATCGCAGACGCTGCGGCCTCGGTGGTTTGGCCGCTCAGTGTCGCGCGTCAGTGGGGCCACTCTTTGGATTGCCTTGAAGGAAACCACCAATTCGGGGTCCCCACAAAAGGGGTTAGCCTTTAAATCACTTTGTGAGGCTGGGTAAGCTTTGAGCATCTGATGGACTCAGAATTTACAGGAAAGTCTCGGAACTTCGATTCTTTCTCCGATCGAATTGAAGTTGGGTTTCCCAAACATCACTCGAGACAAGCTGGTCTAGTTGATGTTGCAAACCCAACGTTTGAGGGGAAAACCACCTGATGTGTGTCGCAAAGAGGAGCCCCAACAGAAATTGATGTTTTTGGTTTCCCCTTTAATCCCAAGGAAATATCCTTCAAAAAGAAAGCACAACCTCTGACCCCGAAACCCCAACCCCCCAAACCCCAAATCCCCACGTTCTAAAACCCGAAATCCTAACACCCGAAACCCAGCCATCTCAAGCCATCCCGAAAACCCGCTGCTTGGCCCTGCGGCACTCGGTCAAGGTGAGGTTCTCCTTGAAGTAGCCGCCCACCCGGCAGGCTCCGTCCGCCGAATCGCAGGAGCCTGCGATTCCAAGCGCCTAGGAGCGGTTGAGCCATAAGGCGCCCTTTTGGGCATGAAAACTGAATCGTCAAAAGCATGGGACATTGGGGAAAATGGAGACTTCAATAATTGGGGTGGGGGAAGCTTCGTGGGGGGCCAAAGAACTTGGAAGGGGCTGGGATTGGGAAATGGGGAAATGATGGCAAAGGGATAAACTGTCGATTCGCGACTGCAAGCGAGTTCGGATCTACCCCGGAAGATTCGCCCAACTCTAAATCCATGGGCCCCTGAATTCTGCATCAAAGCTCGTGGCAGGTTGAAGGGAAACAACCCCAGTATCTCATTTTCGTACCCGCCTGAAACGGTCAAATGGGCGCAGCATGGATTCTTGAGTTTCATCCCAAAGACGGCCCAGAGATTATCCCATCCTAACATGAGCCACGATCAAAGCTTGGTACTGCAAAGGTCTACCCAAGTCCATGCAAAGAATCAAACAGGCGGATATCCGCACCTAGTTATGGTCACTTACCCGTGCTTTGATTGTGCCTCAAAGGCTTGATGTGCTTGGCCTGCATTGACGGGCACATCAGTTGATTCGGTTCTACCCCCGCCTGAGCTTGAATTGGGGTTGTCTCATTTGAGGGAAGCCCTTCCCCTTTGAGATGAGTCTTAAAAAAGATGGGTTCTAACAACAGGATTCTACACACAAAATTGGAGGGAAGCCCTTTGGGGTTCCTTCCGTTCACGGCAAAAGATTCACTCACCTCCGGCTCTGGCGAACGTTCGAGTCAACATGTGAGCCTTCCGTGCTCAATGCAAGGAACGACAGCACGAGTATTTGTTTCGACCCGTCTCTGACACAAATGCCATTTCGACCTTCGGGCATTTCAAGTTCCCCTAGTTGACAGGGTACAACATTTGGGGGAGCCCCAGAGCCCGCGCCTGGCCGGCAGATCCCTGCGCCAACCAGCTCGTAGACCTCTTTTGCTTGAGCGATCCACAGCTCGTGCCGTCTTCAAGGCAAGGTTCTGGGCGTGTCTCAACATAGATTCTGTTTATATATATATATATATATATGTATATATATATATAGTTGGGGGCGGAGGGCTTTTAGGGACGCTCCACAACTGTTGCATACATACATGTGAACATACTTTTATGTATCTATATATATATATAATTCCCCACCCCCATGAATCTACCTTCCTGCAGATTTCACTGGCATTTGCAGTGATGTCTGCCTTCTTTGAGTTTGGGGAAAGCAGCAAAAAAAGACGCATTTCCAGAGACATCAAACTTTTCCAGGGAATCTTGAATCCAGGCCCGCATGAAATTTCCGTCGGCGGATCTATATACCTCTGTCCTATTTTTAAAAAGCTGAGGTTTGGTAAGAAGATGCAAAACAACAGCTCTGTTGGAGCCAATGCCAAAAAAAGCAAAGTAAAAATGAAAACTTCTGGAGCCAGAGACCCAAGAGAAAAAGAAAGAAGAAACAATGAACCAGTTACACAGCAAAAGTAAAAAGGAAAACAAAATCCTGACAGCAAAACAGTAACAAACAGTTAAACAAAAAAACCAGAGCATGCATGTTACTTGAAAACCATAGGTTGAGATATTTACTCTTGTACTTGTTTACCTTTTTGCTTTGGGGGCATTGGCTCCAGAACTTTGCTGATATGCTTGCATCCGATGACCAAACCTTAGATTAGAAATAGATCAGACTTAAGGGTAAGGGGTTTGGGGTTGATTTACTCACTTTTACAGGAATCGGACTTATGTCTCGTTGTTGTTGGAAAAAAAGCTGTGTGGTTGTTGTCTTTTGTTTCAATGAATTTCATTGGACAAATAAATGGTCGTTCAAAGAAGCTCACTGTTTGGTGTTCTTAGTGTTGCTTGGAATTCAACAAGAATTCGATAAGGATTTCAAGGGGGCTTCTTTTCCTAGGATGGTGGTTTTGAACGTTCTAATTAGAGTGCCGTAAGGAAACACTTCTGGTAGAGGTTCCAGTTTAAAGACTTTGAAAAGGCCTTCCTTCTCAAAGAAGATGTGTAAAAGCCAAATTTGATTTTGGATGTTATAACGTTGCTTCATTGATCATAGTTCAAATTGTGATAGTTAAGGAAAGAATTCGAGTAGAGTGTCTAGTTTTAGAGAACTTGAAAAGCCTTTTTAAGAAGGTTTATTATTATAATTCGTATTTCAAATGAGATTTCACAAGGATATCCTTTTCCAGGATGACTTTTTCAATTGGCGATTTACAATTTCAATACAAAATGCAATGCAAACGCCCAGGATGTTTTCAATTTCCGTTTGGAGTTTAAATGGGATTTCCTGTTCAGAGAAAATTGTTGAGTGGATCGTTCTTTTTAGATCCTGAAGAGGATGTCCTTGCTTAGGATGAGCTGATGCCGGTCAAGTCGCACATGGGGCAATCCAAACAAACACATGCACGCCTTCTCCAAAATAGACTTCAAACAACAAAAACATCGGGCTGGTGCATATACTTCCCTCTCCCTGCACGCTTATTTGTATACATAAATATACATACATATGTATGTACATATGCAAATGTGTGTGTATATATATATATGTATAATATGTATATATACTGCCACCCAAGGACTCACCTTGCTGTTGCCCTCGAGTGCATGATTTGCTCATCTAGGACTCGAAGGAAAAATCTCTCAACTAGGACTAGCACCAAACTAGGACTAGACGATGAACTCTAATTCTCATAGCATTTGGGCGTCAAGTATAATATTCTATTGGAAAGAAAGTCCTTTGTAACATTTGATTTGAAATAAGATAGTCAATTTAAATGTAAACTATGGAATTGTTCCTTAAAACTTGACAACTATATTTCATAGAATGCCGAAGCCTAGGACCCTCGGGTTATGGGGCAGGCCTAGGCTTTTCCCGGAAATAAAAGAAGAAGACAAAAAACGGTGCAATGAAACCAACGCGGTTGACCTAACCAGGCCTTGCGCAAAAAGCCAGGGTTCATAGGTGTGTCTTCTTTGGTCTTTTGAGTTTGGGACCCCTTTTTGGGTGTTTGTGGTTTTAAAGGGAAACGCCACAATGTCACCCAACCCTTTACTGAGCGTGTCTCACCAGAGTGGATCGGTCACAACTAAAATGGCTTTTGTGCCACAACCATTTTCCTCTCACCGGGACCCTCTTTCAGGCTCGATGATGTTCCAGGCTTGCCTTTTGGGGCATGCCACTGAACTGACCCGCAAAAGCGGCAGAAAAACATATGTCCCGCCTCTGCTTAGAAGCTACAATGAGGTTGACTCAAAATTCCGGGAAGCATATAAAAAAGCTTGTCTTCGGTTGGCTTCCCCCCCCAAGCAAAAAAACAAAAGAACGCCCGCCGAAGTGGGTCACCCCCCCCCCTCCACCAAAAAAACAGTGCCGACCCCACAAAAAGATACACGGCGCATTGGTTTTGATCCCAGTCCGCGCCTTGGTGGAGCTGCTTTCGGACAACTCTTCGGGCGCCTGGCGCTTTGTTTGCTGACGTGGCACCCGGCCACTGACGGGAAGTCAGGGATTCCTCATGTTCGGAAAGTCTCACCAAAGTCAGGGACTTCTTTTTTTTCAGGTGCTGTTTTGGTTTCCATGTTTGGTTGTGGATGAAGGGGGGGCCATTGCATGTGTCGAGCACAATCGGGATTTGAACCCCCGAAATGGAGTTCAGTGCTCCAAACACTCCCACCCCCACCCCACAAAGAACAAGCTTGTCTTTTCTGGCGGAACACGGTTTTCAAAGGAAACCCAAAGAATAGAAAACCAACATTGGGTGAGGGGGTGTCCTATTATACTTTTAAAAAAAATACCAAAAACAACATTGGGGGGGGGGGTCCTACTAAAAAGAAAGAAAGAAGAAAACAAAGAAGAAAAAACAGGGGGGGGTCCTGTTGCATTCTTCTAGACAGACCGAAAATGGGTGTCTTGATCTCCCCCGTTTTGGTTGCCGCGACCAAACTCGTTGGGCGAGTCTCCGCCTTGCACACGGAGCTGAAGTTCGCGGGCGCGGCGTCGCCTCCCCCGTTGAAGACCACCTGGGGCGAAGACTTCGGGGGCCGGGAAATGCATGGGGAAAAGGGTCCCCTTTTCTGGAGCAGACAGTACGCCGAGCCTCAAAAAACATATGCCTGGCTGGAACTTTCTGGCTGCGTGAAAGCCTGGTTGCTCGTTTGGTGTCGAAAAATAGATCGCCCCCTGCTCACGGTTGAGGTGACCAACCAACCCAACCCAACCCAACCCAACCCAACCCAACCCAACCCAACCCAACCCAACCCAACCCAACCCAACCCAACCCAACCAACCAACCAGGTTTCTGGCCGGGGTTGAGCCCCAGGCCGGGGCCGGTAAAAAACAGCACCGGCTCCCCGACTGCACCCAATCCACTCGCCGCCGCCCCTCGGCCCGAGTCTCAGGCGTTGCCGTTGAAGCTGCGACAGTAGGGCTGGCCTGCGCCCGGAGAAAGAGGAGAAACCCGGCGGTCTGAGGTCTTAAACAACTAGGGACGGTAAAACCTGGTCTTGTCATAATTGCAGATGTTTAGAAGAGAAAACTGTATACTCATAATTACCATGGTGGCTAGCTTGTCCCCAGATCATCGCCTGGGGTGTGGGGTACTGTCGAAAAGACAAGTACATGTTCATAGGAGCAACCGTTGGTGATCAATTGGCCCCTGATACTACCCTCCTGCGGATTAACACAGAGCCTGTAAAACCACGTGTTTAGAAGAACCTCCTGTCAACCTTCTGAAGTGACGATTCTTCAGGGGCCAAAGGGAAGCCATTGCAAAAGGCCCTAAACGGAGCACCAACCTCAAGTCCAACGCATTGGCAGCTCAGAAACTCGGGACCGGCCTGGGTCGGGTCCAAAGTGACATCCTTTCAGAATCACCCTGGCAGGCTGAAAGGGAAACACCGAGTCCCAAAAGTAACTTCTGAGCAACCTCTCAAAAAGTAACCGCTTTGCTGGGCCCAGCAACTTCCACCTTTTCGGGATGGTTTACATACCTTTGGGCCATTCGGCCCATTGGTGTGAGGATATCCCTTGGGGACAAAAAAGCCCGGGATTTCCGAAGACCCGCGCCTTCTTCGTAGACGGTGCCCAGCCACCCCTGCGAGCTTTCGTCACAAAATGCCTCACCCCCGCCCGGTTTTTTGGTTCAAAGGGAGACCAAGCCAAAGGCTTTCTTGTTGAAAGAGGGTTGCCAAAAAAAACCTACGGTTCAAGTTTGATCTCTGGTAAGCGGCATGTCGCATCAAATCAAGCCTTTTGCTAGCGGCATGTCCCAGCAAATCAAGCGTTTTGCTAGCTGCATGTCTCGTCTTGCTAGCGGTTTTTGTCCTTCAAATCGAGCATCCTGCTAGCAGCATTTTGCTAAAAGCGAAGGGGAGAGTGACCCAAAAGGCCATCATGCACAGTCAACATCCCCCTCAAAACGGGACACCCCAACAAATTAAGCAGGAGGTTATTCCAGCTTCACACTCCACAGGAAAATCACATGTTTCCTCGTTTTCTTGCTGGGGAGGGTCCCCAATCTTAAGACAAACCCATTTGGGTGTTCATTATTATTATCATTATTATTATTACTATTATTATTGCTATTATTATTCTTATTCTTATTGGTTAACCTCTCTGGCGCTTGAAGGGCTTCACCCGGATTTTGCCATTTACAACATCTGTCCCACGCCCCAGCCACGCACCCCGCGCCTTGCTGAGGCTCACGGCGGCCGCGTGGCACTCCACCGGCGTGCGGATGGCCCAGCCCTCCCTAACCGCCGAAGTTGTTTTGCGAGTCCCAGCAGTTGGGGTTTGAGGGTTTCCCAGGGGTTGTTCCCAGGGTTTGTTCCCAGGGTTTGTTCCCAGGGTTTGTTCCCAGGGTTTGTTCCCAGGGTTTGTTCCCAGGGTTTGTTCCCAGGGTTTGTTCCCAGGGTTTGTTCCCAGGGTTTGTTCCCAGGGTTTGTTCCCAGGGTTTGTTCCCAGGGTTTGTTCCCAGGGTTTGTTCCCAGGGTTTGTTCCCAGGGTTTGTTCCCAGGGTTTGTTCCCAGGGTTTGTTCCCAGGGTTTGTTCCCAGGGTTTGTTCCCAGGGTTTGTTCCCAGGGTTTGTTCCCAGGGTTTGTTCCCAGGGTTTGTTCCCAGGGTTTGTTTGTTCCCAGGGTTTGTTCCCAGGGTTTGTTCCCAGGGTTTGTTCCCAGGGTTGAGGCTTTGTTCCCTCCTTTTACCGTTTCTTTTACCGTTTCTTTGAGGGTTTGTTCCCAGCAGTTGGTGCCGTTTCTTTTACCGTGTCTTTTTTGGGGTTTGAGGGGAACCACCTAAAATAGACGACGGAAAAAAGGGCTTGCCAACTTATTCGAACCTCTCTACTGGAGGACCTAGCTAAACCCTAAACCCTATGGTTCCAGGGGCTCAAAGCTAGCCTCACTGCTAGGATGAGCCGATGAGTACCATGCAATGAAATTTGAATGATGGAGTCCCAGGGGTTCCATTTACCAGGGTCCCATTTGGGACCTATTTTTGACAATATTTTTGGGGTAGGTGAATTCACCACTCATTTTAGTCTATTCTAGTGCGGATTGGGATGTTCACTGGACTGGGGGTACGGGATTTTGACCCCATATGGGTGTGGCTCAAAATTGAACAGCAGGGGTTACGCAGGTTTTAGTCTTTGGTTCTATTTGCCAAGGTGCCATTTCGGTACATGTTCTTGACCCACAGCCATATCTCTTAAATGAACTTGGCTTCACATTATCGATTCGTCTTGGGCAAAGGCAAATGAGTTCGCTTTCTTCGCGGCGAATGGAGTGCGTGAGCTCTTTTCATCCTTGGCTGGTTTTTCCCCCAAGACCCTAGTTATCCTTATGGAATCTGACGTTCAGGGGGTCCTGGTTGGGCCATTCTCCTTTTAACGGGACCGGGTCCCGAACGTCTGGTTTTTCCAACAACTGCATTTTCTGTAAGCTGCTTCCATGACCTGACTCTGACAGCTGACGACCCTAGCGGCCATCCCCAATAGGGCGTGTTAGGGCGTGTTCTTTCGGAGAGCACTATGGGGCTTGATCAACAGGTCCTTTACCTCAGATGGTGGGAAAACCACCAAAAGGATGATATTTCAACCACATCAGAAAAGTTACCCATGGCCACAGCGATCAAGCCCCATATGATTGACCCCACCACTGATGGGCCTCAAGGGTCCAAAGACCGATCGACTTGGGGAGAACATGGTCACTGATGTAAGTTCCGCACATTGAGCCCCAAAACCAAAACCCCGGGTCCTGCTGGTGAGCCCCTTTACAACCCAAAGGAGTGCGAGGGTGAGGATCATCCCTACCCTCCCACTAACATGGCAACTGACAGGGGGTCCCTTCAAAAGGAATTTGATCTTCCAGGTACCTCCCCACAGGTGCCATGTTAGTTGGAGGAAGCGTACCAGCCCCAAATAAAGTGTTGCTTTGCACAGCTTGTGGTATTCAGATTCAGCAAACTGGTACCCTGGGCCGGTCGATCCAGACCCAAGCTGAATTTGGATGATTGCATCAGTTGCCCAGTGACCCTCTTAGGAAACTGAACGCCTTTGAGGGTTGACCATGTTTCGTGCGCAGCCCACTCCGAAAACAGGGAAACCTGGAGCAACTCAGGCAGGGCACGGGCAGTACTTCTGTTCCGCAGTCACCTCATAGACCTCGTTCCGCGCCCGGAAATCAAATGCGAAACATGGCAAGGAATCCATGAAACCTGCAGACCCCGGGACCACTCAGCCTTAAGCAAAAGGAAGATCATGACGAAACACCGAGCTCCTTGTAAAATGCCAGGGAACAAGGGCTCTGCTCACATCTAGCAGTTGTCGTACTCGTTGGCATGTAGCCAGCGAACCACACAATATCGGCAGTGGGCAGTGCCGCGGCTCGCACAACGTTGCACGACATGCCGGCGGCACCACAAGCACGACGCGACGGTTTCAGGCGGTGGCTGCCCTTGCGAGACCAGTGGACAATCCCAGAATTTGACCTAAAACCAAGAATTTCTGATGGCAATAGCAATCCCAGAATTTGTCCCAAAACCAAGCCTTCCGCAACCACCACACCAAGCCGCAGGCGTTGGCATGACAGCTGAGGTGTGGGCATGCAGACGGCGGCCGAATGCTGTCTGTGTGCCTCGGTCAGACTCCGAGGCAGACAACTATGTCACTCAAGGCATACCCATTTAGCTGCGTCATTTGATAGGGATATCCCTACAAAAGCAAATGGTGGTCTTCCGTTTTGTTTGCCTTTAAAGCCAGGTGAACAAGGGTTACCCTCGAGCAAACTTACACACACACACAACACACACACACAGGTGTGTGTGTGTGTAGCGGATCCTTTTGCGAAACGGACTCCCGTTTTGGAGAAGTACCAGCTATGAAACTTGACATGCGACACGCACACCTGGTAAACCAAGGGAGGATGTCTTGAAAACCGTCCTACAGAGACATCCACCCTGAGAATACATAGGTAGAAATGACCATGACTCGTTGCCCAAAACCCAGCAACCGATCAGCTCACTTCTCATTGCTGGTTTGGGAACTGGTAATTGGGGCTTCACATCCTGCCAACCAATGAGGACCCAACAGCACAGAAGCACCCCCTGGACGGAATACATGGTTGAGAAGCTAAACCCGAGTGACCTGCATGGGCAGCAGTTGCATGGGAAGCAAAACAACAACCAACACCAAGTAGAATCTCAGACGGAAAACACCAACATCTCTCCACAATGGTGTCATGCCCATTGCCTTTCAGCTCGGTCTGGCCGCTGTGGCCAAACAATGATATATGTGCGGCAAGTGTTTGACTCCATGCGATTGCACCAAATCCGCGGTGGTCTGCAACCCCTCCAGAAAGTTGAATGGTTTGCTGGTTAGTCCGGAAACAATCAGTTCTCGAAAATTCAAAAAAAAGCTTTAGGTCCCATCAAAGAGCAACCAATAGATACACTTTCGTGTTGATAGTAAAAAATGACACGTGTGGCAAACATTGCTTCCCCTTTGCGCTTCCTCTAGGAAAGATTGAATCTTATGTGTTTTTTAGCACCTAGTTGAAGGTCCGACCAAAGAGAAATCAAGAAAACCAGAATCAAATGAGCCGTTTGGGAAACATTCTAGCCATACCTTCCCTATTCACGGGATCCTTCTCTTCAGAAAATGAGTCAACACCTGTGACACCCAAAAAGCCCGAGGCAGCTGCGCACGAGCACCTGGACGTGGCTTCGACTCGATTGATTCGGGGCTCTGAAGCAAGTGACTGAATGATCGCGACCTAACCGACTTGGGTGTGGGCTTGCTGCTCCCACCGCAGCTATGGAGTTGTTTTCGCAGCATTGTTGTTGGCACCTCGGCCTTTTTGGGAGGTTTCAATCAGTTTCAACAGAACCCCACTTCACGGGCGACTAGCAGTGGCTGTCTCTGCTACTCGCCTGGTTTCAGCATGTCTGATGTGGCACATCATGACTCGTCCACTTCAACAGGGGCTTTCCTTGGTATGAAATCACAAAAGCACAAACAACCCACAAAAGCCCACAAAAGCACACACACACACAAAGAAAAAAACGGCCTTAAAATCAAGCTGTCCACAATGGAGGTTCCGCATTGGGGGCGCACCACTTTGAATATTGCTTGAGCTAGGAGCTGTTGCTGAGCACGTCTGGGAGCCAACGGCACAATTGCTGGCCTTGCATGTTCGCTCTCGCATGACAAAACCAGCAATGCAACAAACATGAAAACCGAACAAAACAAAACAAACCTCATCCCGCCTCAACCACGGTCTCGTTCAGCTTCTGTGGCAGGGAAGCGTTGGCGAAACTGGCGGGCTGCTCAGGAAGTGAGGCACGAACCCATGAATCCTGTCACGGAACGGCCCCCCCCTTTTTGTAGGGTCTCCCCCAGTGCCGCGGTCCTCCCCTTTTCTAGGGGCATCCCCGAATTGAAGCTGCGATCCTTACAAGCTTCTCGGTTGATCAGGCTCCAACTCCTGCGGAACCCACCCCCCACTCTCCCAGTCCCCTACCCCCCACTCTCCTGGGCCCCTTGTTGGTTTTGCTGGTCCCACTGCGGATGCCCACTTTGGGCATCCTAGCAGCCTGGTTGCTTAGGTGCTCTTTGCCGAGTGAAACTTCTCGTGGGAGATGTCGAAAAAATCCCTCAGGCTAAAGGTCGAAAAGTCTGAGGTAGGAACTGCCAAAACTTGGCCCAGCAGTTGGGGGATGCCAAAGTCATACTGTCTGCGTGTGTTGCGTACTTAGCCCTAGTGTCAACCCAAGATTCAGAAACCCTATATAAATTAATATGGGGGGGGTGTTTGGGTGCTCTTCACTTCTGGAGACGACACCCCCATATTAATACGCAGGGGGGATATCAATCCGGGGTCAACATGTGTACATACACACATATATATATATATATGTATACGTATACCCATATAAACACATACGTGTATGAATATTCACCTTTGTATTCATTTGGCCATGGGTCAAAATCCCGTACCCCCAGTGAACATCCCAATCCCCACTAAAATAGACTAAAACGGGTGGTGCACCTACCGCAAAATGGTACCATTGGTCTTGATCCACAGCCATTTGGAGGAGACCCCAAATCGGACCCTTGGCATCCAAGCAGCCTCTCCGCGTCTCTGGCCAGCTCTTGGAAATCCGTCTGCCGAAGGCCTCCCAAAGAGGCGAATCCAAACCTGGAGTGCCCAAGCTTCGGCTGTGGCTCCCCATGTCCTCGATGGTCCATGTCAATGCTAGACGCGAATCTACCAATCTGGGCTGCTTCAAGCTTGAGCGTGCTCAGTAGACCAATCTGGGGTTGCTCATCGCAAAAGCTGCAACCTGCCGGTCTTTTTGGCAAAGCCATTTGCTTCCAGAACATCCTTGCGGGCCCGGGGTCACACCAAAGACCATGCAATCGGTGCTCTGGATCAAATGTTCAACATGTCAGGGACGGGAGGCTTGACATTCTTGGAGCGAGAGGAAACAAAAACATGAGCTTAGGGTTTAGGGTCCTTAGCTTCCGACAGTCTAGCGAGCTCCACCAAAGGATCCGTGTCAGAAATGAATGCCGGTCCTGAGTTCTCACACATCGCATCCTGTTTGGGCTTTACCTCAACAAGGTTCTGCATATCTCTCGAAAGCATCACTCGCATGGAACACACCCTCCCCCCAAAACACAAGGGATGGCACAAGACGGCAAGGCTTGGGTTGGGACCACCCCTATAAACCCATAGTTTGCACCTCGTGGAGTTTGGGGAAACATCACCAGTTTGAACCATTTAACACAAGTTAGAATGTGGTTGCACCTTCCATGAACAATCAATGAACACAAGCCAAGCCTGTTTTAGTGAGCTTTAAAGGGAAACCAAAAGTGAACCACGCAGTGTTTAGTTGGTAAACCGTTTGAATAATGTTGATCCCACATGCTTATGAATAGGGGGGGGTGTTGTTTCCCTCGAAAAGTGATGATTCCCCACAAACAAAAGGAACACCCCCCATTATTAAACCGGGGTTAATTCATATGACCTCAACATTACACCTCAGCTGACAATGCATCCACCACCACCTTCAGTTTTTGCAGCCCCTTCAGACGCAGGCCTTCGAGCGCGGCTTGCCTCAGCCAACTGCCCAGCGGGGACACCCGAGGATGCTGCACCGAAGACGGCGGCAACGACGACCGCCAACTCCACAAACAAGAAGGAGGAAGAGGAGAAGGGAGGCAGCAGCAGCGGCAGCAGCGGCAGCAGCAGGAGCGACAGCACTAGTACCTTCTGGTGACAACAGGCAGCAGCCACGAAAACGAACAGAGCTAGCTATGCCGAACAAAGTCAGTGATGAGGGGCAGCCAATTGGACAAGCAGAGCAGCATGCCTCAATTTCGCCAACTGTTTTTCCTGGCCAAGCATGGGATCCCAACGAGAGCAAGCACTGAAAGATATCATTCACACTCCGGGCAACAAGAAATTACATGGCAAGAATGCAAACCAGAATCCTCTGAGATAGGCCACATGCCTAGGAGCTCTCCAAGGAATTCAAAAAGGTGGGGGGTCTTTGTGTTTCCCATAGAAATGACCCCCATAAGGCTCCCTCAAACAACCGTCGCACCCGCATGTCCCTTTAAAGTAACCAAAAAAGAAACGGTAGAAGGGCACTGCTGGGGGACCTAGTTGGCAAGCGACCCGGAGCCAGCTTCTTGCCCCAGGTTGGCAAGGGCAAGCTGAACCTTGCGGAAAGCTTGTCATTAGTGCACACGACCAGCGCGCTACGCGCGTGCTCCGAAGAAAAGGTGCGGAGACCCCGACCGAAGCAGCACCCCCAGTCCGCGTTTCAGCGTCTTCAGGTCGAGGCCTGTGGAACAAACCAGCAAACTTGGCCCGTTCTCGGAAAAGAACAGGATGACGCTGAGGGAACTTCACTCGCACTGAACTTGTCCCAGGCCCACAACAAAGCACACAGAAAATCAGATGCTGTAACTCTGCTTCATATTTCGTCTACCGAGGAGACCCCAGGACACCTCTGCACGTTGTGCACCTCTGAAAACTGGTCCGGGCCCCCGGCAAGCCGGAGTTGAAGCCACCTGCTCGGAGATCCGAACCGACCAGAACGATGGCTACCTGGGAGAGGGAAAGACCTGGGGAGAGGGGAAGCCAAGATTGAACCCAGGATTCAGCAGAACCTCTGCTCGATTTTGATCGCGCGCGCGAGCGAGGAAACACTTTATGAATCTGCCAGCAAGTACATCATCTTACAGTGGTTGACATTCCCTAGCCCGCATCACCCGAGCCACGGGAAACGCTTTCAAAATGGCAACCGATGGTGGACACCAAGCATTGACTGCTAATCCTCCTGGTTGCGAAAGAGACTCGGCAGGGAGGTGGGGATACCAAGCGGGCTTTTCCCTAGATAGCCCCCCCCCGGCGTCCCCAAACAAACCCAAAACTAGTTACTTGGAAAGCTCTCCAACCTGTTGCACCCTCTGTTGGGAAGCCCACCTTGGGAACACTCTTTTTAGGGCACCCTCAAAAGGCAATCCTTTGCCGAAGACGAAAATTTCCCCGGCTCTTCGCCTCCGGCGAGCCGCGGCACCACGGCGCGGTAGAAGGGGCACCGCCTTGCGTCCGACGTCGCGTGACGCGTTCGTTCGAGTACCCCCCAAGTTCTATCCTAGGTCCTCCAGATTTGAGAGGTTAGAATAAGGGTACTCGTTGTGTTTCTTCTGTTTTTTGTGTGTGTGTTGTTTTTGCCTTTTTTGGTTAAGGCCCCAAAAAATGAAAAATATGTCCAGTGATGAACTCCTCTTAAAACCAACAAGGGGAAAAACAGTAAAAATAATAAGATATACATATATATATATATTCTTAAGCAAATGGAGGCCAAGTTCTATCTCACCTGCTTCCATTTGTGCCCATGTTTGTTGCCATGTGTTTCGATTTGTGGATCCAGATTTCCGCATGGGTGTCTGGCCAAATGGGTTTGAACCTGCCCTTGAAGCCAACCACAAAAGCCTCCCCCTAACCAAAAACACACACCCATTCGCACTCCGCAACGTTCCTGGGTTTGTCTCCAACTGGGACAAGGAACCACAACACGGCTAATTCCCTCTTGGCTTCCCTTGAAAACAAGCCAAAACGGGTTAGAGCCCCTTCTTGGATGTCGCTTGCCGGAAACCCCCCTGAAAGCCGATGCCATGTTTTAGGGTCACCTTTTTGAGGAAAGGCTCATCCAGGATTCCCAGGTGGCGGACTCTCCTCAGGCCGGACCACCGCTACGCTCCCTAGGAAACCATGCCCAGAGAACTCGTTGGAGCCTCAAAAAAAAAAACATAAATGAAAAAAGAGAAGCCTAAGCTTTGGGTTTGTACTGGAATGGATGTGGGCTGTCAAGATGGAGGGTCCTCATAGCGCCAATCCCGGAGGGAAGCAAGTCGGGGGAAGCAAGACAAGAGGGAGAGACAGACAGACCCTAGGTTTCCTTTTGGACCAGCAAATTAGTTGACAAATCGATCCCAACTAAAAATCAGCGCGATGAACTTTCGGCCAAACTGACCTAGAAAGCACATCTTTGAGCATAGGGGAACCCCTTTTGGGCGGCAAAATTCCGCAAAAAGCAAAGCCAGCGCTCTAAGGTTGCGTACCCAGCCTCCAAAAACTGTCAAGTGCCCCCAGAATTGTGGTCCATATGGCTATGAATTTTACTGGGGAACCCCCTCGAAGGTGGTTAGTGGACACAAATCCCTTAAATGATGTCCACCAGATACCAGTTCGGGTCCCGATCCTTAAATTTCATAGCCATATGGCTGTGGCTCAAAAACATGTACCAAAATAGCACCTTGGCAAGTGCCACCAAAGACCAACACCCGCGGTTTGCCCGAGCTCTTCAATTTTGAGCCAGACCCATATTTTCCGTGGAGCATCCTTGAAACGACCTTCAAACGGATCCCAGGGTCAGCCCTTTTCCTCCGCCCCAACCCCCCGCCCCCCCACCACCAGCCCCCGGGAGTTTTGGTCTCCGACTCGTGGGTGGCGGCCATGAGGCGGCCCGCCGTGCTGGCGGAAGCGTTGCCTCGGCTTCTTCTTTTCTTTTTTTTCCGATCCCGCGTCTTCTGGTTCCGATTGTGCGGCCCAAGGGGGAGGCAGAATTTCATGATTTTCTTGGGGAGGCAAAATGAATGCGTTTTGGGCCAAGTTTGGTTTGGACCATTCTTGGACTTTTTGGGGTTGGAGCATTCTGTTGCGGTCAGTGCGAGAAATGTAGGGAATGAGAAATGGAATGAGCCCGAGAAAAACCATCCAGCTGGTGGTTTCCTTTAAGAAATCCCCAGGTTCATTCCCACATTCCCTACTGAGCACCAGCAAGTTGTTGTTTGTTTGGCTGAATCTGGTTGTGAATATCTTAATAGGGGACCAAAGTGGCGTACATCATTCGGGTGGGGATTCATTTCCACCAATCACTTTTGAAATTCATAGTCATGTGTCCCGCGTGGTTTTTGAGGGTGCCCTCAAAAGGGCTGGTTCAAAGGTGAAAGGGAAAGCCGCCATTTTGGGTCCTCTTTTGGCACATACCCATAGGGAAAGATGAAAAAAATGAACAGACCGTGAAACCCTCCCACCCACGTTCTTTAGAACGGAACGAAGCAAATGGCTAGAGGAAACTGGTCAGCTAGCCTTTCGCTGGGTTTCCTGGGAGACATCCAACTGCTTGCTTTGAAGGGGATCCGCTAAATCACTCCCACAAGAAGGTCCCTACCATGACCCCCCAGGGTTCCAGGTTTGTAGGAGGCCCGCTTGATGGAATGAGTTGTTCAGGGAAACCAGGGAGCGTTTGCAGGATGGTTCTCTTTCCATTCTCTCAAGCGATTCCATATTGACCCAAGTACACGTGAACAGACTCATCGAACTCTCTCTAAAGACGCTTGGATCATACCATCAGAAGGTTCCAGAGGGTTTCCTCAGGCGGTTTTGGCGGTTGGTTTTTCCTCCACTGCGCTGAGGGTCCAGTCATGCTGGATCCCTCATGTTCAACCACTACTCGGAATATGACATCACCAGGGAAGACACTTCTTGGATCCAAACCAGAAGAGTCAGAAAGTGCTCGCAAGAGCGAGTGGTTGGGTGCCACAATCGAGCACCATTGCTGGCCTATGGGTTTCCTTCTAAGCTAATCACAAAACGCCCAAGTTGGAAGCTTTTGCCGGAAGCCCGGAGGCGCAACACTTCTTGGACCTGGACCAAAAGGCAAACCACAGGGTGTGTCTTTTTGGATTTGGTACCCTTCTTTTCGTGTTTTAAAGGGAAACCACCAAGAAAACCGCCATTCCTTGGGGGGCTCCCTCAAAAAACGACACACCCAACAAAAAGGAAAACAATCCTTCAGGAGGCACCCCGCGTGTTGCGCAACCACTCCACTTTGAGCCTCTGAGGGCCCAGCAGTCCAGTCCTAAGCCACTGCCCAGGGTGTCGTTCAGCAGGCCTGCGTCCAATCAGCGGAAAAGTCGCCAAGAGGACACCCCTCAAAACATCCCCAACCTGGTTTGTCGGGAAAATCCTGAATTGGCGGTTTGGATTGGTGGTTTGGCGGTTTGGATGATTTGGACCGCATGGGGCTCATTGGCACTCTAGGTTCAAGCCGCCCCAACCAACCAACTGAACTGGGGGGCAGGTGATGCTGGTGTTTCTGATGCAAAAACGCCATGCAAAAGGGGGGGTCGTTCTTGTGCGAAAGGCCCCTGTTGCACAAGTGTATAGGTGTGCGTGTGTGTGGTCAGGAATGTGTAGATATAGATGATATACATGTGTATACCTATGCATACATGAACTGCTTGAAACATACGTCGTAGCAATTCGACTGTGGTTCAAAAAGAGTATGCATATTTACATACATCAAATTCAGCTCTGTAGCTATGCGTTCCATCAGAGTAGTGATTAATTTGCCGCGTTGACACAGGGAAATGGGTGTTTCAGTCAAAAGATCCTTTCCAGAACGTAACCAACCACGACCGGCGCAAGTGTGGGTGGAAATGCACGAGTTTTCTAGGATGGTGATAAATGACTCCTGGTGTTTAGCGCAGAAATCTGGCAGTGAGTTGATTTGCAAACTTTTGTCAATGTACGATTGCCCAACTTGGCAATTTTCGGCAATTGGTTCACCACACCATTGAATGCCTTATGCTCGGGAGAGCTTGACTTGGCCAAACTCAGTGCAACCCGAAGCCGAACAAAGCCTATGAACACGTGGGGGTCCATTCTGGCGGTCCTTGCTTCTTGGGCCCGCGTTTTCAAGAAACCGACGGCCTGGCACCACAGAGGTCTCGATCTCCGCCCTCGAGGTGTTTGTAATCCTGTCAAGGCCGAGGCGCCTCCGCTTTTTGACAAAATCCTCGGAAAAAACGGAATTGATCCCATAAGATGCTTGCGCTCTGAACAGTTCCTTCGGGTTCTCCGCAAAGTGCGTGGGTCGACCCCCTGTCCCCTCGGAGTTCCTTTACATATCGCCTTTTGAGAAATCAAATGAAGGGTTGCCACTGAAACCGCCGCTAGTAGAACACAGCCTCTGTCAGGACCAAAGGGTTCCGGTGGCAAGGATCACTGGTACAAGAGGAGTGAGAGCGAAGTAATGCCAATGTCCTACTGAGGTTCTGAAAAATTGAAAGGAGCAAAGCGACGGGGAGTCCAGGACCATGTTCCACCATCAACCTCCATGATGGGAGCCCAATCCAGGACCTTCATGCAAATCGCTCCCCCTTTTCTCCGAAATCGGCAGGCTCGTTCGGATTTGTCCAAACCCCCTACTTTGCCTTATTGGTAAATGATATATCGCTCCCGAGCCTCCGCCCGCCCCTCTGGGCCGCTTTTCCCGCGTGCCGCGCGTCTTCGCTTCGCGCGCGTCGCGCGCCGCGCGCCGCGAAGTTTCTTGCATCGGGCGGCAGACCATGAAGCTCCAGTGCCAGTGGTCGTAGTGCCAGTAGTGCGGGCACACAAAGCCCTCCCAACGCTTCTTTCGGCGGTGAAAAGAGACCCGTGAAAAACCAGGTGGATTCTGGCTCATCTTTTTATATAGGCACCCCCTTTTGGTTGGTTTTCAGGTGCCCCCTAATTAACAAAAAGACACACCCGCATATAGTTTGGCCCCGGTAAAGTTATGTAAAGGGACAAACTGGTTGAACACCCTAATTGTTTCCCTTCATGACCCAGTCTTACCTAGCAACCCGCCATTTTCACAAAAGTTGGTTGCCACATGCGCTTGGAGTTGTTTGAGTCCGCCGTGTCCAAGCAAGAGTTGGCTATCAAGGGAATAGGATCTGGCTGATTTAACACATCTGCCCAAGCCTGGCGCTCGAAGAAGTGGCGCCACCAAATGCCCTTCTCTACCGTGAGGTGCAGGTTCCTGGTCGAACAAAGAACGAAAGAATGAAAGAAAAGAACGAAAGGAAGCAAACAAACAAACCAAGCCAAGCAAGACAAACCAAGCCAAGCAAAACAGGTTATGCAAGACAGACTAAAACAAAGCCAAACGAACCAAAGCAATGCAATGCAATGCAATGCTAAGCGATGCAACACAAGAGACAGGAACAACTTCCCAAACACAAACCACGGTTGATGCGTGTCAAGTGACACACGCAAAATCACCCTGCGACTTTGATCACTGCTGGCGCGGCCACTTGATTGGACCCAGTTTGAACAGCCCTATGGGTTGGATGTCGTAACATCCCTGGGAAGCAGTGGAGGGAAACATCCGAAAGGACCAAACCTCGAGACTCCTCCATCTTGCGCGGTGTCCACCCAATGGAACGGCGTTTACCCGGACTGCTTCCAATGGCCATGGGAACCAAAGGCCGCCTTTTGCTTGATGTTCAACGGAAGCCCCCGCCTTCAAAAACATGGGGTAAACAAAAAAGACGTGGGCGCCCTTTTCTTGGTACCCTCCCTCAAGTTGGCATCTGTGGGAAGGTACCTGGACGATGATTTTCCTCTTAATGCCCCCGTGTTGCCATTTTGGAGGGAGGGTAAAACAAAACGCTGGCTTTGAGGACAAATTTATTTTCCTGCACAAAAGGGAAAAAAACACGGGCGCCCTTTTCTTGAACTCAAAGGTGAACCCCCTAGAACAAGCTTTCACGGGCATCACTGCATGCCAGGGGAGCCGCTAAAGACAAAAAGTAAACCCAGAAGCCCAGGAGAAAACGGAAAGCCTATCAAGGGGGACCCCCTTTTTGTTTTTGCCGCGTTTGCGGGATCAACAAACCCATGCAATCCAGAGCCACTCGATTGGGACCACCCCCAGCAAAAACAACAAAAGGGAAAAAAAGAGGAAAAAAACAGAAAACAACAAGAAAACAAAAAGAAAACAAAGAAAACAGAAAGAAAAAAACCGATCCGCTGCATCGGATCCGAGTCGCTGGATCTCCAAGAACCGCTGCTGCTGGTGGAGCTCCGGCAGCCGCAGCGAGGAGCCCATGTTCTCCGGCACCTCCGACGCTCCGACGTTTTTTCGCGCGCGGTGCGAGCGTGTGGTGTGAACGCGCGTCGTTTGCGCGTGGAGGGCGCAAAAAGATGGCTGTGGTGGTTAAAACCAATGGTACCCCTGGTGAACATCAAAATAGGTGGCAAGTCCCATGGCCACGTGGGAACACCCGGGTTTGAGCCCGTGGAGCGTTGTTTTTGGATGGACCCCCCAAAATGGGGGGGCGGGGTCCTCAAAAAATGGGCTAGCGACTGCAAACAAAAGACCCCCAAATCCCTGCCGAGTCCCCGCTGGTACGGATCGCAAAAGCCGCTGTCAACATTTAAACAAATTGTCTGCTTGGGTACCCTTCAAGGGGACATGATGTTTGGTTGTGTTTTCTCAAAAGGGCACTCCGTCTGAAAGGGGTTTGGGTTTGTCCTGGTTTGGGGCACCTCCAAAAAGGTGCTTTTCATGTTGGTTTCCTGTTGACACCAACCAAAAGAAGGTTCCACCAAACGAAGACAAACATGGAGCTGTTATCTTTGGTTCTCCTTTCAAAGCATGTCTGGACTCTGAGTTTCATGGATTTAGAAGAAATCCAATGAACATGAGTTTACATCCACTTGCCACCTATTTTGATGTTCACCAGGGTACAGGGTGTATGGCCGTGGGTCAACACCAATGGGATCCCATTTTTCGGGTAGGTGCACCACCCATTTTGGAACCTATTTTAGTGGTTGGATTGGGATGTTCACTGGGGGGTAGCCGGGGTTTTGACCCACAGCCATATCCCATGCCCCTTCAGCAAGGCCAGAACACAAGCCTTAGGCAAGTCCAGAAAGTCGATGTTCCGAATGGGTACTCGTTAGGAACTCGAAGTGGTTGGTATTAGAATCGGTATTCTTTCTCACGGCCCTTTCAACCGGTCCCGATTCAAACAAAATGCTTTCCTCAATGGTTCCCTTTAACCAGGTATACCAATAGGATCCCATTGGTTATGCCCCATGGCCATATATCGACCGGTAAACTTCCCATTCTTTCCAGGGATCCTTCTTTCCAGAAAACCGCCAAAAACCCTGGGGAAATGCCTGTTCTGGAAAAGAACGCCATGAAAAAAAGGGGAAAGGAATCAACCATGAAGAATGGGGGTGCCCTTCCACCTGGGAATGGGAAAGGAATCAACCCCTAGAATTTTGATCTCGGGCCCCGGAAAAGGGCAACCTTCCGCTTCGAGTCACCGTAGACACGACGGCCACGAACATCGCCCAGGGGTTCGGCAGGAGCAACCGCCGCACCTCCTGGCAGATCTCGAACCAGATGGGTGGCTCGTCTTTCAGGCAGCCCCAAGATGCTGGTTTTGTCCTGTTGGTCTAGGCTAAGGGCCGTTCCTTTTGTACGGGTACCCTTGGTCATAAAACAACGCAAACACCACCACTTTGCAGGTCCCCTCAAAAATGACACACCCGCATGTTTGGGGAAACACCATTCCACCTAAAGGTTCTCCCTTCAAGATCCCCTGCCTTTTGAGCATCTCTGAGGATTCCTGTCACAGCGGACCCATCCCACCAATGCGCAGCTTCCCCCAAGTTTGGAGCCCGGCGGTTTGGTGCATAGGGGTGGTGTCCCATTTACCCTTTACAAGAACCAGAAGGTTCAAACCAACTCCAAACCAATCCAAACCCAGGGGCTTCGCCTGAAATCCGCTCGACTCAGCTCGGTCCCGCATCACCAGCTCGAGGTCCGGCTTCGTGAGGTGTTCCAGCACGTGGGTAGTGAAGACGGTGTCGAAGGACCCGTTGCCTCGGGCTTTTTTCAAAGCCCGTCCGCGTGGTCGCTCCAAGTGGCCTGGTGGCTCGTTGGCTTATTTAAATGTAAGCATACCACTAGTTTATGTTCTACTTTCTCGGACAAACAATAAAGTGTAATTAAAATCGACAAAACACGTATAAATATAACATACATACTGCACAGTAAACAGTATATGGACTGCATATATATTAATAGATACATTTCAATGCTATCACTATTATTACTGTTGTTGTTTGTCATAATTCAATCTAATTTGGGACATTGCACCCAAAGTAACAACATACTGCTTATTATAACTCAACAAAATACGGTACATCATGTCATTGTCAAATACGTCTCTTTGAGATCACTAATTCTCTTCGTCACGAAGTTACATGCATTCTGCAAATTCAAAATTATATTCTATAATATTTTTACACTTTCATGTTGCATGTTGTTTGTTTTTGTCGGAATTTATTTTTGGATTTTTCAAAATCCAGTGAGAATTGTGTAAAATGTTTCCACATATTCAATGTGTTTATTTTCGTGGAGCTTCGGGCACTCTAAAACCACTTGCGGGTGCGAAATCGGTAGGGAATGAGTTGGAACGAACCTGGGGATTTCCTTGAAGGAAGCCATAGGGAATGGTTTATCGGGGTCATTCCATTTCTCATTACCGTGGGTTGAAATCCCCAAGCCAAGCCAAACCACCAAATTCGGTTGCCTGAGAAACCCCAAGGCTTGGACTGGTTAAAACAAAAAAAACTAGGACAAAGCAAAACATGTTGCCCGCCCATGGACCCTGCCCGAACTTCGCAACATGTCAAGGGACCCTCTCCCAGGTCAGTGTCCGGACATGCGAAAAAGAGAAAAAATATGCTTGGGTGTGAACTTCAACTAGGGGAGAAGCCAAAAGGAAACCAACCATTTTGGGCACCCTTTCACAAATTTCATTGGAGACTCATGGGCATCAGACTTCGGGGATCCATGCCCACCAGCCGCCGCAATGCGGCGGCTGGAAAGCAAATACATGCGGGGAGACTGTGGGGCCGCATATGGCCAAAATCCATGGGTACCTTCCATGTCCATTCTTTCCAGGGATCCTTCTTTTTAGAAAACCTCCGGAAACCAGGAAAAACGGCCGTTTTTTGGAAAGAACGATGGTTGAAAAGAATGGGGAATCAACCCCTAGAAAAAACATATATAAAAAAAATGATTAGTTAGGATCCGTCCCCACAAAGAGGCGCAAAACAGAACCAAGTACATAGCAGGGATCCTTACACTATACACCTGAACATTGCCTTGTAAATGGTGGCTTCCCTTTATTTTGGTGGAAAAAGCCATATTTCAAATGGTTGCAAAATGTATCTTTTAAGGAGCCCTGCGTAGTTGCTTCTGCTGAAAACATCCTGTCGCGTCTTGATAATCGCACACGTCGGGTGAAACGCGCACGCGCTCGTGCATAATTAGCGTGAGGCTGGCGGGCAGGAGGGAAGGCCCCACAAATGAAGAAAACAACCGAAAGCTCGCTGCGTGCGTCTGCCCAAGCCCTGCTCTTCGGTTTTGATAGCCGCAAGGATCATCCAATGAAAACCGCAGTTCATAGACGATCAATGAGAAGTGGCAATGGTCACGTGCTCGAGTTGTAGCCCCGGTGTTCACAAACACTTGACCCGCACACACAATTGCCAGAACGTAGCGCACATCAACCTTAGCACTCGCAGTGAGCGCTTGCAGAAATAATTTACTTTCAACCCCTCTTGTTCCTAGAAACGGTCAGAGGGTGAACTGTGAATACAAAACGTCAGAGAGGGCAACGCGTCTTTCCTAGACACTCCGTGAGCGCAAATGGCAGTTAAGCACTCTGCCAAAGATGAGCAAGATTAATTGCACATAGGCACAGCAAGACCACGCGTAGAAGACCACGGAAAGACCATACGACTACGGAATGATAACTTCACAGTGCGGTCAAAACCAAACAGTTTAATAGAACAAACCTGATTTTTGTCCAACCAGTATCTAGGATAGTGTCGTATTTTAGCTAGTCGTTCACAGCCTGTTTTGTTGACTCTCCAGCTCTTGTCCAAACAAAGCACACAAAATCTTGCTGGTTCTCAGCAGGGAATGAACAAATGGCATGACCCCTGAAGAAAAAAACAAAAACAAACAAAAACACATCCTATGGCTTTCTTTAAAAGCGGGAATCCCCCCAGCACCGGTTCACTCCCGCGAGCTCTCGCCCATCCGCACCCGACCAAAAAAAATCGGAGGAAAAAAAATCCCCGCCGCGCCAGGGGTGCGGAAGGGCAGCTCCGTGAGCAGGGCCTCCTTGAAGCACTCCTGGCGTCGTCTCGTTCGCGCAGGAGGGGCTTAAAGAACCCAAGAAGGGGAGGCTGGGCCGAAAAAATTGCGGACTGGGGTCACGGAAGTGGCACAGACTAGGTCCTCCAAATAGAGGTTAGAATGAGGGTACCGACTTTTTTCGGTTTTGTCTATTTTAGTAGGGGGGCCCTCCCCCACAAAAGAAACGGTACAAGGGCACTACTGGTGCACCCAGCAGAGCCCCACCAGTCCCCTTCAACTGGCATCCTTCTTGTCCTCGCTCCTACCCCGCGTTTGGTTTCTTCGGCTCCTGGCAGCCGTTCTGCTTCCGCGCCATCTCCACCCGCGGGGGCGACACGTCCACCCCGTAGCCCGCCACAAAGGGCTGGCGGGTTTTCAGCGCGCTGAAGCCGCACCAGTTGGGGGCCTCGGCTGTGAGTTGACTTTCGCGGACATGGCCAGACAATGTGGTCCTGTCCCGCTCTTGAGGTGGCTCCCGGTCAAAATCAGAATTCGGTCCACGTCCCACTCTTGAGGTGGCTCCCTATCGAAATTCAGTGAGGCGCCTGGGGAAACCTTCTGCAGGAAGGGGGGGGTTGGTAGTGGGAATCAAGGGGGTGCGCGAGCCCCTCTAGAGGGGTGATGGGTTTGGGAATGAACCTGAACATCCCGCTTGAAGGAAACCACAAGGCATTGACTTTGGGGGTCATTCCCTCATTCCCTGCTGAGAACCAGCAACAGCAAGTTTTAGACCATTCATGAGATCCCACTACCCACTACTCCCCTGCGGATGTGTGTGTGTGTGTGTGTGCTTGTGTTCTTTTCCCCGTTGTTTTTCTTTTTGTTCCTTCTTTTTTTTCGGAACCTCCAAAGAAGGAGCTTCCTCAAACGCCACGCAAAAAAATCCCCTACTCCAGCTCCGCGTGGGGATCCATCGCCCCAACCCCCGAATCCCCGAATTCCCCCGAGCGCCTGCAAGCGCCGCAAGGCGCTCACCAGCTGCCCCTCCCCGCAGCCCAGGTCCAGCGCCCGGCGCCCCATCTGCGGGCGGAAGAAGAGGCGCAGCGGCAGCCACTTCTGGCGCCTCAGACATCCAATCCGCGATTCCGCGGGAGGAGCAGCGCGGATCAGGCTGTGGGGGCCGTGGTATGGTATGGTGTCTTATTTGTTTGGGTGTTTTTTGCATGGGTTTGCACTGGTTTCCCTTGAGACCAACGAACAAATGCCAACTTGCAAGGATCAAAAAGGAGGGTAAACCCACAAAGGAGGCCTCGCAAGTGCATAACGCAAAACCTCGTTGTTCAATTCTGAAAAAAAAAATGTGATTGTCCTCGCAAATTGGCATTTATCCCAAGCTAGATGCCCAGCCATGGGAAAAAAGAGGAGGTCCTTTGTTGGTTGGTTCCGCCACATTGCTCAAGACCCCCCCGGTTGAAGTCACATCCCGGCCGACTTCTTCGTTTGGTTGAGTTTGGGGAACCCTTGCCAAAGGAAAAGGCCAGAATCCACGGGGCAACTGGGCCAAGGTAGACGCAAAAAAAAACCGGAGTTGACTTCCCAAGCGGGACCTCTGGGCTTCCGCCGGAAATGGAGTGCTCTCTGCAAAAGGGGCCATGTGGCTAAATCATGCGCATCCTGTTAGGCCCAGAGTTAAAAATGGCGCGCCACGTGCAGAGAAGATCCTTTGTTTCACGTTGAGAAGGTGGGGCACTTGCTGCCTCCCTGGATTGAGCGCAGTCAAACCACTTGGAGCTACTGGACAGCCAAGCCGTGAATGGTCATTGTAGTGACACTAGTATAACAGCCCTCTTCAAACCTTGCTCAGTTTCCCGCTTCCAAAACCCTGAAAAGGCGACCCTCACAAAAACACACGCACACACATGATCATTCTCAGGAGAGTACAAGGCCTATGGCTAGAAATTGTTCCTCTCACCCGCTAAAAGCATACCACAAAAAGAAGGGCACGGCCCGGGAGTGCACTTTCTTGCACTTGTCACGCTGGAGAAAACCATATGCACCAAAAGCAACAACTGAAACACCCAAAGTCAAACCTAACCAAAAAAAGGAAGACCCAAATGACCGAGACCTCATGTCAATGAGCAACTTGGGTATCCCCCTTCCAAATAAAAGGAAAAACAAGCCAGCTGGCTGACCCACCGCCCAAACCCTAGTTTTTAATACTTGTCCACGCCAGCTTTCATTCCGTGCTTTTGCGTGCAAAACTCCTGTTTTTCCCGAAAGCATGGCGAAGGGTTCTTCCGCTGGGTTCACTTGAGTTGTTCTCATGAGAGTCATTACAAGGTGTCATTGCAGGGAATCATCATCATGAAAGTCAATGCAAGGAATCATTGCAAGGAGTCATTGCAAAGAGTCATTGCAAGGAGTCATTGCAAGGAGTCATTGCAAGGAGTCATTGCAAGGAGTCATTGCAAGGAGTCATTGCAAGTCATTGCAAGGAGTCATTGCAAGGAGTCATTGCAAGGAGTCATTGCAAGGAGTCATTGCAAGGAGTCATTGCAAGGAGTCATTGCAAGGAGTCATTGCAAGGAGCAAGGAGTCATTGCAAGGAGTCATTGCAAGGAGTCATTGCAAGGAGTCATTGCAAGGAGTCATTGCAAGGAGTCATTGCAAGGAGTCATTGCAAGGAGTCATTGCAAGGAGTCATTGCAAGGAGTCATTGCAAGGAGTCATTGCAAGGAGTCATTGCAAGGAGTCATTGCAGGAGTCATTGCAGGAGTCATTGCAAGGAGTCATTGCAAGGAGTCATTGCAAGGAGTCAAGGAGTCATTGCAAGGTCATTGCAAGGAGTCATTGCAAGGAGTCATTGCAAGGAGTCATTGCAAGGAGTCATTGCAAGGAGTCATGAGAGTCATTGCGAGCTGCGCATGGAGTTAAGTGCAAGTTGCAAGTGCAAGGAGTCAAGTGCAAGTTGCAAGTGCAAGGAGCCAGGTGCAAGTTGCAAGTGCAAGGAGTCAAGTGCAAGTTGCAAGTGCAAGGAGCCAAGTGCAACTGACTTGCGAGGTTAAAATCTCTTCCTAGGGCGGCGGGGTAGTGCCGACGACACTACACGAAAATCGACCCTCTGCGGGGATCGGCGTGGTCGAACCCATGGTTCTTTTTGCGATTTCTGCGGTGCTCGCGCGACCCTCTGCGGGGATCGGCGTGGTCGAGGTGCAAAAACCCATGTTTTTTTTGCGATTTCTGCGGTGCTCGCGCGACTCTCTGCGGGGATCGGCGTGGTCGAGGTGCAAAAACCCATGGTTTTTTGCGATTTCTGCGGTGCTCTGGGGGATGGGGGTGGTCGAGGTGCAAAAACTCAAGTTTTTTTGCGATTTCTAAAGTTCCCGCGCGACGATCGGCGTGGTCGAGGTGCAAAAACTTGAGGTTTTTTGCGTTTTTTTGGTCGAACTGGTCCTCGGGAGTTGTCTCGTGGTTCGCGCGCCTGCTCCCAGAACCGGCGGGTCGCGGGTTCAATTCCTCCCTGGTCCGCGGGCGGGCGTCGCAAGATGCAACTTGCATGTTAAAGCAACTTGCGCAGAGCAACTTGCGCGTGCAACTTGCGCAGACCAACTTGCACCGACCAGTTTGCGCAGAGCGCCTTGCCTAGAGCAACTTGCGCAGAGCAACTTACGCAGAGCAACTTGCACGGAGCAACTTGCGCAGAGCAGCTTGCACAGAGCAACTTGCAGGGAGCTCAATTTGCACAGAGCAACTTGCAGGGAGCCACTTGCAGGGACCAACTTGCCGGAGCAACTTGCGCGGAGCAACTTGCGCAGAGCAACTTGCACAGTGCAACTTGCGTAGAGCAACTTGCGCAGACCAACTTGCACCGACCAGTTTGCGCAGAGCACCTTGCCTGGTGCTGTCTCGCGCTTGCTTCACAAATGCTTCGTGGAGGGAAAAAGAACGCATCCTGCAGCGTTGGGCCGACCTCGCTTGCGATGTTATGCTTTCGGGCCAACCGTGGTCTAGTTGTTCTTGCCATTCATGAACCCGAAACGCAGGTGTCGGTCCGTTCTTTTTCCGCGTAATTCGTGCAAATAATTTGCAAATGTACTGCTACTTGTGGCACAGTGTGCAAATTTGTAGGCGTCGCAATAGCCGTCCACGCGCTGCTTGGCTGCCTGTGTTGTACGTCTGCCTGGGTCGTACATGCTGGCACATATGTTGACGTGCCCGTCCATGCGCTGCATGGTTACATGCGCACATGCTGGCACATATGTTAACGTTCTATATACATGAGCTCACGGTGGAGGACTTCTCACGCCCGACTTGTCTGCTGTTGGCGGGGGTCTCAGTGCAGACAGATTTTCTTGGAGCATATTGCATTGATGACTTGCTCTGGAGGTACGGTACTTGAATAGCAGCTACGCTTGTCGCTTGCTCACTTGTGCATGCTCGTATGCGCATAAATCTAACAGCCTCGAAGACGCGTGGCAGGCTTGGCGAAACGGTGGGTTGGAGCCCCAAAAATAAGACAAGTCAGAATACTCTGTAAAACGCAGGGAACGTTCAACATGTCAATTGCATATTTACAAGGGCGGCAAGACAGCCGGATACCACAAATAAAATTATATCCCCCACATTGTGGGCCTGCTGTGGAACTCCTAAATATCGGCACGCAGCGGCCAAAGTGAGAACTGCAATTTGCCATGTTGCTTCACTTACTCCGCTAATCAATTTCCACTGTTTTTTGCGAATTCGCTGTAGCCATGCCACCCATCCAAAACCTTCCGACTTTTCATGTGGGGCTCCCAGAAACTAGGACCATTTTGGAGGAAATCCTTCACTGTGTGACTGACCTAAGCCTATTACGGCAATCCGCCAGGTTGATTCATCCGAGCCGTCCGCCATGCCACAGTTTGATCGCTGAGCGGCATCTGGCGGTACCCGTCCAGTGTGCCATTCAGCAAGAGCGTGAGCACCTTGCCGCCATGTGCCATAGGGGTTGACCTACCCTACCGTTTTTCCAGAAAACTTTCGGGAAAGAAGGATGGGAAGTAACCACAAAGAAACGCGCCGACTGGGGGGGGGGGGGGTTCGACCTTGACCAAGGGAAGCGGTCCCCAGAAAGGCGGCGGTTTGATAAGGTAGGCTCAAAATGCCAGGTCTCAAAACGGCTATGGGTCAAAATTAAACCACCAGGATATGGTGCGCAGGTTGTATGTGTCCATTTATCGGGGTTCCATGTTGGTTTCCTTTCTCTGCCAAGCAAGTTTTGAGATGTAGTGAACCTTTAAACTGTGAAACATGTTCACAAGAGATCCCTGACTAGAAGGACCCCTGTCAGAACTCACCGTCCCGCCATGTGTGAGAAAACCGACCATTTCGGGCATGAAAAGAAATAGTTTATTTATTTTTTTACCGCCTTTGCACTGTGGGAGTATCTCAAAATAGGGATTTGGACCCCACAAAAAGGTGGACAAGTCTTTTCGGCTCCAAGCCACCTTTCTGGGTACCTTCCAAAAAGCACAGACCCGTGTTAACGTTTCTTGTTCTGGACCAAAGGCCATAGAGCCGGAAAAAGTCCTCGCAGCCAAAGGAACCTGACACCTAAGGTCTAGGTGTCTCATGAAAAAAAAGGGATTCCAAACCTGCAGGCGTCACCGGTTGTCTCAGCCGTGAAAGGTTGAAAGATGCTGGTGCAGTTATGGCTTCGGGTGGGTCCAGTCCACATCGCCCAAAGCTGTTGCATCCTTGGAGTCTCCATCCCTTGAAATGGGATAGTGTCCCCAGTTGGGGTGACCTCGTGAGATCATGGAGACTCCAAGTGCTTGCTTTCGAGGCCCCCTCACTCACACCCTCACACCCACCCCCACACCCCTCACACCCTCACACTCTCACACACTCTCACACTGGCTTGCTCACTCCTTCTCAGCCCAAGGCCGTGCCTCTGGGGTCCTTTGGAAGGACGCCTCCCGGTTCCCATCGAGGAACTCTTTCTGGGCGCGTAGGAGGGATCAACGGACCCTGCCCTTCCAGGGCTTCCTTCTGGTTGGGTCCCATGGGATTCTCAACGACCATCAAATGGCCTGCCCTTTGGGGTCCCTTTGCCACAATGGCACAAAATCAAGCTTGAAACAAATGGGCTGGGTGATGCGTTGGCCTTTTTCCAGGGATCATGCGCGTTTTTGAGTGCAGGTCTGGATTTCTTGCAAGACATGCATCCTGAGAGGCAGGTTTCGGAAGGCTTGGCCAAACCCTGTGTCAAAATAGGGAGCCCCTCCAAACTGAACAAAGCGGCTTTCCTGTTGATGTCTCTTGAAAGCAAACCCTTCAAAAACTACACACCCTGATTGCTCGCAAGCTGCTGCTGAAATGCACACTGTTGGAACAAAGCGTCGATCCAACACAGTGCCAGCTTGTTGCACAATGGGACGTAATGGGGGAGCCCCCTTTGGGATTTGCTATGCAGGGCACATACCCAAAGGAAGCAACCAAGTTTGACAACAGGGACACTTTTGGATGGTGCTCAAAGGAAGCCTGGAAGTAAACCCACAGGCTTGCGGGATCCTCATAACCCGCGATGGGCTGGCGGCCCTGACCCCTGCCTCTCTCGTCGACTCGTGATGGCAAAGGGCAAACGACGTGCTCATGCTGTTGCGCCGCCCCCGATTTGACTTGCAGTAAAGAGGGGAATCAATTCTCACAAGGAAATATGACCTGGCTTTTCTCCCTCGCGTAGCAAGCTGATTTCCTCGAGAGACTGGCCCAAAGAAGTCCAAATGGCACTTGACCTTCTGAGAGCACAGGTTCCAAACTTGGGATGTCAGAAGTGGGCGACTTTCCGGCTCAAATATCCCATTCTCAATCCAATGGTTGGCAAGTCAGCTCCGCTTGGTTCGGTTGTCCCAATAACAAAAATATCCTACTGCCGTGGTCCCGGATGCTGGATCGGGCCCTGGCTGGACTCCTAAATCCCGCATGTTCCTCATGGGTTGAATTGGTTTGCGTCCGAGAATGACCACTTTGCTGCAGAGCTCAAACAATGTCCCAAACTCCTTCCCCCTCGAATCAACCGCTGCTTATTAACATGGGGGTGTCTCCTGGTTTTAGTGGGGATTCAGACCACTTTTTGTGGTTTATTCAGCCGGGGTCAACATTCATTCCTCCTGGAAGTTGAGGGAGACCACCTGGGACTTCCCAAAACATTCCCAGAATTGATTGATATGGGGGTGTCCCTGGCTTTAGTGGAGATTTAATTCCCTATAAAGGGGCCTCCATCCCCCTAATTTTTCTGGGCTGACTGACTCCACCCACCAAATTTGCACAGGCGCCAGCTCACCCTCATAGAGGCCCCCGTAAAGGCCCTTGTAGTCCACAGACCCCAGCGCAATCTTCAGCACCGCCAAAAGCACCAGGCGCCAACCCATGGCGCGAGGGCGAGGTGCGGTGAACGTTCGCTTTGCGACGGATTGCCAGATGGGCAAAACCGTGTCCGTTTCGCATGGAAGAGTTGCATCGGTGCAACCAGATACTCAGACTTTAGTGCTAGACATCTCTTTCCCAAAACCTTCCGGTGGTCACCCTGAACTCACCCGCATTGGTTTCGGCCTCGTGTGCTGACGTCTTCCGTATCTGGATTTCGCTTTCCAGTTCTTCATGTGTCTTACTCCAAGCCTTGCTCATGGCGATGGCCGGTGGGTCGACTTCGCGTTTGGAGGGCCCTTTGCCAGTTGAGTTTGGAGGGGGACCCACCTGAAGGGCAAAGGATCAAAAGCTGGAAGCTGCTGAAAGACCGGGCAACCCCTCCGCAAACTGCTCAAAGAGCTGACAGCAAGGGTACCATTGAAACAACGAAGCAAGGGTGCCCTCAAAAAAAGAAAAACAAAAAAAGGAAAAGAAAAAAAAGACAGCCCCCCCCCCTCCCCCCTGCCCCCCTCCCCCCTGCCCCCCTCCCCCCCTGCCCCCTCCCCCCCTGCCCCCTCCCCCCCTCCCCCTCCCCCGATCCCATTTGCAAGGCGGGAATCGGGTCCGGATCCCAAGCGACGAATTCAACGCGCCTGCGCAGGAAGCTCCGGATGCCCGTGAGCAGGGAATTGGCCGTCTCATGGCCTTGCAAACAAAAGCATCACTTGAGCCCGGCGAGTATTGTTAATTGAAACCACTGGACACTGGATCCCCCTCAAACAGAACCGAAAGCAGGTTCTTTAAGCAAGAGGTGCGTATATAAGCATATAAGCATATTGTCAAACAGGGTTTCGACTAACCCTAGTTATACTCAAAACGTGGCGCAAAGGGGGTCTACCCAACATCCATGCTAAAGAAGGGAACGGGTCCCCTGATCTTCATTATCTTGCCTATTTGGCTCTGATGTTTAATGGTTGGAGCACCATGGCTTTTCTGGAAACCTCCCATGTTGCCCCTCTCCTTGGGCAAATGAGACAATGCCCATTAGCCCGCGCCCAAAATGTCAGCAGTTTCCTGCGGGAACACCCATTAGGCATCAATCTTCGAGGAAGTCCCCGGAAAAGGAATCACTTCAAAAAAGAAAACGGCTTCCCACCCCTGATTCGCATGTGGTCCAGCCAAATCTGTGGCTGACGTTTGATGTGGTTTGTGTGGCTGATGTGGCTACGGGGTTAACAAAGGTTGATGTCGGTGATGTGGCTTGAAGGACTGATGCGGATCATGTCGACCATCACAACAAAGTAACACGCATTGCCCACTGTGTTCCCTTTTTGCATTTGAACAAACCTTTCTCCACATTTTTGGAAGCACTCACATCCTTGCTTCTGCATCACTTTTTCAGCGCCCGCATCACCTGCATCACCCGCATCACCCGCATCACCCGCATCACCCGCATCACCCGCATCACCCGCATCACCCGTATCACCTGCATCACCTGCATCACCCACATTGTACGGATCACAAGCATCGCCCGTCTCACTAGCACTACTCGCATCATCTGCATCCCTGCATCGCCCACATTGGTCCGCAAAACCACTTTCGGTTCCCAGGAAGGCGAAAGACGATTGATGCGAGCCATCGAGCCTGCTTCGTCCAGCAGGCCGGAGACAGAGGCGGCCTGGCCGGACACTTGGATGTTCAGCCTGCTTGTGTTACAACCAGGATCAGCTCGGGCCAGACTTAGAGCCGCAAAAAGCGCCGTGATCTCGCATGGAGATGGTCTGCAAACATGCCAGTGAACCGACACGAACATGTGACAGCAAAAGAACGTGGCCATTTCGCTGGTCAGCGCCCCTTGAGACGCTTCCAAGCCCCCGCCCCCACCTCGAAGCCCAAAATCGCGGGCAGTGCCTGGCACAAAAGGTCGGTGGTTCAGTGACCCTGGTGGAAAACGGGAGCCCTAGCCATTTTTGGTGGGGAACCCACCAAACAAATCAGGATGTGACATGATGCGACTGAACAACTGGGGGTATGTGGAGGGATTTGGACTGTTGTCCGAATGCAAAAGTCCGAGAAAGTTAGGAAACCCGAAACACACAGCCAACTTGGCATAGCCGGAAAGGTGGCAAAATATAGTTAAACACTTGGGGGCAGCGGTTTGGGTGGCAATTAGTGGAACCCTTCTTTGAAGCTCGCAACCCATACGTAGATATGCTCGCGCCCATTCTTGAGGGGCTGGGTATCTCCCTACTTGGCAATCGGCGAAGAAAAGCGGCGCTGTCCGCAATTTCTGACTCAACCAAAGGAGAGCAACCCTCAAAGTCGAATCTAACGGAGCAGTTTTTCAACATGCCTTTGCACAAAACGAAAGAATGCTTTCATCACATGGCGTGCGAGGCATGCATCCGGCCTGAACTGTTGACAGACCAAACTCATATATCTTAGACGGCCTTTCAAAAAGATGCGGTTCTGTTTCTCATCTCTTGGCACGGCCACAAACTGATACTGATATGTCTGGGGCACACACACACAACAAAAACTGCCCGCCAATATTGGCGGCCCGATGACGAGAAGACGGAGCCGCTCAGAAAACAGAACCAAAGTGAATCAGGGAAACCTTGAAGCCTTTCTGCGATCAGTAGGGTACTTTATCGCGTTGAAAGGCTTCCCTCAGCACAGAAAAAGGGCCGTGGGCCCCAACCGAAGAGACAAATTCTCAAACTCACCCTGGATGTTTTCTTGGGGTAGGAAAGTCACCAGCCCCCCAAAAGTAATTGTGGGTCCCGACTCAAAACACCACCAGATGCGGGTACCCAGTTTTTGGGTGTACATGTGACCCGCATCTGGTGTACTCCCAGAATAAGCTGTTCTGAGTCCGCACCCCTTAGCCATTTGAAGGACACCCCAGTTCCCTTTTGAGGAGACCCCAGTTCCTTTCTGAGGAGACCCCAGTTCCTTTTTGGTGCGGGCGGAAAAGGAATCTGCAAAGATCCCTGCGCATCCATCCCCTCTGATTCGAATCCACCTGCGTCTGCAGGTCTTCCAGGATGCTTAAGATCTGGCCGCCCACCTGGCAAAATGAGTCGATTCTTGGCATCGAAATAGACCCCCAAACTAGGCTGGAAAACTCGGACCCCGGCAAAAAATCATCTTTTTTCCCTGGTAAGTGGCAAACTAAGGGACCCCAAAAAAGCAAAGGAACAAAAAGGGGAGCTAATTCTGGGGAAGCAAATGGATCTATTTCGAACTCAAAATGTGGCTTTCCTTTTCTCTTGCAACCCACCCCAGAACTGGTACGGTCCAAAAAAGGACGCAGGCAAATGGTGAGGAATGTCCATGTTTGGAAGACCCTTTGGAGATAAGTATCTTTGTCATGATGTCCAAAGGGTCCCCCAATGAAAGTTTTATGCCGAGATGTGTAGCTGTGGTAATTGTTCCTGAAAGAGGAACCTGTGCATTTGTACATTCCATGTCTCCAACCCATTAGGTTGATGATCATCCCAAGTAATCCCGCGCCTAAAAGGCAGGCAAGGGACCACGTGCTATGTGGCAGTAGCAACAACACCGAGGGACGAGGTTTCACAATGTTGACTCATGATTAATACACCCCCCCCAGTTGTTAATCATTCATAGGGGTCCCCCGGAAGAAAGGGGATTTCTTCACCAAAAAATTAGCCCTACAAAAAATAAGTGGGCGTATTACTCGGGAGTGAGCATTAACTTACAAACGGCTTGTCAACATCAAGGAGCCCAATCTCTCGGCCTTGAAAAACCATCGGAAGGAGCGAAACACCCGACATACCCAAGGGGGCTCCATTGGCCTCTGTTGAAAGCTCAACCGGCAAGCAGGCAAGGAGGTATCTCTACAAGCTGCTGGCCCCTTGTTAACTCTATATTTATTGTCCTTTCAAATCGCAAGAAGTGTTTCCAACCCCGTCACTTCGCCTCTCATCCTTTAGACTGCGACGATATCAACTGTCTCGAAGGTATGCGACGCCCCAAAACAGCGGCATGACATAGGAGATCTGCAAAGCAAGCCATGAGCACCTCCCCCCACCCTCCCTTTCAGTTGTGGTGCGAGCCCCACCTCCGTCTGGAAGCCGGCCTGCTCTCCAGCCTAGGCCAGGTGAGCGGCGCTTGGTTTCTTGGGTCAGGGTGCTAGACAGATGTGACTCTGCTTGGGGGTTCTCACCTTTAACCCACCAAGGCCAACTCTCAGAGTTTGTCCCTTTAACCCACCAACAAAGTCCAACTCATTGCCCACAGCCCCGGAACCCCCTCCGGACCCTTGCATGAAAGCTGCCCCAAACCACCCGAATGAGCTCGCCTCTCTGGGCAGAGACCAAATCCGTAGCTTTCAGCTGTTGGGGAAAAACGGTACCACTGGAACGATGAGAGGATTCCCCCAGTTTTCCTCCAGGATTGTGCGACATATCGTAATTCAGTCAAGAAGGAACCTGGGGATGCGCTAAAATCGAAGAGCGAGGCCCCCCCGTTGCATGATGCTCAAAGCAAAACCAAATGACAGATTCTTTCTGCTTTCCGCAGTTTTGGAAACACTCACCTCCAGAAAAGCGTGCTTCATGGGGGAGCGTACCCTGTGCCCCTGTCGCTACAATGAAAATGAGCTGCGCCGAACTTCTCTGCAAACTGACCTGGAAATCAGCTGATGCCAAAACGAAGAAGCTAATGTTGGCAACGGGTTCCTGTCCTCTTCCAACAGCACCCCACCAAACGAAATGTCAAATGGCGCAGCGCCATTTGACAACGTGCCTACGAAAAAAGAACATCCAAGGACCTCTGCTCTATCATGGCAAACGAGCTAAACAAACAAAGGACGAAACTTTGGTGAGCAAACTTTGGAAGACATGTTCTCAAGTTGGCGCGTCTTTGGTCCACCAGAGATCTAGAATTCACATCTGGTCAATCAAGCGTCTCAAGTTTGTGAAGTGGAAGCAAACTGAAAGGATGACACTCGAAAAACAAAAACAACATGTAATAGTGATATTATTATGTTTCATTA